CTTAATAATATCTTCGTTGTCATTTCAGTTTTTGATATTTTTCAATTTAATGGGAAAAATCGATGAATCAACAAAGTCCAGTAAAAATAACGTTCGATTAATCTACCAAAGAGAGAATATCGGGAATTATTCCATAAATCCATCCTAATGTACAAAGGAGCAGGGAAATCGATCTCGAAATAACTCGAAATGTTCGGAAATTCAAATTGCTAATTGCAGTGGTTGCAAATTATTGAATCAATTTTGCCTTGGGCGGTCAAATTTTTCAGGAAAATTATCTACGATTAATGCACTTATATCAACAAAAAATATGACAATTATATAGCGCAATATCAAATATCATTTTATTTATTCACTCATCTTGAGGATTTGATATATTCTTGGATTTTTTGTTCAACAATTAGAGTACAATAATTGGATGGAGTTGAATGGAATTTTCAGTAAATTAAAAGTTTGAATTAACCTAATTATTGAATTTTTATCAAGAAATTACAGTTAAATTATGTCATCATTCGTCTGTTAATTTTGTCAGAAATTAGCAGGGAAATAATTGGTTTCTTTTCTTCATTAAATATTTGAGCGGTAGAATGTGAAAAGGGGAACTGGAAATTCGTTGCAATATTATTTGTATGGGGTGAGGTCACATCCGCCAGGAGGGAATTCATTCATCACGAGACTGTTTTCTCAGCATTTTATTAAAGCCCTCGTCATTATCAAAGCCAATCTCATAACTCGGATGTCATTAATATCTGATTTATTTATAGTCATTACAAAATTTTAGGGTAAAAATGAAAAAACGGCAGAAATTTTTTTCACTATTACCACAAAATTGTGGTACAATACAAGACTTCAATTTCTAACGCCTTCGACTATAATAAAATTTGTCGATGGTAATGTTTAAACATTTTTATAATAGTCGATGAGTTGGAATTTCATTTCAACATTTTCTGTTTCATCTCTTCTCAATTGAACGCGCAAACGTGTTGTAGACGTGGTTCGCTGCTCTCCCTCGGTCACGCTTCACAGTTAAACTCACTAGTTTTTATACGTTTTAGTTTCTTCGTACATTTCTTCATCCCATTTACTTTTTTATTCTCTTTTTTCCTTCTGAGTTCTATCCTCTCAGTTCGTTCGTTGTCCCTTTATTCTGCCTATTCACAACCTAATGCACTTCCCTTCGGAAAACACTCGCTGAATTTCTCATTCATTCATCATGAAAAAACGCATCTCCCACTACACGGAGAGAAATATTCAATAAAAATTACGTAACGTTTCTATAATTACGGAGCGAAGACCCGTTAGGGAGATTCGGTAATTTTTGTCTTAATTTTCAGTGAAGAATTACGATATCGTTGAATAAATTTTTTTAGTCACTTCCATAATCGGTAAGCAAAGTTCGGTAATTTTTATTGAATATTTCTCCCCGTGTAAGTTGCCCCAAATTTCAAGAGTAATTCTCAAACAGTATAGTACGTGGTGCATGAGAAATTGAATTGTCAAGGACAAATTTGTGGTCTAAAGAATTCAGGGTTTTTAAGTTTATCCGAGTAAACAAACAAACGTGGGTAGTTAACTGTTTATTTTTGGGCATATTTCATTCATGATGTCAGAGATGATTTCGTCGGTCGCATCGTTTATAACGTGGTCAAGGACAATTGACACACTTTTCACAATTGCCATTTATTTACGAGTAGAGATGCTGTCATACTGGCCACTATATTACCTCGACTGAGTCAGAAGTATCAAAGCTGAATATTGAAGGTGAATGTAGTTAGATTAAATTGAAATTGCAGTTTTATGTCATTTTCTTGAAGTGGCAGTAAGAAAATTATTTCAATTCAATTATCACTTGTAGAATATTATCTGCGTGTCTCTAATAGCCATTGATCTTAAGCCATTCAATATGATTCACCTTGTCGATTTCGTACCTTATCATTATGTTTTATGTAATGGAGATTATTAATCATGAGATTCTAATTCAAACGTAGAAATTACGCGGACGAAAAATTAATTGCCAAATTAAAAAAGTAAATTATGAGGTTTCAACTTGTTTTAACGCACAGTTCACGATTTTAAGAGTGTAATTTACTTTTCTCTGTATTTTACGGTCAACTTTTTCTGTGTGGGGCATTTGCGGTTCTCGCTCCGCATTAACTTCCATAAAAATCAGAGCGCTGATGAAAATAGTAAGATGATCTTGCTAGACGTGTTATTAGGTACTGTACTATATCTACTATAAATTAGCTGTCAAGTTACGCATTTTAGGGGATGAGGGGAGGGGAAAAATGTGAAAAACCGAGAGGATATACATGGGAATTAATCCATAACAATATTATTAGACATGCAAATCCTAACGCATAATATACGTATGCATTTGCTTAGGGATACCGAATCTGGTGATTTTTGAAAAAGGATTTTTTAATTTTTGAAAAAGTAATGTCTTTTAGCGGAATTAAATTGATGATACAATAGAGCATGTGATATATTTCTTTGGGGTGCATTAGCATTTATAATTATTGGTAAAAATGATTTTTTTTAAATCACAAGATAATGACATCCCTGCATGCATTATCTAGTTATCGTAGGGTATGTACAAGTGCGCAAACTCAAGTCTCGGAGTTCCCTCACCCCTTGACGTCACACCAGACATCCTGGCGCCAACAATTTACGTCACTTGAATTTACCCTGCACTCTTTCAACTAAAAACTCCCCCTACTGAATTTTACAATTCAACAAATTCCTCTTTACATTCAACAATCTTTTCCATTTCACACCTTGTGCACTCCAATAAATTATGCATGAAAAATCGTGATGAATGCTGGCTGTTAGGTGCTAATAGCTTAAACAGTCTTAACAAGGAGGAATTAGTTCACGCAGCAAGACATTTCATTATTTTAAAAAATATGCTATTTGACGTTAGCACGAATTCTGGAACTGTTTATACCGATTTACTCGTGGGAAGTAAATATACTTGGTGGAAGAAATTTTTTGTCAGTCCAGGGTACAGATGTATTTCAATGTAACGGATAAAATTAATGAATCAACAAAATCGATTGACTTGTGTACAATCAGTTAATTAACTTTGTCAAATTTGAACTCTGTAAATCTCCAATTATCACAAAATTTAAATCAATTGATCTCTGCTTGCAATAACAAAAATATTCATGAGATTTAACTAATTATCGAACATGATTAATTGTCCCACAATTTCGAAAAAGCCGCGTGTAGCGCATAATCAAACTCGTTATAATAAATTACGGTACATTTCGATAAAATTTTCCACTTCATCGTGATGTCTCATATACCTCCTGAAGAATCTCAACTCGTTTTTTTCATTCAAGTGGCTTATAAGAAATGAAATATGTACCGTGAGACCAACCAGCTCATAAAAATTATATATAGACCGATCTGTTAAATGCCATCACGTACGGAACATAGATATTGGTGATGTAATGCAGCAGACAAGGTCATTGATTATATCATTGGTTTTCCTTAATCACAACAAAGTGGAGGACCTGTTCACATATCTACGCATCCAGCATTAATGCATAATGGATTACTCACGCTTCTTGTAGAGACATTATTTATGGATTACGTAACTGATAATTAACACGTTTAATTATAGGAGAGTGCAGAGTAATGTGGATTTGAAAGAAATAATTTTTTTTATTTTTTAACGACGTGGACAGTCGATAGAAATCGAACAATTAATATTCAGAAAAGATCTCCTGAAAAGAATTCCTGCCAAAATCCTTCAAAAATAAAGATAGAAATCAATCAAGTTATACGTTCGATGGCTCACCAATGATGTCAAATACACACGATTATACGACTTGAAATCATGAAAATGCGAAATGAATGTATTTTTTGGGAGATTTTTCGCGGAATTTTTTTGAAGGGATTTTCTTCAAGATATTTTCCCCAGCGTGAGTAACGCCGGGCACCTAATTATGAACTCATTACCTCGATTAATCGCACAACTAGACTGTTTGACCCATTGAATATTACATTCAGATTTGGGTAATTAAAGAGTAGATTCAGGGATTATACTCCGATTCAGGCTAAGTTGACCGTGAAACTCTGGTTTCAGATCGATAATTATCAGAATAAACACCAGCATTTCTTATGAGTTCAGAGTTCTCACGAGGATAAAAAAATTGAATAAGTATGAGTTAAATTCTCATTTTATTTAGAAGGTTTTTCTACACTGTTCTACAATTGTTTCCGAACTTGGATATTCATCGGGTGTGGAAGAAAATTTTTCCGTCAGAGTATGAAATCTTCTGACGGAACGGTTCTCTTAATGAATCACACCAGACGATGCCTTAAAGATAATTAAAACAAGCGTGCTAGTTATAAAATGGCTCTGTAAATATAATCCTTCGGAAATTTCTTCTTTGCGAATTCCATAATACGTTTTACGCATTCAACTTCAGCAACTTCTTTTTCAAGTAACTCCTTGTTAAAGTTTATCTGCAGATAGTGCCATTTTTCCTTGATCCACTTAATGGTTAAGGTATAACTGCTCCAACATATTCAGAGGCCCCAACTTGTTTTCTTCTATCTCTCTCATTCTTGCGCTTTTGCTCCTCAATCCTTGTTCGTTTTATTCACCTGTCACTGAAATTCTCAAGCAATTCACCGGCGTGTATCTTCCTTTCATGAATATAGAGGTAAAAATAGAGATTACGTATTTGAATCACAGTGTATTATTGGGTACTCCATAAGCCTTGCATTCGAGTGTAGAAACATGAGAAAAAGGGGAATGGAAATGTGAGCTTATCATTTGCGACGAGAGTATTAATTTCTGTTTGGCGATGATAATTTTTTCGACTTCTCAATTCGATTGCGATCGAATCTATCATGATGCTTCCTATTTTATTAAATTGAAACTATACTATTACGCTTTGTGGTTTTATTCCCATATTTATATTTTTATGTTATCAATTAAGGATGAGGAGTCAAGATAATAACTGAATATTTCTTCGTTGATGTTGTAGAGCGATCCAAGTACAGCTTTCCTCCGGGCTGCACGAGCTGGACAACTGGAGAAAGTCTTGGAATTCTTAGAGTCTGGAGTTGACATCAATGCTTCAAACGCTGTAAGTGAAAAAATTTGTCAATAATCCAGTCAAGAATACGTTAATTGGTACTTGCAGCAATATATCAAGTGCCCTTGAAATTCAATATCAAAATTTTCAATCGATATTAATTGATCATTTTGATTTTTAAATTTGAATCTCGATTAATTTTATTGTTGAATTCTCCTTGACAGAATGGCTTGAATGCTCTCCACTTGGCAGCCAAGGACGGCCACTTGGAGATTGTGAGGGAACTCTTGACGCGCGGTGCAACTGTCGACGCAGCCACCAAGAAAGGAAACACCGCTTTGCACATTGCTTCTCTCGGTAAAATATCATTGTAATTATCACCAGCTCTCCATTAAATATCATAATTTATGTACTCTCTCACAGCCGGACAAGAGGAAGTTGTGCAACTGCTTGTTCAGAAAGGTGCCTCTGTCAATGCTCAATCACAGAATGGTTTCACCCCATTGTACATGGCAGCCCAGGAAAATCATGATTCCGTCGTTAAATTTCTTCTCAGTAAAGGAGCGAATCAAACACTCGCCACTGAGGTAAATGCGAACTTCTCGTCAAATCAAAATCTAAATGGACAATTAAATTAAAATCAATTGAAATGACATTGGTTATACATAGGATGGTTTTACTCCGCTTGCTGTTGCCATGCAGCAGGGTCATGATAAGGTTGTCGCTGTCCTCCTGGAAAGTGACACGAGAGGAAAAGTTCGATTGCCCGCACTTCACATTGCCGCTAAGAAAGACGACTGCAAAGCTGCTGCATTACTACTTCAAAATGACCATAATCCAGACGTGACATCAAAGAGTGGCTTTACACCCCTTCACATCGCTGCTCACTACGGAAATGATCGAATTGCCTCATTACTGTACGAAAAAGGGGCGGACGTTAATTTTGCAGCTAAGCACAATATAACTCCAATGCACGTAGCAGCCAAATGGGGAAAAATAAAGATGGTGAATTTATTGATGAGCAAAGGTGCCAACATCTCGGCTAAAACACGAGACGGTCTAACGCCTCTTCACTGTGCAGCTCGAGCTGGCCATCACGAGGTTGTTGATATTCTGATTGAAAAGGGCGCTCCAATTGGCTCGAAAACGAAGAATGGTTTGGCACCACTGCATATGGCGTCTCAGGGTGACCATGTAGATGCTGCTAGAATTTTACTCTACCATCGAGCCCCTGTCGACGAAGTAACTGTAGATTATCTAACTGCTCTTCACGTTGCGGCTCACTGTGGCCACGTACGTGTTGCAAAATTGCTTCTCGACCGCAATGCAGATCCTAATGCCAGAGCATTGAACGGCTTCACTCCACTCCACATCGCGTGCAAAAAGAATCGCATTAAAGTGGTGGAATTGCTGCTTAAGCACAAAGCTAGTATCGAAGCAACGACTGAGTCCGGCCTTACGCCTCTTCATGTCGCTAGTTTTATGGGCTGTATGAATATTGTTATATATTTATTGCAAAACGAAGCTAGTCCCGATATACCAACGGTCAGGGGAGAGACACCACTCCATCTTGCCGCAAGAGCTAATCAAACGGATATCATCAGAATATTGCTGAGGAATGGAGCGCAAGTTGATGCTAGAGCTAGAGAAGAGCAAACGCCACTTCATGTTGCTTCACGCCTGGGCAATGTCGATATTGTCATGCTCTTGCTCCAACACGGTGCCGACGTTGATGCCACAACAAAAGACTTGTACACACCACTCCACATCGCAGCCAAGGAAGGCCAAGAGGAAGTGGCATCTGTATTACTGGAGAACGGCGCCTCCCTCACAGCAACAACAAAGAAGGGCTTCACACCCCTCCATTTGGCTGCTAAATACGGTAACATGAACGTAGCTAGGCTTTTACTTCAGAAGAATGCACCAGTTGATGCCCAAGGTAAAAATGGTGTGACACCACTTCACGTTGCATCACATTACGATCATCAGAATGTTGCACTTCTACTGTTGGATAAGGGTGCATCGCCCCATGCAATGGCTAAAAATGGTCACACTCCTCTTCACATTGCTGCTCGAAAAAATCAGATGGATATTGCAACTACCCTTCTGGAATATGGGGCAAAGGCAAACGCCGAGTCAAAGGCTGGCTTTACGCCTCTTCATCTCAGCGCTCAGGAGGGTCACACTGACATGTCAACTTTGCTGATTGAACATAAAGCTGATACTAACCACAAAGCTAAGGTACACATAATTTTTATTGATTGATTATTCAGTTGTGAAATCGGTAATGAAGCGGTAACGAAAATTGAAGCGATTGAAAAAACATGCAGTTGGCCATTCCTAGCGGTAAAAGACATATGACCGGTACATTAATTGTGTTTTCATATTTTTTTTCTGTCGATTCCATAGCAGTACCTAATTAAAGAAAAAAGAAAGTCATTCATTCATATCCTTTATCATGAAATCGTTTATCATAAAAGAGATTGACGACGAATGATGAATGATTCAATTAACAAAATGGATCGCGCTGACTCATGCAGGTTTAATGTACGTTAATTCGTTAAAATGTGAAAATTAGATTGTTTTCCGGTAAAAGTGTATGAAAAACTTCTTTACAGGAGAAAAAATGATCTCTCGCCGAGGTCACGTGCTAATTTGAATAATTCATGTTTTAATATCGCTTCGATAGTTGGATTGAATCCAATTTTATATCCAATTATCTTGATCAATTCAGTCAATTATTAATTATTTTTCAGAATGGACTTACGCCGCTTCATTTATGCGCACAAGAAGATAAAACCAATGTTGCTACGATTCTCGTTAAAAATGGAGCTCAGATTGACGCGAAGACCAAGGTAATTCGATTAATCCAATCAGAATTTCTCTATCTCAGAAATAGTTTTTCCGCACAGAAATGAAAGGACTGCTTTATTGTAAACCAAGACTAATTAGTAGCGTGTTTGTAATAGATAGCTGTCCTTGGAACTTGTTTAAGCTTGTGGATATTTAATTAGCTAAGACATGACATATTTCTTAATTTCGAAAAAAAATGGTAATTTTCACACTTGAAACTCAAAACGTCAGAATCCTGGATTTTCTCCGATATTTTTTGTCTGTCAAGTCTGAAAGGAAGCAGTAAATACTTGAAGGGTCATACAACAACTGTGAATTGAGGATTCATTTTAGAAGAAGGGCATAATTTAGCATTCATTTGATTGCAAATCAAGTTTATTTTTATCCTTGGAACTGTCACAATAGTTAAAAATTTCTCTTCAAAAGCCCGCATGCACTATCTGGCTAAGGTAATCTTTGATTTGAATTTCATCAAGATAAAGTACAAGCCAAAGATTACATTCGATAAATGTCTTGCGAGTTTACAGTCCGAGGCGAAGTCGAGGAATATAAACACAATCGTCAGAAAAGTTCTTTTCGGCCGAGTGAGTTATTGTATATTATTTTGATACTATATTGTGTGATGTAATGAAATTAGGCGGGCTATACACCACTGCACGTGGCTTGCCACTTTGGTCAAGCAGCGATGGTGCGTTTCTTATTGAGAAATGGAGCTGCGGTTGACAGTGGTACTGGGGCCGGATATACACCACTTCACCAAGCCGCACAACAGGGCCACACATTGATCATTAATCTGCTACTTGAGAGTAAAGCCCAACCCAATGCAATCACAAACGTACGTCCACTCATTTTCATTTCTTAATTATATCACTCATATCCAGAACCTATTAATGTTAACTAACTGTTTTTATTTTGCATAATTAGAATGGCCAAACAGCATTGGCAATCGCGCAAAAGCTGGGCTACATTAGTGTGGTTGAAACCCTCAAAGTCGTCACAGAAACTGTTATCACGACAACGCATACAATTACGATTGAGGAAAAGTACAAAGTTCAAGCACCGGAATCCATGCAGGAGACATTTATGAGTGACAGTGAGGATGAAGGCGGTGAGTGACTAATTTAATCATAAATTTACACCATCCGATATATAATTCAGTAAATGAAAGACGTAAAATGATTCAACTGACCATAATCTATATTTTGATTGGTAGATCGTTTCAGTGTATGAATTTGACGGCAAATGCCGTATTCCATTATTCATTAACCTTTAATTTTTTAAATAATAGCAAAGATGTAGAATTTATGGAGTTCTCACTGAATCATTATCGTGTTATTATTGAATTATCGTGATATTCTTTGATTGAATTATTGAGTGGTGAAACTTAATACTTTTTCACTAACGCTTCTGTGTTTACGAATTGGCAGTTATTATTATTATTTGACTTGTATAAAGGTGACAGTTGAACTTAATTTGCATGGCGTTTGATCCGTTCAACTTTTATTTGAAAGCTGAAGAATTTCAGCTGTGATTTATTACGATTAGTTGTTGAAGAAGACGTATTTGAAGTATTCCATTGCAAATGAGTGAGCCGCTCACTCTCAATTCCTTCAAAATCCATGCTGATTTGCTCAGACATTGGTGGGTTCGAAAATTGATTGGTCATAATTCGCACAATACCGTAAAAATGTCACTTTCTCCAATGCCAATTTACCTCATGCTACGATTCTATTAAAATCTTTTCGTATATATCTAAATGTACCTAAAATCATTTTGCCAAATTTAGAATCAGCCTGACATTCTGATCGCATTAATATCAATATCCTACATGCCAAAAATGAAGGATAGAATAATAAGGACGAATGCCCGTAAGGGTAAGACGCATAAGACGAAATCGATCCGCCGCCGCGACGTCGTAGGAAAATTTTGAAAAGTCAGAAAATGTCAAACATTAAAAAAATCGCGAAAATTCGGGAATCCAATTGCATTTAATAAGGAAAATATGAATAGAATGATTTAATCTTCAATTTATTTTCATTTCTTTATATCTTTATATAAAAAGGAGGAACGAAATCGATCTCAAAATATTTCGAAATGTCTCGAATAATCGCAAGGGAAAGACCCGGAAGACGAAACCGACCCACCATCACGACGCAACTAAATCTCAAACATTTTCAATCAAAGCGCGTGCGGGACACGTTTTCCAAATAATATAGGCGAAATGACTTTCAGGTGAATTACGGATTAAGCGAAATGATTTGAGGAAAATTGAGATTTACATTTTGACATTCGGCAAAGTGGCATTTGGTGTCTCGGCGTTCGGCAAATTGCACCTTTAGAATCCTTACAAATCTATCTTTTGAATTTCTATAGATTTTTCCGACGGCCTAACATACGCCCAGACATAGGATTTTTTATATGAAAAATGTCCATCAATTTTCAAAGGGACGAGGGTGGTCTGCCGACTCATTTGACGTGGAAAACACATTTTCTCTTTTTCTGTTTTAAAACCGAAATCCTCTCGATATCTTTCTTTCGATGATTCATAAGAGAGAGCCTAGCCCTGTTTATTTTGAATTCTCTTATGTTTCTAATATTTCCCTCGATAATTTGACTTTATTGATAAAATTCTTCGTCCAACTGGCGAAGCATTGCTAAAGCTGTTAAGAAAGCACGAAGAATTGGAAACAGCAAATTGCCGAATTTATGAAAGATAAACCAAAAAAAAAAAGAAAGATAAATTGGGGATGAGCTTTATCGGACAATACAATGTAGGTGGTGATGAAATTGGAATGGCGGCCATGAATGTGTATGGACAACCGCCACACGCGCAACACGTGTATCTCCCTTCCTACTACCAGGGCCAAATGACCTACACCCGTAAGTGCCAAATTCACTGTCTCGCTGTGTTTAGCCCCCCATGAAGCTATATGTTATATTCCTTTATTCACAACCCATTGTCAACATGCCATAATCCAGCATTGACATAGGCATAGATTATTGTGTCTACTCATGAGAAATTAGAATTCACATTTGAACTTTTCCCCCGGCTGAATCACATCACTCAACTTATATTTATTCGATTAATTAATATTCACTGTATGACTTCTCCAGTCTACTCATCATCTAGATCACAAGCAGAACCATCTCTATTATTAGACCCGCCCCTCCTCACCCCCTGTCCTTGATTATTCTCGCTGGAGATATCTGCAGTAGTGCAAGATTGAAAAACTCAAGAAGACACTATCAGTCCATCTGCTTTCCTTCAACCCCGTCAATTCAATACGTCATATTTAAGTGATTCCTTTCCCTTTATCTCTCTGTTTCCCCCAATCAATTGGAGACTCGCGGAAGCTATTCATGTACTTTAATTATAGAATCCGACCTTGTGGACCGATCAGTTCCCCTTCGTTATTGAATCCGCATCATTTGAGCATTCCAAGTGAAAATATCTGGTACAAAAAAAACCTGATGAACATTTTTATCAGTTGTACCTTAACTGCAATTTTACGAATTCAGAGACAATAGGAGATTTGATAAGAAGGAATTTCGCTTTATTTTACTGGAAAATTATAATGTTATGAGAACATCGTGATTATATCAGTAAGATTAGCTCTCAATGATAGTAACGGACTGATCATTTATAAATACAGAATGGTGTCATCTGTTATGAATCATAGTTAATTTAATCTATTTTCTAATTTCTTAGAATCAATTAGAGAAATTCTGTACCAAGTGTTCTCGCAGATTAAGCTTTGCTCATGTATGTCACCGATAACCGGCGATTAATGGACTCAGGGAAAATTTGAAAAGTTTTTCTCTCAAGAACTAGGAATGATCTGTTTATAAATTTGTTTGCAATTTTTTATGAACCTCTGCCTTTTGAATATAATTCCAAAGCAATCTTCAGATTTATTTCAGATCCATTTCTTTCCATTGTTGTTCTTTTATAAGGCATTCAAACCATCGGTCTATTTTGCTTCTTTGCACTACTTGAACATTGCGATAAAATTCTCATACTCTAAGAGCGGATACGATAAATCAGTACGTCAAAAGGGCCTTGCACGCTCTCAAACGCTATTGAAAAGGGGCACAAAAGAAGTCAAATGTCAACATGACCCCGATTAGGTAATTTTTAATATTGTAAAAATGCACGTCCACTGCAGAAATTAGGGCAACGAATAGCGAATTACCATAAATTGACAATTGAGAACTTGAAATTCATCAAGTGGCAGTGTGAACGACTCAGGGTTGCGATGCTAATTAGCCCAAGCCAGTCTCTGACACATTAAAGATGATGATGATGATTCTTGGGCTTGCAGTGTGACAAAGCCCTCCAGTTGTTTTAACGATATCGACAGCATAATAGACAGACATTTGTTGCCCACACCCGTTAGCTACCTGTTACATAATCAATCGTCGTGCTGCCTTCTAGCCTTGTTCCATGGTTCTTATTTTGCCGTGTAGTTAGTTCGATGTGAGAGCTGGCTGACTGCCAAACGCAGAACTCTTGACCGAAATATACGTCAATTTATGTAATCCTGTATATTAGTGTAGCTTTACGGAGGAGTCGATTGAAAAAAAACCGTAAAAAGGAGCAAAAGGATATAAATAAGGACTGATTGATTGACATCAATGCATTTTATGACGATTGATGGGAAATTCATCGAGAATAAGCTAGCAGGCTGTTGTGATCCTTATGACAGGCGTTGAACAACAGAAATGCAGTGGGGAAGAGTATAAAAATTCATTACCAACGAATGGGTGGGGAGAAAATATAGGATGAGAAACAGCGACGCCTCACCGAGAGATGCTATTATAAAATTGGTGCTCCATGAACGTGAGGTCATATTACTAGACGTTCGCCTGATCTTGAATCAATCTTGGATTGGTTGAAGTCGCTGTTCCTGATTACCCATCGGGTCATACGCAGGCGTCATAGCTGGAGTCTTTTGAATACCGGCTCGAGTGGTGTATCAAATGTGCCAATACAATCCGTCGATTGCAATTCGATAAATTTCTTACGTGTTCAATCGGTGATTTTTTGTGCATCGCGTACACAATTCTGACTAACGAGTGATCTGTGCGGTTTTATCAAAAAACAATTTCTCCACAAACTTATATTATTTTTTTTTTAAACGTTCTTGTAAGTCAATACTTGTTCATTGTACGGTGTAATTGACAGTTTGTATTAACAAGAGTTTTACGAGATTGCAATTGACATTTTAATTTGATAATTGACAAAGGAGACGAGTTAACATCATGGCCAAGGACAAGACCGTGAAAATTCGCAAGAAGTCAAAGAAGATGGCCTGTTGTGGATGCACTCGCAACAGGAACAGCGACGTTTTTTGTAATTAAAAACACGTGAAATTATCACCATTTACAATTCACATAATCATTGCATTATGGCAAGCATGACGCAATAGGAGAAAAAAATAATTAACGCTACTCATTCAACACATTCAGCTGAGCCCAATTACTCCATCATCAAAGCAAATATCGCGAAAAAAGAGTAATTCCAGGGGAAAAGAGAAAATTGCCTGCCAATAAAATTGCTCTGGCATTATCAAATGAAATTAGTGTCAATAAAACCTGCGGGATCACGGCTATTTTGAATTTTTAACTGATCACAGATAATGATACTTCCTCTCCACGCTCTGTACATTATATATAATGGGTTATTTACTCGTAATTTGATTACATCATGTTCTTTAAGGAGCGCGTCGCCGTTCAAACGAATGGAGGAAGCGATTGGTATTCATATCTAACATCTGGGTCAGGTAGCTACTGCCACAGTGATGAATCTCACGATGCATATTTTTCTTTACATGAAGTTGCACATAAATATTATTACAATTCATGAAAAATATTATTTTGGATGCGTTGAACGTGCCCGTAAATCCAGCGTAGATACTGCTAATTAGGAGTTTTATCACTTGCCCAAGTTCACCGTTAAATGATACTGCAAGTCGAAAGTCGAAAGATTATAAACTATTTCATATTTCGCTATTAATTAGATGACATTTTCCCATCAGCTTACGAATTTTTAGTTCAACGCGGTTCGAATAGAACGAAGCGAACAGAAGAATTGGGAAATATTCACCAATTATTTTTTAAAAGCTGACATTTCTTCTCACTCATCTGAAATAAATTTGAAGATTATTTTTAAACTGTTTTGAAAAGGTAGAGATTCCGAGGAATTCAACAAACTGTTATAAACAATTAGGAGAATATTTATTTTTCACAAGCGTCGACACCTGCAGGTATTTGCAATATAAATGACGGAATGATTTTTTAAATCGAAATTTAATCTAATGACAATTTTGTAAACATTCTCGTCAGAGATGCGTTGAAGATAAATAGATAAAAAAAATTAAATTGCTGTTCAATGACAAAAAAGGTTTGAGGATAATTGAAAAAAAAATTTTATAATCAACAGAAATTTTGTGCGCGAGTAAATGAAAGGACTATTATTAGAGTTGGTTGAATCAGTTCCATAGTAGTAGCACTTGATCAATTAGTCCTCATAAAAAAGATAACATCTTCGATTCGCTGATAGAAAAGCCTCATATAAAACAAGAGGTGTTTGTGACAGTATCCTTGAGCATTGCGAACAGAATTAGAGAAGTGCATTCATCGTTTCAAGTGTACTTTTGCGTTGTACAATTTTTTTTCCATCGTTTTTGCATAATGTAAGCCATGACGCACTATTAGCATTCACGAGATTCTTGGTCAAATGAACTCGTGCCAAGTTTTACGTATGAAGCAAGAAAATCATTTACGATTATGAATAGTAAATTTAGTGTAAAGAATTTTATACATGAGCATGTGACGAGTTTAAAAAGCATGACAAAATGTTGAGTGAGTAGGCGTCATTTGAGAAGATTCATGCTGGGTTAATTGGACAATCCACCATAACTGATATAATACATTCCTGACCTATTCGTTAATCCCCCAATCGACGTGAAAATCCCATTAAATTTGTTATGAGGGCTTTTTTCATGCGTTATTGAATACAAATAAGCATTCTATATTTGCGTAGAAATTCGGCACGGTTATATTAAGCTGATGAGTGAGGTGATGTAAACGATAGCCCTGAAAAAAATCCAACATATGCAGCACTCTATTTGTTTTCCTAAATGTTGAATGGTGCTCGGAAGGAAGTTGTTATGGATGGATTGGGAAACCGGGCCAGGGTAATCAAATAATTATAGCATCGAAGAGATAAATATTCTGGCTTTTTGAATATTGCGTACGTAGGCTTCGCTAAGTCCCTGGTATTCCATTTCCTGAGTTCCAATCTCAATACTTTAGTGGAACTAGTTTGATGTCTCATCGCTTTTTCCAACTCACCTCGAATCATCTAGGTAATATAACAATTCCTAAGTGGAGGGATGAAGGGATTCAACTCCAAAAATCACATATATCTTGTTTTGTAACTACATCAGGAATGTGTGGGTTTCGGAGAATAAATCAAAAGTCCATCTTTGTAATAATCAGGTCTTTTACAATAAAATCTTGTCACGGATTCCGTTAAACCCACTCGATTCTCGACTATTAATAGAATAAAGTCGTTGCCGTCAAATTAAAGGGATATAAGTGCTTTTTTTTAATTCCAAGAACTTTGAACGCCGTGTTTGAAATACGCATCAGAAAATATCGAAATTCCAGAAATTTTCCACGAAATACTATAAATATATATACTTGTAAGAGTCTATGTAGGTGATAGAGTAGGGAAATCACTCTATCGAGCACAAGTCAATATGAGAGAAAATATTTCACATCGTAAAGAAAGCGACATCTTTTTCACGTTAAAAAATATATAAGCATTACGTCGATTTCACATATAGTCTTAAAAAAAAATATTTATGCAGCAAACATGACACTTGATTTTCACAGCCCTTTAATTTCACGATGATGATAAGCAAGTGATTTTGGGAGTTACATTACTTCATACCTTGATTGAAGATTTTAATTATTGAAACTCAGAGGCTCATTGTTAATACTTGATGTTTTGTTGTTATCATAATCATGGTGTTTTATGAATGTTCATTTTCTCCGTCTGTTTTCTCCAGAAATTAGGTTTTTTTTTCGATTACTCTATTAAATCTTGCATTTACAGGCGAAGATCCAATGCTCAGTGACCAGCAGCAGTATCGTTACATGACTGTTGATGACATGAAGTCAATGGGTGACGATTCAATGAGGGTAAATGTTACCGACGATGAGAAGGACAATCGACATTCCGGAGGTCAGTCCATTAAGTCTCATTACAGCTATTAATCTTCTCACGTTCGAAAATCTTTTGGAATGATATTTTTCATTTGATCGTCCTCATTCTCCACCCAATATCTACAACTATTCTCTATTATTCTCATTCACAGGTGTTAGTGTTACCGATATGGTAACCAAAGAGACCTATCAGCGTACTAATGCAGCGAATCTCAAACCTGACAACGTAGATATCCACAGACATCCAGTACACGTTGGGTACGTGTTTAATTTTTTTTTTCATATTCAATACAATAATGAGTTTAAGGAGATGATAAATCCCTGTACGTATCTTCGAATTAACAAATTTGAGAACTTCGAAGAACATCAGATGATTATCTGTAAGGATGTTACAATGGAACTAGATAAAACACGAAACAATATTTTGTGTATTATAGAGTGATTACGGGTATGAATGAATGTGGGAAATATGTGAGCCTAACAGACTAAATTATCTTGGGAAAGCATTCAATGATTTTTTTTTTACGCAATTAAATAGAGAAGTGGTAAACCAGTTGGATTGAAAATCATATTTAATTGGATAGTTACAATAAATCACCAGAGCTTTTTTGAATAAGAAAGGAACTTTCCACTCCACAGATCGAAAGCTATTAGCGAATAATCAGTTCACCAATTTTTACTACTTCACTAATTGATTTCGCACGCGATGAATTGATAAGAAAATTTGTTTTTATTAGCACAAAATATTAACAGAAATGGATGAGGCAGTTTTTTTTTACTGAGTTGGAATGTGTGTGTAACCTGGCATGATTTAACATATTTCAATCCTACTAAAACTTGGAAATTGCTACTACAAAACCGTTCATTATTCATCGTGAAACAAAGCAATCGGAGAAAAGAAAACGTGGCTAGTCATTCTGATAAATGTCGAATTAGAAATAAAATGTATGTGTTGTCATCGATGAAAATTATCTATCAATTGTCTAGTTGTCTATCATGAGGAGTTGCGATGCGTGAAGGTTTTAGCCTACTAAATATTCTATGGTGACACTATACTGTTTTATGCATAGAAATAAGGTAGCCATTGGTGGTGAAATACGACCACGCTCAATCCCGTTGCGGTAAACTGACTTCATTGAGAGTTCCTCCCGTAAAGTTCGTTTCATTCAGTAAAATTCTTTCGACGCAACGGAAAGAGCGACTTCATAGAGGGGTGGCAATGGGGGGAAGCAGGGGGGGGGGGGCAATGAGTCTTATACAGTATTCCCTAACATACGGTCCTCTGTGCTACTCTTTGTGCTCTACGCTCCGTGAATAAAGGCGTACCGCGTAAATCACAGTATTATAATAATAATATAAACTTTTACATTTTTATAGTGAAAACGTGGCGTACGCGCAATGTAGTTTACCATTTATGATTCACGTTGTCCTTCGTGAATCGTTGATTTATCGTTATTTTAGTTTGAAACAAAATTTTAGTACTTATTATACAAGCACATTAGAAACATTCATCTGAGGTGTCTGCTGTCATCATCGCCGCTATGTTGTAAGAGTTTTATCCACTGCACTGTAGTTTAGTCATTTTTTTATTTATTTTCGAGTTGATATTTGCTGAAAAGTGCGTAAAGAGGATGAGTGAAATATTGAATGTAGGAACTTTTCTGACGATTGTGAGTTTACAGTCCGGGGCGAAGATGAGCAATGTAAATACAATCGTCAGAAAAGTGCTTTTCGGCCGAGTGACGAACGATATTTTTTGTCATTCAGCGGTTGTGAAGCGTTTTCTCACGGACTGAGTGACAAAAAATAGATTTTTGTCAATAACTCTTGAGGCTTTGAGCTTAGAGAAAATCAATGAACACATCTTAGGATTGATTTCTTTGACTTTCTTTCTCTCGATGATATTTGCAAATCCGTTTGGAACTCATCTTCTCTTCTCACTTATTGGAGAATTAGTTTGATGTTTATTCACATGATTATTCTCTGCACGAATGAGAGTTGAAGATTTTGTGAAAACCTTGGGAAATCTCAACTGTGACATTGGAGAAGAGAGTAAAGAGTTATTTAAAAAATTGAGCATGAGCACGGTTTAGAGACAATTACCCTACTATAATTATTATGGAATTCTGTTCCAATACTTAGACTGTCACTAGAGTTCTTAAATTCGTCGCTGGCGGCCCTTGGTAGCCATTCAAAAGGACAAGGAATGTGGAGGGACAGGTATAAAAATCAATTTTTATCACTAAATTAATAGTTAATTTATTTACATTTTCGGTCAGTGGGTTTCAAAAGTTTTTAATTTATTATCATTTTTTTCTAAATTAATCCGTTGTTTAATCACTGGAGTGTTTCTAAATTCCTAAACTATCTCTTACATTTTTTACTTGATTAATGTTAACAAACGTAAATTACTCTATTAAATTACTTGGAAAGGCGTGATGGAGTTCAATTCTGAATAAATTATCAGACATTTGAGCAATGCAAATTAGTAAGTGACGACTGATAGTTGCGAACAGAACAGTGGACGATAAATATCCATCATGATGCGATGAGAGTATGGAATGAAAACGCATCTAGTGGCTGTCGATGTATTGATTCCTCGATTATTCACTTTTCTCCCCTTTTTAATGGTGTTCACATTGTTGATCTATGTGTATTGCTTTTGAGCTTACACAGTGCGTTCCTGTAATCCTGATTCACCTCAAATTGTGTGAGTGAAGTGCTTCCCAAATCTCTACTATAATACATTCTTATTGTTTTGCTCGAAAATAGAAAAATATGTATGTACCCTTCCATTGATTATTAAAGAACAATGCAGCGCCTAATGGTGTGAAACAATATGATCGGTACATAAGTTGATATTAATCGAGAATAAATATCCAAGGAGATTGAAAAATTAAAACTAAAAAATCCTTATTTACGAAAATTTTTGAAATATTCTCTTGGCACCACATGATAAAATCATTTGATGGATTTTTCAGACTAGTCATTAGGCATATTGTTCAACCATGATCATCGGAATGATCGACATATTAATCGGTTTTACGCATCAACGATACATTTTTCAGGAAAATAAACACCTTGAACTCATAATTCATTTTAAATTCGAAAAGATGTAAAAGAGATTGTTCTGCGTCTCGAGCCAAATAAATATACTAACGCGTTATTTTTATTTTGTTTCCGATCCTTTCTGTTATTTTATTTACGCTCCTCGCAGAATTCCACAATGGAGAAAGTAAGTGAACATGTCTTGAATTTTTCTCCTACGCCTAATTTCATTATATATATTTTTTTGTTATGGCAAAGAGAAAAAGAGAGAGAGAAAGATACCTCTGTAATCGTTCACACAGCCGTCACGTTCTTATATTTTGTATGTTGCTCGCTCTGTACCCATGTTCTTTCTTTCAAATAGAGTAGAGCTTGATTAATGGTTATCACATAGTTATCGTTATTTATAATAAAATGGTGTAAGGGCGAATGAATTCACTAAAGCAAATGTATTTGCTTGCTTCCGTTAAAAGCGTCTAGAGAATCACCTCTATTTTATATTATTTAATTATAAGAAGAACTATATCACCGAATGGTTCAACTCGCTAAATGCAATGTGCTAATAGTTGTAGATGGTGCGGTAATGTTCATCGTTTAGCGTTCATCACTCAATCATCTGCTTTATTCACAAAAAATCAACACCTCACAACATCGAATTTAATTCTATCTTAATTCTCGATAATACCAAGTTACCAAAGCACTTACAAATTAAAACTACACATATAATGCACGGAAAAGGATGGAGGGCAATTATCCATATCACAATTATGCATAAAGACGATACCTTAAATAGGAAATCACTGTATACACATTCAATTATAATTCTCTCTCGTAATTTCGCTTGAACATTAGCTGATTGTTACTCTCCCCTACTCACGTTGGTCGAAACGTTATACGTTAATTACTTAGCGCATTTTAAATAACTAACGGTGTTATTTCTATTTATTAAGCAAATATTCAAATAGACACGGTACATCAGGTTCAATAGCACCAATAATCCGCCATAAATTCCTTAAGAATATTCATATAGTTCAATATTTTACGTTATTTCTCAAGAATAGAGAAGATTGTACAATTACAATCTGAGTCAACACAACACACCAAATTATCGATAATGAGTATTTTTAAAAATCTCAATTGACAGCTAATCATCCGATAAGTATTTGGCTTTCGATTATTCTATTATTTTTTTTCCCCATTTTACTACTCATATCGATATTTGGTGAGAACAAGTAGTCGTGATAGAAGAATTTTATTATTTTTCCACATTTTCAATAAAGTATTCAATACTCTTTAGGACTGTTCTAGAGATAAATTAATAAGTCTAGAAGTACAAATTTCAATTTATCTTGAAACAACATCAAAATTTTATTCAACACATTTTTGTATCACAGAAAGTGGGAATCATTTGGGCTGTGGCCTGGTTCTACGTTGATTAAAAATTCTATTAACTGCAACATTTTTTTTTTCACCTAGTTAAATGAGAAGCTGAAACTCTATGTATTGCAAAATCGCCTCGTGTAATGATTAATTGAGAACTAAATCAGTAGAAAGAATCGACATTTTTTTTTTTGTTTTGCATAAATGTGCGGACAGTGAGACTGTTTGATTGGTTGATGTATGGATGAATTATAATTTTGTCATTATGGTATACAGCTTCCTGGTTTCCTTTCTGGTGGATGCACGTGGGGGTGCGATGAGAGGCTGTCGACACAGTGGCGTACGTGTTATTGTACCACCGAGAAAGGCAGCGATGCCCATGAGAGTTACGTGCAGATATTTGAAGAGGGATAAACTTACAAATCCACCACCTTTGATGGAGGGCGAAGCGCTTGCTAGTAGAATTCTTGAACTTGGTCCAGTTGGCGCCAAGTTTTTGGGGTATAGTTATGATGAGATTAATTTCCTTCGTGACTACACGAATTTTTATTGTAATTCGCATCGTATATATTTATTTCATAGGCCAGTGATCATTGAAGTTCCACATTTTGCATCACTTCGGGGTAAAGAACGAGAGATTGTAATTCTACGATCAGATAATGGAGAGACCTGGCGTGAGCACACCCTGGAGGCTAGTGAAGAGGCTGTACAGGATGTGCTAAATGAGAGCTTTGAAGGAGAAGGTATAGTTTTATAATGAGGAAGCAAATGCTTTTTAAGGAATAAATTACCTAACCAGTTCCTTTGCATTAGAATCACATTATAAAAACGGCAAACTAAATACTACCGACACATTTCAGAATTGAGCCAGCTAGAGGATCTTCAGACTTCTCGAATCGTTCGAATTCTCACGGTAGATTTCCCACACTACTTTGCAGTGGTATCGAGAATAAGACAAGAGGTGCACGCAGTTGGTCCTGAAGGTGGAACTGTTTCATCTTCAGCAGTACCACAAGTTCAAGCAGTATTCCCACCTGCTGCATTGACGAAAAAAATAAGAGTCGGTCTGCAGGTAAATATTATTTTCAGTACAGGAGTACTTATCGAAAATTCATATGAAAAATAATTAGACGTGGGGTTGAATTGAAAGATTTATAATAAGTTTATACACTGAAATTTCTAGGCACATCCAATACCCGTCGAACTGGTAGCCAAACTTCTTGGTAATCGTGTGGCAGTATCACCAATAGTAACTGTCGAGCCTCGACGAAGAAAGTTTCACAAACCAATTACACTGACGATACCTGTACCTCAAGCGGCTAACAAGGGCATGATAAATCAGTACTCTGGCGAGACCCCAACATTGAGGCTGCTTTGCAGTATAACTGGTAATATATGCTTGCACGTAACAATGTAGGCGCAGCAACTAGTTTGGCTTAACGAATCTCTACTCATCAGTAAATTCATCACAATTCTCTCTTTGCTCTATAAACAAAAGCTCATAGTAATTTTGATTCATCAACGGATTTTATCAATTACTGAATGGAGATTAGCAGAGCAAGTGGTAGCTGCACTATTCATTGATAAAAACATGTCAATTTAATTGATGAAACAATAAAGAAAGCATTAAATTTTGAAAACGAATCATGATAAAGAAAGTAACATATAATCGACTATCATTGTTGTATACATATCTTGTTGTGATTCATTGTTAATGCTTGCGTATTGTTTAGGATTGAGTCATTTAGGTATGGATCATTAATTAAATGTAGATAAAAGAGATTTGATTTTTTTCATTTTATATCAAATCTATTTTTAGCTAATTATGTGTTTCTTAACGCGATAATTTTTGTTTTAGCACAGTTCATTTGATAATTTGAGCATCGCTTCGAATATGTTCATTCCAATATCAAACTATGTATTGATCATTTCCCATTCTGATTTTCCGTTTGAAAAAATTCATTAAAATATTGCAACAAATGCAAACCCATTCATTTGGTGAGAGAGAAGAGTAGAAATTCATGTTCATATTTTCATCTATCCCTTTCATAATAAAAAGTAAAAGATCAAGTTTTCAAACTCCCATTGGAGCAATTATCATTACATATGTGTTACCGTCATTTTCAATACCATAATTTCGTCATAATTTCGCCAGCTTCAATAGCAATTCACACTCGCTGCTTTATAATCGGTGTTTATATTATTATTCTTGTCAAGAACTATCTTCATGTTATTATTTGGCAAGCCTCATATAAGTGAGTGACACTTATAATTCTCGTTTTTTGACATCAAATACCAAGCACATAACAATAAGGCACATACAAAAAACCTGAATTTAAATACAGTAAATGATTCCATGTTTCATTAGTATTACTCCTTATGGAGGAGAAGAGATGTTTCCGGAGGAACATCTGTATTTAATATCAGTGAAGTTGAATAACTATATCTCACACGATTCACGTTTGCCGTCGAGCAGTACTGCATCACGGACATATTTTAATAATGTTGTTGGACTTGGCATGTATGTCGTTCAGGGGGTCAGTCACGGGCGGTCTGGGAGGACGTAACAGGCTCAACACCTCTCCAATTCGTCAAGGATTGTGTTTCATTCACAACAACTGTCTCAGCTAGATTTTGGTTGATGGACTGTAGAAATGTCACCGAAGCAACCAGAATGGCTACTGAACTTTATACCCATGCTACTCATGTTCCTTTCATGGCCAAGTGAGTTCATCTTCCATTTTATTTATATAAAAGCTTAGTAGCTTGTATGAATTTACTCTAATTATGGGAGAAATAAGCAAAAAAAAACCAATGGCATTTCCAGGTTTGTAGTTTTTGCAAAACGTGTGGATCCTCTAGAGGCACGTCTCCGTGTATTCTGCATGACAGATGACAAGGAGGACAAAACATTGGAACACCAAGAGCACTTCACAGAAGTGGCAAAAAGTCGAGATGTAGAAGTTCTCGAGGGTAAAACTCAGTACATGGAGTTTGCTGGTAACCTCGTGCCAGTTCTGAAGAGTGGCGAACAACTTCAATTGCCCTTCCGGGCATTCAAGGAGAATCGTGTGCCATTCACCGCTCGGGTTAAAGATCCAGACGCAGCGGACATGGTCGGTAGAATAATGTTCATGAGTGAGCCCAAGGTAGCCAAGGGTGAGCCACCCCAAACTCCAATTTGCACACTAAACATTCTTCTTCCTGAGAAAATTTCACCTGACGCGGCACACAGTGAACTTGACCTCCTCGAATTATCAAAGAACTACAGCTTCTTGAGGGACGGTGGTATAACTAGACCCGACACAATTCACCGAGCCACTATTCGTCTCACCGATATCGCCAATCTTCTCGATCGTGATTGGGAGAAACTCGCCGAAGAAATCAATATATCACCGAGTGATGTGGAATTAATAAAGTTAGAGCATCCAGACAAACCGGCTCTCCAGGCCGCTACTATGTTCAAGATATGGCAGGCCAACGGAAATAAAGCCACAGGTGAGAATTTCTCATTTTCATTGATTATTTCTTCTCTCTCACACCCGTGTGCCTTGACTTTTAAACATACAAGAATCATAACCAAACAGGAAATATACTTCTGTTTATATGAATGCTAAAAATTGAGAGGAGAAAAATAAAACGGGCAATTCGCGCCTAATAATAAAACCAACGCATCGGTGGAGCGTGTCCTTGGTCCCGATAGAGTCACAATTCAATCATGTAACTCCCTCAGATGGAATTTGAATTCATTATGCACTCTTTGCTCGTCAATCTTAGCAAAAATGTTGGCAAAAAAATTATTGATTCTCAAATACGCAGAGTAATAATAAATATCGTATCTAATCGTTTGATAAATAAAGATTAATGAATGTTCCAAGTGAGTCAGATGCCTGGAATCTCTACAGAAACGTAGTTTATGATCTCACTCCTCACTTGGAACTCCGGTCATTATTATGCCTGTGGTGTAAACATGTGGAGGATTGTCTCACTCCCTCTTCCCTCATCACTTCCACTGTGATTTCCACAGTTCTCTTCCCCGTGCCACTTGTCGTTGCGCGTCTTCCATGCTAATCGCATTGTCACAATCATCGGCGCCGTCAATAACATTTAGTTCACAAGCTGACAAATACGAAACACTCGGAGTTCATTAGTATCTGCGTAGTCGTTTTTAAGTGAAAGGGATTTTCTCCACAAGAATTTTTCGTTAAATTACAGTAAGAAAACCCTCAGGGCTGTGAGAAATTAGTTAAATTGTTGTGACGATGTTCATAACGCTCTATCAGGCTTATGAAAATCCATCAGTCTCTGGATATACGAGTGAACTTCACTTATTGTTCAACAGAAATTCATCTTCGCGAGCTCGTGTAGTCTATCACGAAGGTTTGTTGAATGCGGCTGTGGTAATACGATAAGCAAAATTTGTCGAGTTTTCAATATCTTGCTGGAGCTACTTCATTATGTTCTATTGAATTCTTGCAATGCAAAGTCTATTGATTGCATTCCGTTACTGCCAGCTCAATTTCTCTACGATATTAATGAAACAAGGGCACATTTTTGCACACTTCAAGCGCAAGGAACACTCTTTTTTCATCAATATCATAAAATATTGTGCGGTGCATGTGAAAAAAATATTTTCCAAAGAGTGTGGTGACCTTCACATTTATCAAAAATATTTTTTTTCCATTTTGTCATAATATATTATTTGAAGATGAAAATTCCGTAGAAGATGTGTTATAGAAAAAACTGTTCAATGGGCAATTTTGTCTACTGCGAAGATCCACTGAAAGATGCTCATAAAGGCACTAATCTTCCTTCCATTTGTATGATCGTAAAGAGGATCATTTGCGATTTGAACAGTTTCAACAATCTGTGTTAAAATTTATTCATGAGCTGTATATTAATGTTTCCGTTGTCTTGTTCTGCTCGGCAGGGAATACTCTTGAGAAGGCCCTCAATAAAATTGGACGTGAGGACATTGTGAAAAAGTGTATATTCAACGTTGAACTGGTGACTGACGACGTTGAGAAGGCGGTAGCAAGGGTCAGACTTGATCAGCCCGGTTTTGATTCACTTAAAGAGGAGCTCGGTCCATCCAGAGACTCCTCATTAAGACGAGATGGTACACTCGCCGATCGTAAAACAGATCTTGATTACGAGGAGCCAGATCGAATGAGAGTAAGTAATAATTGCTCGCTTCTTACGTCTTCATTTTTATTTATCAAAATTGAAGAGATGGATTTACGGTTTATCTTCATTATGAAATGACCCAATTGACTGATGACTGTGACACAATGATCAACGAATTCCAACGAATTCCAACGAATTCCAACGAATAAAATTCAAGTTTACCAAATGCCAAGAATATCTTCCCTCCCATTAGCTACTTCCCACAATTGTTCAAGTCAATGGGAAATTGCCTCATTCGTTGAGAATTTCAATAATTGTTGGACAGGCGCTACGGGTTGGCGTTTTCTCTAATCTTCTTTCTGTCATTTGCAGGACTCTGAGTCTATCGAGGATCTCAGAGCTGTCGGTAACGTGCCGCACAAACAAAGTAAGTACTATCATCATGAATACATAATTCTTTAAAATTCTTTATCGTATGTTCTTTCGTTCTATCAACTCACGTTCTTTCATAAAAAACATTGATGCTGACAATAACTCAGAACATCCGAGAAATAATATTTTAATAATAATTCGTTACACATCTAAACGTTTCGTCAGACACCACGTCATACGTGAGATCATATTCTGATTCAAGTTAGTAATCTGTTAATTCTGTTAATCGTTGGTCATTTCGCAGCAAGAATATTACTCAATTTTGACTCATGCTGTGGAAATGACAAAAATTTATTCAAATGCAAAGACGGTATAAAAAAGGCACTGAATCACAATACTATTCACGCAGCTTCATTCACTCAACTCAGCGAAATACGCCTTACTGCTATTGCGCAGCAATACACAGTTTTGTAACTTCAGCTTTTTTTAATGTACATTCCTCGTCGTACGATTATTCTTTAAAATTCTTCCTGAGTTACATCATTATGACACGACAAGGGTGGAACAACACATCAAAATATTCCAATATAACACGTCGAATAATTGGTGTTGAACCATTCATTGACCTTGGTGGCATTCCAGATACCTTAACCGACATTCTTCGACATCAACAGACTTCTTGTTCAGTTATCACCTTCGCTTTTACACTTTTATTATGTAATTTCGTTTTTTTGACGAGTTAATAGCGATTTATTTATGATGTTTTAATGCATAAGGAAAAGAAGAATGTGGACATTCATTCAATTAGGTAGATTACACTAAGAAAAAGAATTTGCTCGGTTGAAAAGGGGCATGTTCAGCTGGATAACATTTTTTGGTCTCAAAAAAATTCTTTTCCAGAAGAAAATTTTATCCAGCGAAAGTTAAATCATTTCTGCTCAAAAATTAAGCAATGCGATATGAATGCACATCCTTTTGAGTAAAAACCGAGTCGAGCTCTCAGTCACTGAAAGGATTAATTTCAGAATATTAACTATTTAATTACCAGAATATCTTAACAGAAAGATATTTCATACATAATAATTAAGGCTAGTTCGCCTGCGATAATCATATTTATCAAGTGGTCCATTTTCTTCTTCTCTTCAATATAAATGTCGTCTTTTCACAAAGGGTGCAGACACTTGAATTTTTCTGCACATGTTCTATAGCAAAACCGCAGCACATTACAATCAATGGCACTACGGTCTTCAACGGTACCTCCACCCCAATTAAAGACAAATACGCTAGCGACGAAAAAGAACTTGTCGACGAAATGGCTGATTTTCTGGAGCATAAGTGTCATAAGACCGACACAATGACTAAAAGAATACGAGACGAAGCAGACGATGACAATAGAAATCGACAAAAGATAATTGAGGATGCGAACAGACTGGTTACTGGTGAGTAACTAGATAATTATACTCTTTAACTTAATCAATGAAAATTGGGAATATTTTTCATATGAACTAGTGATTTATCTGGAATTATGGTGGTGGGTGAGAAGGATAATTAATTGATTGAGTGGGTTGACGGCCGTTTATTGTCTGCCTGAGCAAAAGAAGATGTATAACTTTTTTTCAGCTAAGAACGCGTGTGTGCCTTGACTCTGGGCTATTGGTTCTCTCTTTATTACTTCGTTAGATGTCTACGCCTTTTTAGTTGCCTATTTTCACGATCTGTATCTATATGTCTCGTATAAATGGGGATTTTATTTTATTGAAATATTATTCGAGTTGACGCTCATATATTTAAATTCGATAGAACGTGATATTGGATTTATTTGATGAGGATTAACTTTTAAATAAAATCAGTACTTGATAAAATCACTCTTAGCATGAAAGCTCATGGAGAATTCCATTCAAACAGCAAATTTCTATCAATTGTCTCATCACCTGAAGTACGACAGCAATTGCCTATTTTTGTCATCATCTCATCAGTTAATTTCACCAGCGATTTACCTCGATTAAATCGTGTTTGCTACCGTTTAATTTATCATTAGTTTACTACACTTTTTATTCCCTTTTTACATCGACAATCTCTCACTAACTCCATTGGCATCTGTACAAATGCAAAAAAAGAAATTATCATTCTGTGTATTCACGTGCAAAAATACTATGCTGCAAGACATTACACGGGCTCTCACGTTTTCTGACACTTTTTCGTTTGTGACACTTTTTTTTAGTTATTATAATATAAATGATGGCTTCCTTAGCCTTGACAAAAATAAAACATCATTATATATCTTATAATTTTCTATTAATTACTATTAATCGAAACGAAATCATGCAATCTGTCCTCCTAAAATGGGAAGTAATGCGTGCCATATGATTTCGCTTTCTTTTGTGAACTATTGATCACTGGAGATTAAGCAGTTAATTGCTTGGCAATAGCCCAACCCTCTGCGTGGTTATTGTTTAAAACCAGTGTTATGATTTTCTTTTATTATTACTGTAATCTATATCTTCTATTCTACTGAACAATTAAAATTTTATATTTTTCAACAGCATATAATATCACGTTTACGGCAAAGCGCAAGAATTTTAATAAATACTAAATATTCTTTAGCGTTGCATGATATTTACTGTGTGGGCACACGGAGCAGCTGTCGTTTGGTATTTGATTGGAAAGTTTTTGCTAATCAATCACATTACTTCTTGTGATACAGGGTTTCTTTCAAGACACCATGTTAATTAATAACAAAGCTGAATTATATCTGGTCAGCGAGTGTTAATTATTTATTTCCTAATCGAGATATAATATGAAATAATATGGAATTCTGAAAACGCAGCTTATGAACGAATTCATTAACCGAGCGAATATTTTTTTGAATACAATGCATATGGCAATCAGGAGTCAATCTTTATAAGTATGATAATAATAATAAATAATAGAAAGGGCAACACTCGAATTTTCATTAGGCGATAATGATGATTTTTCGAGAAAAAATGGATAGCTGCTCCACAGCACAAACACTGTACGCACATGAAATGACACGGAAAGTTAACCCTCGCTCTTATCGTATAATTGTGCAATCTGGAAGCATTAAACAATAATTATTATATATAGAATCGTATGTAGCAACTGCGGCTTTGACTAATCGAATCAACGGTAAACATTAAAATACAGAGCTGATTAAAAAGCAAATTGAACAAACGCCTACAAATAAAAACAAATCAACTGAAAATGTGTATTATGTACTATAAATATTATCTTAGATGTAACTTAAAATTCTGTAATACTTAATTAACAGGTGTTTTACAAGACGCTGAGAAAGAGAAGGAGAAATTAGCAAAGGAGGGGTGGTCAGGGGTTTATGATGATTCAAGTAAAGAGGCAGAAGGTGCTGTAGGACAGATTGAGGGAATCATAGTTACAGAGAGTGTAGGTCGCGGGGAAGAGTCGATTGAACCATTATTTATTAAAAAAAAGAAAATTGAGACACCACATGGTACTACTATTACCACAGTTACTACCACGACAAAAGGTGATCCCAAGAGCGGAACAGTTATATCACAAACTAAAACTGTTAAAGAGACAATTACACCTGGGCAAGTGCATTTATTCGAGACTAAACAGCCGGTGACTGTATTACAGGACAATTCAAATAAAAAAGTTACCATCACTAAAACCATCATAACGCTTGATTCTGATCATAAGGATGTAGAAATTCCGAGACGATCGGATGAACCAAGCGCGCCGATGGCTGCGTTTGACCCAAACGTTGAAGCCGATCGCATCATGGAACCGGCCCAAGACATCATCAGGATCCAGCCTGATCCTGTGCTGATGTCGACAAGAGACGGCAGTGCAAGTGAAAAGGATAAATTATCGAAGGGAAGCAAAGACATCGCTGAAAAGTCCATGAAGAACAAACTGAACGATAACGTGAAAGATTTGAAATCTGGAAAACCAATCAAGGAAACAGAAGCTGGGGCTTACGAAGGCGTGTATAATGTGCATTTAGATGATCCAAAGGTTGAAGAAGGAAAGAAGAAAGAGAAAGGCGGCATTTTCTCCGGCATATTCAAGGGACCAAAAGCCAAGAAAGGAAAGAAGAGGGATTCAAAGGAAGTGTCGTTTGACAGTGGTGATGAAGATATTAAAGCCACTAAAGACTTCCTCGAAGACACAAGAAAAGTGGCTGACTTGATGCGAGATTCTCCACAATTTGAGTATCCCGCTTTCGATCCAACTACTTATATTTGTATTTGTCCTCAAAAACTTCCTGAAAATGAACCAAATAGAGATCCTATTTGGGCCACAGCTGATTTCCTTTACGATTCTAGACGAAGTGCTGAGGCATTTGTACCGGAAATGGAAGAGCTTGCGGACGAACAGGAAATCAAACCTATTGATGGTGTCGCCATCACTCCTGAAGCTGAAAAAACTCCAGAGAAGAAGGAGGAAACGAAAGAAGGACCAGTTGGCGTTGATGAGCATAAAGAGAAACATGGTTTCTTCTCAGGTTTGTTCAAAGGTTCAAAGAAGCACGACAGTGAAGTGGATTCTCCTGTTTTGAAAACCAAGAAGGAAGGTAAGAACATCATAGAAAAACATGAGCAAGAAATGGAAAAGTCTGCTGCTGAACTGAAAAGTAATTTGCGCGATGGAAAACACCAGGCAGATATATCTGTGAAAAAAACTATAGATGAAGTCGACAGTGCTGTCACAACGACTAAAAAATCTGTTCTGGATGATATAAAGGATTTTAAGAAAACTATTTCTGATGATAAAAAACAGACCGATGATCGTTTGAAACGTTTAAGTACTGACTTGAAATCACTCGACGATAAAATCAAGTCCGGCGAGGATGAAATAGTAAAAGATACTAAACATACTGCGGGAGTATTGGAAATGGATATAAAAGAAGCAAACAATGAAGTCAAGGACAAATCTGGTGGATTCTTCGGTATCTTTAAAAGTCCCAAGGCTAAGAGTCGACGTAGTCGATCGAAAGATAAGGATACGTCTAAAGATGTGTCCTTCGATAGTGGAGACGAAGAACTTAGATTGACTACAGCTGTATTTTTAGATGACACTAGGAAGGCAGCTGATAAAGTTCTATTAGAGATGGAGAAAGAACCTGAGGTTAAAGACCAAAGTGATGTAAAAATCGAAAAATTCATCATGACAGTTCCGGAGGAATCAGATTTACCAAAGGATAAATTAAGTGGTAGTTCATACAAGATAGCTGTACCGAAAATCGAAACCACAACGGTTATTACAACATCGAGTTCAGAGCAAAAGCTTCCTTACGTTGATAAGAAAATTAAAACGGAACAAAGGAGATCGGGTGAGTTCTCTGATTCAGCCGATGAAGGCAAATCAAAGGGGACTAGTTTCTTCGAAAAATTCAAAAGTCCGAAACTGAGATCAAGAAAAAAGGATCGATCTCAGGATCGAAGTACTTCAACAGAGCCATCTTTTGACAGTGGCGATGAAGAATTGAGAAACACGACATCGAAATTCTTAGAAGATACACGAAAAATTGCTGAGGTAACTGGTAGTTACGTTGAGCCTCAAAAATCCGTAAAGGATGTCGTAGTCAGTGGAAAATCTCCATCTCCCGCGAAGGAGGTTTTGGAAACCAAACCGATTCATGACCAAGGACTGGATATGAAATCGAAGGATGACGATGGAAGAGGGAAAGGTGGGTTGTTCGGAATATTCAAAAGTCCCAAGACTCACATTCGGAAGAGGAGTAAATCAAGGGAAAAGAGCTCCTCAACTGACGCTTCATTCGATAGTGGTGATGAAGATTTGAGAATAGCTACTTCAAAACTCTTGGATGACACTCGAAAGATTGCAGATATTATGGAGGAAAATCCGTACCCATCTGCCCCAGCCATCCAATCACCGGAAGAAGTTCCTGTAAAAGAAGAAGATCCAGAAAAACTCAACGAAAAAAGTGGTTTCTTGTCTGGAATTTTCAAGAGTGCGAAACACGCTGTTGAAGAAGTCACTGAAGATGTTAAAGAATTCTGGGATGAAACAAAAGAAGAGACCGAAGTAGAGAAGGAACGAGCTGTTCATGCACTTGAAGAAACGACAAAAGTTGCTGCAGGAGTCGGAGATGAAATAACTGCGATTGAAGAAAGTACAAAACTGGTAAACGATCAGAAAGTTGAAGAAAATTTAGATAAAACCATTGACAACGGGCAAGATGTAAAAAACGAAATCGCAGATGTGACCGATAAAACGGAGAACATAACGCATCAGACTGTAAAAGGACCAAGGGGCTTGAAAGGTAAAGTTAGTAAAGATGCAGAAAAAATAAAGACTTCCACTGTGAAACCCTTGAAAAAAGAGATTGACATAAAGAAAGGTAGAAGTGTCGATACGAAGAAATCCGTGGATTCCCCAACGGCTGCAAAACGTAAAACTGGAAAGGAACTTGAAAAGCCCAAAGAAAAAGGTCCAGGTCTTCTTTCCGGGATTATTAAAAGTGCTAAACACGCCGTGGGTGAGGTGTCTGAAGATGTTAAAGAATTCTGGGACGAGACTAAGGATGAAGCTCAGAAAGAAGAACGAGCACAGAAAGAAGCGGAAACAGATGTAAGAAAAGCTTCACCTGTCAAAGATTCCGATTCGTCAGCTGACGAGATGAACAAAAAGGAGAAGTTGCCCGCTAAAGAGGGTACAGGATCTATAAAAGGACACAAAGGGAAAGTTATGCAAACCACAACTACAACAATCAAAACTACTAAAACATCTCCACCGAAAAATGGAAAAGCTATTGATCAAGCGAAAAAAACCACAGTACAAACTGTTAAAGAAGAATCTAAAACTGTGAAAAGAAAAGTCAGCGATGCTGATAAATCTGTTGCCGCTAAGACTAAGCTAGTTAAAGACTCCGCTTCCGAAAAAGCAAAGGTCGTAAAAAACGTCTCGGAGATACCTAAAACTACAAAAGACACGGTTGGTGATAAAACAAAGTCAGCAGATCAATCTTCTGCAGAAAAAGGAAAGCCTACTAAAGGAGGCGTTACAGAAACTCCAAAATCTGATAAAACAAATGGTCATGAAAAAATCAAACCGCTGAGACAGTCACCGTCAAAAATTGTGGGAGACATCGATCATACTAAAAAAGGAATTCCCAAACAAGTAAAAGGCGAAACAAAGTTAACCAAAAGTAAAGTCGATGTTAGTTCTAAAGGTGCAGTAGTTGTAAAGGATCCAGCACCGAAAAAGGACAAAGAAATAAAGAAAGGAAAGGAAAAGAACTTCTTAACCGGCATCATTAGCGATGTTGAAAGTAGTCCAGATAACATTGCTGAACATGTTAATCAATTCTTGGAGGAGACAAGGAAGGATGCTGAAGAACAAGAGAAACAGCTTCGACGAGAATCTGAACACATTGCTACATCTACTGTAGATACTACTGGCAAAATGGTGCAGGATATCAAAGCAGTCAAGGATGATGCATCTCGTGAAGTTACTGATGAAATTAAGGACATGGTCGATGTTATACATAAAACTAAGAAAGAAGCGAGCAGTATTTCTGATGGTGTCAAAAGCGAAATTGAAAAAGAAATCAAACCAAGTCATGATAGCAGTAATGATATAACAACCACAGTTATCGATTCATTCGATAATGCTGTAAAAGATGGCAAAAAAGTGAAAGACAAAGGAAAAGGCTTTTTATTTGGAATATTCAAAGGTAGCAAACATAGTACCGATGAATCAACGGATGAAACTCAAGATGCAGTCGATGAAATAAGGAAAGAGGGTGAAAAAGGAGCAGTGACAAGTACAGCGACGGATATAAAGGAAAAAGAAGACCACGATGTCAACATAGTTAAAACTCATATTGAAAAAACAAGAAACTCCTTCGATAAGGGAATTGAAGAGGCTAAAAGACACATCACTGATAAAATCTCAGGTGCGGCTGCAATGATTGAAGATGATCTTCATACTACCGAGCGTCAAGCACAAAAAGAACTTGAACAAGGAAAGGAAATAATTGACGACGCTTTGAAAGAAACTTCCGAGAAAATCGATGATAATATATCAAAAACCCATATTATTGGGACAACTCCTGAAACTGCTGGAACAACATCTCACGTGATTGAAGATGCAGTAAAACAGACTGCAGAGAAAGTAACCGAGAGTAAAGATACCACATTGAAAAAATTCAATGAAAATTTGAAATTAGCAAATGAAAAAATTGCTACTACAACTGAGGAAATTTCAGATTCGCTAAAAGATGGTAAAGAAAAAATGGAAAAAGAAGCTAAAAAAACTAAAGATAAAGGTAAAGGATTCTTTACTAATATATTCAAAGGCTCCAAACACGCAGTTGATGATACGACAAATAGCACTCAAGAGTTCCTCGAAAAAACTAAGGCAGAAGTTGAAAAAGAAAAAGAACAGCTTCAGCACGATGCAGAAAAAGCCACTGATAATATAACGGATGTAAAACGGGAACTGGTAAAGGATTTTGATGCTACTAAAGACGCTCTTGTAAATCAAGGTATAGCCGTTGATGATGCAATTTCCACTACTACAAAGCTGATATCGAAAACAACTGGAGACACGACTAAAGAAGTTATTGATGACATATTAGATACCAAGCATACTGTCGGTGAAAAAATGGAAACGAACGTAGAAGGGCTTACAAAAGACGTTAAGGAAGTATTTCAAAGCGTAACCGAAACTTCAGATGAAAGCAAGATGAAAATTGAGAAAGAAGAAGTAAAAGCAAAAGAAAAAGGAAAAGGCTTCTTCTCGGGTATCTTTAAGGGAGCCAAACATACATCAGATGAAATCGTGGAAGATGCAAAAGATCTTGTTCATAAAGGGAAAGTGGAGTTTGAAAAAGATAAACATGAAATATCGGAACGCGTTGCGGACACGACCAAAGCCATGAGTGATGTAGCAGACAAAGCTGAGAAAAAAGTAGTGGACACTGTAATTGCAGGCTCTGATGCTACTGAAGCTGTTGCACAAACCACAGAGAAGGCAGTTTCGAGAGTCACGCACCAAGCAGGAAAAGCCACTAAAGATACAGTCCACAAAATCATTGATGGTACAACCGAAGCAAAAGATTCCATCAGTTCAACAATTAGCAAAGACACTGAGAAAATCAAAGGTGAAGTTAAAAGCGTTGTTAATGCTGCCGAGGAAAATAAAGAAAAAATTGAAATAGAGGTGGGGAAAACTAAAGATAAAACTAAGGGTTTCTTTACGGGAATTTTCAAAGGAAGCAAGCATGCCGTCGAAGAAGTTGTGCAAGATACAAAAGATTTAATCGATGAAACAGAAAAACAAATAAAAGAGGAAGATGTAAAATTATCATTAAAAATGGCAGAATCGACAACTGCTGTTGTTGATGCCACAAAAAGGGGTGAAGACAAGGTCGATGATCTGACAATCAGGAGTAAGAAAGCACTCTCTGATACGGCAAAACCAGCGGGCGATGTTTTAACAGGTACTATAGAAAAAACATCCGAAATGTCTAAAGACACCGTTGAAAAACTTTTCGATAGTGTAGCAGACTCTAAGCCTAAATCTACTGAAAAAGTAAAGAGGGAAACCAAAGACTTGAAAGAAGACGCACTATCCTCTACCCGTGCTATGGTAGATAGCACAGAAGAAAGTAAGGATAAGGTGGAAAAAGAAGCAGCGAAAGCTAAAGAAAAAACGAAAGGTTTTTTTTCTGGTATCTTCAAAGGGACTAAACACGCAGCCGATGAAGTTATTAAAGATACAAAAAATTTCATCCATGATGCTGGAAAGGATGTACAACATGACACACAGAAGTTATCAAAGCAAGTTTCAGAGATGAAAGTACAGACTACCGATACTGCAAGAAAAACTGAAGAGAAAGTCAGTGATGCTGCTGTTCTTGATGAAAAATCAGTTGCTAATTCCATTGAAACCGCCGGTGATGTAATATCAAGGACCACAGAGGAATTATCCCAAATATCTGAAGATACAAAGCAAAAAATTTCTGATGACGTCATAAAAGCGGAAATCGCCATAACAGAAAAAGTCAAAAAAGATTTAGAAACATTAGAAGGTGGTGTAAGAGATTCAGTTCATACTGTTACAGATAATGCTGAAGAAAGCAAACAGAAAGCTGGAAAGGAGGCGGCAAAAGCTAAAACGAAGTCCAAAGGTTTCTTTTCTGGCATCTTCAAAGGAGCGAAGCACGCTGCGGATGACGTAGTCGACGATATGAAAGAATTCATCAATGAGACTAAACAAGATGCGAAAACAGATGAAGAACAACTCTCAAAACATATGTCGGATTCTGCAGATAATATTAAAGATGCAGCAGGAAAAGTGAAGGACAAGATGATCGTCACAGCTAGAGCTGGTGAAGATGGTCTCGTTGATAGCGCTAAAGTAGTGGGTGATACAGTGTCAAATACTGCGGATAAAGCGAAAAATCTAGTTGTAGATACTGCCATTGATGGCAAAGATTCTGTGATTGATGGCGCGAAAGCCGTAGGTATAACAGTTTCAAGTACTGCAGAAAAAGTAAGAGATGGGGTCGTAGATACTGCTATGGCCGGAAAAGAATTTGTTGTTGATGGGGCTAAAGTCATAGCTGAAGCAACTTCAAGTACAGCAGACAACGCAAAAGACAAAATCGTAGATACTATCGTTGCCGGCAAAGATTCGCTTGTCGATGGAACTAAAGTCGTAGGTGAAACCGTTTCAAGTGCTACACAAAAAGCAAAAGATAAAGTTATAGATACGGCTATTGCCGGGAAAGATTCGGTTGTTGATAGAGTTAAAGCCGTAGGTACAACAGTTTCAACTACTGCAGAAAAAACGAAAGATGACGTCGTCGATACTGTCATTGCTGCCAGGAAATCAGTCGTTGATGGAACCAAAGCGGCAAGTGATTCAGTTGCCAACTTCGCAGAAGATACAAAGGATAAATTTGTGGACGCCGCTATAACTGGAAAAGAGGTTACCATTTCTGGAGCTAAACGAGTTGGTAATGCACTCCTTAGTAGTGCAGAAGACACATCTGAAATAACGAAAGACAGCATCGAGAGAGTTTCCGACTACATGGTAGAGACAAAAGATGCTGTGACTCATAAGATAGCCGAAAATGCAGAAAGCGTGAAAGATGAAATGAAAGACCTTGTTCGTGCAGGTACTGACTCTTTTCAAGAAGGTGAAGAGAAAATAGAGAAAGAGCTAACGAAAGGTAAAGATAAAACTAAAGGCTTCTTATCGGGAATTTTCAAAAGCACGAAAAATGCATCTAAAGAAGTGGCTGAAAACGCTAAAAAAAATGTTGAAAAAGCTGAGAATAAGCTGAAAGAAGACAAAGAAAAACTCCCCGAAGAGGCTTTACAAACGAAAGAGAACATTACTCATGCTGCAGTGAAAGTTAAGCGTGACATAATGGATTCTTCTCTTACGTCTAAAGATGCTGCTGTTGATATTGTCAAATCTACTGCCGACGCACTTTCGAGTACTTGCGATCAAACGTTTAAAACCGTTGAAGATACCGCTAAAAAAATTTCTAACGACGTTACAGAAACGAGCGGGTCTGTATTGAAGAAAGTGCACAAGGATGGTAAAGACGTGACAAGTGAATTGAAAGATGCTGTTGCTATGACTGCTGACATCGCCGACGAAAGTAGAGACAAACTTGAGATAGAAGCATTAAAAACAAAGGAAAAAAGCAAGGGATTTTTCTCCGAAATTTTTAAAGGTGCGAAGCAAGCTGCTGATGAAGCTGGTGAAGATACGAAACATTTCCTTGACCACACAAAGAAAGAAATTGAAGAAGATAGAGAAAAACTATCGAAACAAATGGCAGATACAACAAAAACGGTGAGTGATGCTGTAGACAAAACTCAAGATAAAATTATGGACACGGCCGTATCGAGCAAAGATATTGCAGTCGTAGTGGCCGATACTGTTAGTGATGTTCTTTCAAGCTCTGTGGATCATTCATCGAAAACGACCAAAGACGCAATAGAAAAAGTTGAAGAAGGTGTAGAAGATGCAAAAGTATCTGTCGGTGAAGCTATTAAAAAAGATACAAAAGATTTGAAAGACACGATTGTTGAAACTATTGAAGAAAGTAACGATAAGATCGAGAAAGAAACACTTAAAACTAAAGAGAAAACTAAGGGATTTTTCTCTGGAATTTTTAAAGGAGCGAAGCATAGCGCTCATGAAGCTATTGAAGGCACAAAAGAGTCTGTTGAGCATACTCAAAAGGTGATCGAACAAGATAAGGAAAAATTGTCGAAACAAGCTTCCGATATAAAAACTGGTTTAATCGATACTGCAAAGAAAGTCACAGGTGAACGAGATAACATTGCTGCTGCAGGAAAAGAATTCATTCACGAGACTGAAGATAAAGCAAAGCAAAGCAAAGACGAACTATCTAAGCAAATTTCTGATGCAAAGCTTAACATCACTGATACTGCTGAAAATATGAAGGATAAAATCGTAGACGCTGTTGGTGAGACTAAAAGAGCTATTGACGATTCAAGAAAAGCCACTGTTGATGCAATTTCAAGTACCACCAGACAAGCAACCGGAGTGACCAATGATATAATTGACCAAATTGAGGCAGATATTGCAAAAACAAAAAAATCTGTAACCGATAAAGTAAAGGAAGATACTGAGAATTTGAAGCATGCGGTAAAACAGGGTACTCATACCGCTGAGGATTCTGCTAAAGATATGATGGATAATACACAGAAGGACGTAGTAAAAACTAAGGATAAAAGCAAGGGTTTTTTCTCGGGTATCTTTAAAGACGCTAAACACGCTACTGACGAAGTAGTTGACGATGTAAAAGAATTTATTCGAGACACTAAGGAAGACGCGAAACATGACGAAGAAAAATTATCGAAGCATGTTTCTGAAAAAATTACCAACGTTACTGATGCGGCCGGAACTGTGAAGAAGAAAATGGTCGATGCAGCTGTTGCTGGTAAGGATGGAACTGTTGATGCAGCCAATGCCACTGGTGCTGCTATCTCAACCACTACCGAACAAGCATCAAAGGCAGTCAAAGATACAATTAAAGAAGTGGCTGATGACATTGAAGATACTAAAAATAAAGCTGAAAAAGAAATCAAGAAAGGAAAAGATAAATCCAAAGGCTTTTTCTCTGGAATTTTCAAAGGAGCTAAACATGCTGCGGATGAAATTGTTGATGATGTAAAAGAATTCATCCATGATACCGAAGAAGAAGCTAAACATGAGGAGGAAAAATTATCGAAAAAAATTTCGGCTACCAGTGAAAGCATTCACGATACCGCGAAAGATGCGAAAGACAAACTAGCCGACACCGTTACTGCTAGCAAAGATATCGTTGCTGACACGGGTAAAGTCACAAGTGATAAAGTTTCGAATACTGCAGAATTAGCATCGAAAAAAATGAAGGACACAACTAAAAAAATTTCTGAGGGTGCTACAGTAGCAAAAGATACTGTCGCTGAAACCATGAAAAACGCCTCAGAAAGTTTCGAAGAGAAAACTAAAAACGCAGCTCATGTCGTTGTTGATTCTGCTGAGGCGGGTAAAGATGCGATTGAGAAAGAAATGGTAAAAACAAAAGAAAAAAGCCATGAAATTATCTCCGCAGTTTCTGCAGGAGCTCAATGTGTGGCTGAGAAAATCTCTAAAGACAGCAAGGATTTGATTCATGAAGCTGATGAAGGGGCGGATGAGAAGAAACGGCAGATAAAAGACAAAATTTCGGCGAATACAACAGCTATGGTTGATATCGCAGTTAAAGCTAAAGATCATGTAGATGATACTGTTGCGGCAACGAAAAATGATGTACTTGATGTCGCTAGAACCGCTGGTGAAGTACTTTCAAGTTCTGCAGAACAGGTATCAGAAGCCACCAAAGGAACAATTAAAAAAGTTGTCGATGATGCAGTCAATGCGAAAGAAATGGCAACCGAAAAAGTTGAGCATGATATGATGCAGTTGAAACAGGGAGTGAAGGATAGCACTCACGCTGTTGTTGAAACCTCTGAAGATACTAAGAGTAGAGCTAAAAAAGAGGTTGCGAAGGCTAAAGATAAAACAAAGGGCTTTTTCTCTGGTATATTCAAAGGTGCGAAGCATGCTGCTGATGAAGTAGTTGACGATGTAACTGAATTCATCCATGATACTGAAAAGGATGCTGAAAAAGAACGAGAAAAAGTTGAAAAAATCTCGGCTGAGGTAATAAAGGACACAAAAGAATCCATAGATAAATCCACTACGCAAGTATCAGAAGGTATAGTAAAAATTACTGACAAATCAGAAAAATTGAAAGAACATGTACATGAAAAGATGGAAAAGCTCGAGGAGGATGCAACTGGTGCAATAAAGACTGCTGGTGATACATCTCGAGATGCTGTACATGATGTAGTGCATGTATCACAAAAAGCAAGTGAAAAACTCGGTGCCGACTTAAGCCACGCCAAAGATACGACGCATCAAGAAATGAGAGATGGGGCTCGTATTGCCAAAGAACAAATAGAAGGAATTACAGACCCAGCTGATGCTGCTAAAGACCAAGCAAAGAAGAAAATTGAAAAGTCGAAGGAAAAAACCAAAGGCTTCTTTTCAGGTATATTTAAAGGTGGAAAGCACTCTTCAGAAGAAGCTATCGATGGCGTATCGAAGATCCTTGATGAGACAGGTCGAGAATTAGAAAAGGGGGCTGAAAAAACTTATGAAGTTTCGACCGAGGTCTCCAATTTTGGTGAAGAAACTAGGACTAAACTCAATGCTGCAAAGGATGAAATAGTGCGAGAAACATCTGACGCAATCACAGACGTAAGCGAAGGGAAAACAAAAATGTTTGCTGAAGAGCCACAGAACAAAGCTGCCGAGGAAGAAAAACTCGCTCAGAACGTATTGAAAGACGTAGCAAAATCGGTGAAAGATATTCCAGATAAAATTGTGATTGATGTCCACGGAGCAAAAACAGGAATAGATGAAAAAGCGGCGGAAGGAATTCAACAAACCAAAGATGATTTTGGGAAGCATACCACTGACGAAATTATAGAGAACGTCAAGGAATCTGACAGAAGTAGTGCTGATCATTCAATTTCGACGGTAGAGCCTAACTCGTCATTGAAACAGGATAAGTCAAAGCAACCAGGATTTTTCGCTGGTATTATGAAAGGTGCTAAGCATGCGTTAGAAGAAGTGACCGATGATGTAAAAGAATTTTGGGATGAAGCTAAAGAAGAGGCTGAAGAAGATGAAGAACTTATAAAACGCAAAAGTTTAGATGCCACAAAAAATCTCAAACATGAACTCGCTAGTTCTGATCAACGTGTTCAAATTAATGCAGATGGGTGTCTTGATTTTAAAGAACTAGAAACTGTTTCACTGAAACAAGAAAAAGAAGGAAAGGTCAAAACGGAGAAACAAAAGAGCAGTGGTCCAATCTTCGGCATTTTAAGACGTGACAAACATGAAAAAGATGACTGCGATAAACACTCCACTGTAACTCAGGTCATTGAAGATAAAATGCAGGCAGTGTCGAAATCGACAACATCGGGAATAGAAATGACTGCAAAAGAAGTCAAAGATGATTTAAAACCACTACAAGAGAAAGTTATTGACAGGAGCAAGGCTGTAAAAGAATCCATTGAAGAAGCAAAAAATCAAGCCGAGAGGGATATGAAGAAAGCAAACGAAAAAACTTCAAATTTCTTCTCGGGAATAATGAAGGGTGCCAAACACGCGGTAGAAGATGTTTCTGGCGACGTTCGTGAGTTTTGGGATGAGAGCAAACAATCTGCCACAGAAGAAGGAAAACTAATCCAAGAAGAAGTGAAAGCTACTGGAAAACTGTTGGAAACAGAGAAAGATGAAGCATCACCAGATTCTATAAAAAGAGAGAGAAAAATAGCTTCTGAAGTGTCTTCACCGTACGAGGGCACTATTCCAACTGTTGCAGACTCCTTATTGTCAAGTCAACCATCTGAAAAATCAACTCTACCAGTTCAAGACATTCACTCAGCAACACTAGCTTTCCTAGAAGATTCTCGAGAAACTGCGCTGCGAACCGATGATAGAATGGTCAGTCCTTCTATCGAAAGTGAATCTTTACCGGAAGAAAAAAGTTCAAAGGCAAAATCAAAAGGTGTAATTTCGAGTATGCTGAAGGGCACAAAAAAAGCCACAGAAAAATTCTGGGAGGACACCAAACCTGAGTTTGCCCGTGAGTCTGGTAGTTACGACGTATCTTCCCCGCAACGAAAAGCAGATAAGAAAAGTGATAAAGTAGACGAAGCCCAGGTAACTCTAGAATCGTTCGGCCCAATTGAAAGTAGTACTCAGGAAACAAAGGCAATAACAAAATCAGTCTCAGGCATTCCACAAAAAATCGATACAGCTAAAGAATTTGATAGAGAAATTAGAGTAGTAAAAACTGAAAGGTCAGTGGAACGAGAGTTAGGTGATAGTAATAGGATGAGGGGTGTAGGGCACCTTGAGCCTCATGAACGGGAAACCGTCACGACAATAGTAACAAAGTCGTCTATGAGGACGACAATGTCGACCCCGCCACCCAGCCCCGACGAGCTCGGTGACAGTAGAATTAAAGGTATCTTCAAACAATGATTGATTGTGTTATACATACATATATATTACATACCAGCTGTGTGTAACATGTATAATTTTCCATTACAATGATTTTTAATGCTTTTAATATCTTTTTTTTTAACCCATTTTAATTTTGATTTAATGGTAAATTTTTATTTTCCCTCCAGTGAAGCCTATTAATGGAGGAAACGATTCAAAAAAATGATATCATGCACCACAACGTCATTAATCCAATAATGTTTCTTTACATGTAAGCCCTTAATGCGTGTAACCCAGTTTTAACCACGGAGATTACTGAAACATCTGAATTTCGCTATGGTATTGCCCAATTGAAAAATACCTGAGTTACAAATTCTTCGATATAAAATTTTATCATGACCACGTTATTACATATTTAAGAGATTGATCTAAATCTTTTTCGTAGCTCGAATTCATCGTGTAATCATTGCAAACTTAAGGTGACACGAATATTATCCACAGAACCTAAGGAAGTTACTCGTTTGCTATATCGTAATATATACAATTGATTGATCAACTACGTGACAAAATTTAATTTTTTTTACATTGAATGCATGCTTTCAGTTTATTTTCAATTTTCTACGGTTTTATTTGAGTTTCATTGAGCTTTTACATTATGCTTTTTTTTCATTTTCCCCCACCTGTTGTCTCTACATTACACAAATATTTTTGACATAATCAAATCCCCTAATTCCACGTAAGTTGTATCTTTTATAGCAGCATAATGTTGTTAGATCCACTTCCAAAAGATCGGTTGAAAAGGAAATTAATAAAATGAGAATTTTCATAGTTTTTAGTATTATCGGCAGTAATTCTCTGTCATTTGATTAACAGGAAAGCCTATGGTCTAGCGAAGCATGTGAACCAAAGTATGCCAGGGACCATCATCACCATCATCCTAATCACTATCGTTCTAAATTCACTGCTTTAAATGTTCGTCACGATTTGACATGTTAAATTAACGCCTTATTTTGCTGGGTTTTTGCAGATATAACAGAGGAAGCTGCTAAACGGGCCCAAAGCTTGGCAGACGAAGCAAACCAACTAGAAAAATCAGGTAAACTTAAAAAATGAAATTCAACAACGAAAAATAGTCAATTAGATTGATAGATTTGAGGAGACCGATTACTGTTCAGGGATAATGGAATAAATAATTTAGGAAGTCATCAATTTTTTGGTACCCTCAGTGATATTTAGCTTTATCTTACATAGTTAGCACTTGCTGGCTTACTACACTGACTAATAAATGAATGCCCTCCAGTGAATGACGATCTATCAATCTATAAATCATATTATTGGTTGGATTATTTATTACTGAGGAGGTTTACCATCGGAAAGATGACGGGGTGACTCTTTACTCTGACAGAAACAAAAGGATGATCATATCAATATTTCAGCGGAGAGCATTCACGTGATTGAAACACCTCATATTTTCATGTATATATAGATTCTCATTTACGGAATTATCAGAGGCAAAATCGTCCAGCGTTCTATCAATTGGAAAAATATTGAAAATCACATATTGCCCTAAAACCATTTTTTATAAAACAATAAAAATCATGGAAACTGATAAAGAATCTGATTTGCAACTCTGATGAACCCGTAGAGTGACGAATATGTATACACCCCAACACGTTAATCAATACCATATTAATACCAAAGTGAAAAATCTAACTGTCACTAGTCAATGGATTTTAACATAGTTTCCCTAACAAAAAATCTGAATGGTCTCACCAATTTTCAAGAAAAATAATCTCACTGAGAAAAAAAAAGTCGACAAAAAAAGAATATCCCAACCACTAATAATTACAGCTGGGCTAGAAACTTGAGATTTATTTGGTGTGTATCAATGTGCTTTATGCCCTTGTTCCTGTTCTTGTCCGTATCCTTTTTGGATGGGTCAGGGCATGATTCGGCTGAGATTGATGGGACTGTAGAGAGGCATGTTACTTCTGCTCCGACAAAGCAATTCGTTCCCGACCCACAGCACTCCACCAAGCCATCTTCATTGAAAAAAGAGTTGTGTCTTCATCTTGAAACCACTACGCATCATCCGAAGTCCCAAAGTCCAAAATCAAAGATTCCACAGGCATTGAACTCATCGTCAAAACCCCTTGCATCCGTTCCATTAGATATCAGTATTGAAGAATCTAACCAGAAGAGTAAGATACCGATAAGAGCAAAGGAGAAAAAGGAGAAAGATAGGATGGATGAAATTGTCACAAAATCAAAAGTTGAAGATGGTGATCAAACACTCGTCAGACAATCAGTTGTAACAGAAAGATTGGAAGGTGATAATGGTGAGACGTCTATCGTGACGAGAACAGTGACATCGATAGTATCAGAGAGTTCCGTGTCTTTGAGCCAAGCTGACATTGACAAAATCATGGAATCAAGAACTTTTGCAGATCCAATAAATAGTATTACAGAAACAAGCACAAGAATGATAACCGAACGAATACCAAAATCAACCTCGAAAGAAGACAGCGGTGCATGTACAAGTGTCAAAGAAACGGTAAGATCTATTAGCACCAAAAGCTCCTGGGAATCTTCATCGCGATCCCACGATAAGGACAATTGGGATCAGGTGCAATGCTCATTAGACACATCTCCAGGCTCCGTCGATATCGCCTTCACAAAGAATGGTGATTCACGTCACGAACTGCCAAGTGACAGTGACAGTGATGGCTCACCCCGAGCTCGCAGACGATCATTAAGCAAAAGACGAACACTGGGCAGCTCAAGTGGATCGGATGTTGCTCTCCACGAAGGTGCTGAACTATCACCTTTAGAGGACGACCAAGGTACCGCAATCACAGCTAACAAATTCTAAGTAAGCGATGTAAATGTCCCGCTAAAACAAACTCCGTCTCCAGTAAATCCTCACTCCCTGTGATATCTTCATATCGCCAATTGCTAATTCCAAGAAGAGATCAGCTTTGTGTGTACGTGGTTTACCTGCTATTCTCATCCTCCTCTCTGCCTCAATTCATTACTCTTAATATTATGTCTTTCCGGGCTGCATTGGTTTTTTGAGCTATCCTGCTTTGGAGATTCTGTGTAATCATGTTATCATATCATATTATAAATGTATTTGATGTGCGAGAAAATTGGAAAATTTAAGCTTGTTGTAATGTTGAAAATTCCCTTTCCTCTACTTATCTATTACCTATCAGGGAACATCCAGGTTGTGGTGAGATATATCGTAGGTGTTTTTTCCTGTTGGAATCAGTCTTGGTTACAGTCATTCGCTATAACGTTGTAATTATCAGTTTTCACTGATACAAATTCATCGACTGATACAAATTCTCAGGTTTAAGAAAAAATATAATAATTTTAAAATTCGTGTAATTTGCTGCGTGTTACCAATTCATTGCTGATTAGATTCGTTTCATCTCTATGCTCTGCAAATCATCTTCTGCGGTCTCTCGTCCGTACTAATTTCATTAGATGTTCCATTCAGTTGCTGCGTGGTTTATGGGAAATAAATTGTTTCCTATTCTCAGAGAAAATAAAAGTTATTAGAGCATGTAATTTGTTACCTGGCACTAGCCGAGGAGAATTCCATTTCATTGATGGATTCGGAAATGAAAAGCAGCCCAATCGTGACCTCAAGCAAGTCTAACAGGAAGACTAAAGGTAGTTCGAGATACATTTGCTGGCTGAGTGCGGCAACTGCGGTGTTAGTTGGAGTAGTTGCACTTTATTTAGCCCTGGAACCCCGTGTACTCTACATTCTCCCTAGTCACAATTCGAGGCAATCTGGGTACGATCGACACCATTTTTTTCTTTTTTCTCTCATATTTACTTCTCTCCACATGCTATTTTGTAGAGGAATGATGAACAATGACAACTCGAAAAAATTTACTCACACTATATACGCACAATATTGCGAATATCTCTATACCTAAATAGTTGCTCCAAAGGAGAGTATGACCTCTTCAAAATTTTTTTCAAATCTCTTCCAATATGCGGAGATATTTGCAAATTTATTTTCAAGTTATCTCTCTTTACCACTCCACTACCAAAATATCTATTTGGATTATACTCTTAAACCATAATTTTATAACTGATGTAGGAGAAATAAAGCAGGGCACAGTTTTAATTTAGGTAGCGATGGAAACTTATTCCCTGGATAATAATAGATTTCGCGATTAAATTGTTGGTAAATATAAATGCAAGTTGACTTTTATGACAGGCTTTTTTCCAATTTTTTCAGTATTTTGCATGATTTTGCTAAAGACAACTATATTGTGAGTATTCAAGCGTTCAATAATGCATGTTGCATTTCCGTAGCACACTTTGCACTTTAGTAAGCTTATCCAACATTGGAATATCCAATCTTTTGAGTAGTTACAATTAGTAATGTTGCACGTTAGTTCTAAAGGCCAATGTAAACTCCTATTTTTTTGTTTTGTTCCGTACTGTTTTGTAGTATTTCTTATCATCCTAGTCCTGTGTTTGTATTGATTTCATATATATAAAACTTAGAATAGTTACTCTTGATTGTCTTATAGCTCCTCTGACAAATTAATTATATTTCAAGATAAAGCTAAAGTGTAGAGGGACCAACCATCACATTTGCGATAAGTAATGGACATAATGAGTTAGAATTGTTAGACGAATATTCACCTTTAGTTATAATTTACGATAAGTTTATTTAAGAACCACGATCATTTACTTTATAAAAATTAACTGGAACTAATTATAAATAACCATGAATGTCCGCCTGTCAATTAAGAGATGATAGTATGATAGAGCATTTACGATTGACAATAAATAAATAACTGACAACAGTTAATTCGTCTAACAATACTAATAGCAATAGTTAATAATGTTCCGCTGATGACAAGAGTCATTACATTCATTCAAGTAATCCTGTACTTGATTTAATACAATGGTAATACTCAGTTGAAACAATTTCTTTTACCGTTGAGACAAATACCATATTTATTTTATACATAACATCGCTTTTTCAGCGCTTCACAGCCAATAATTAAGTACAGCACGAGTCATTCAAAAGGCATTATATTGTCGCAAGAATAAATTTCAGGGTATTCACTTTTTTTTTTCTTCACGTAAACTGATTATGATTATGAAAACCAGTGAAAGAAAAAATTCATTTCGGTAATGACAAAAAAATGCCTAATAATTTATCGTATTGCCAGAATTTATAAATAGTACTGTTGTGATTTGTTTTTTTTTTATATGTCTAGTCTTTATCCCTTGTTTGGGCATGATGTACAATTTGAGAGAGAAAACTTGTCAAAGGATGAAAAACAAAAAGTTCTATGAGATTCAATTCATTGGATTTCGTATGACTTTTTGCTTTTATGCTTTCGATACTTGGAATTTCGTAATATATTTGCCTTTGTGCAACAGATCAGTATATATTTAGAAAGTGCGATATTAACATGTGAATATTACATGATAAATTATAAGAGATTAAATAGTGTTTAATTGGTAAACTGTATCATCATGTTCTTGTGTTGTGCAGAATCTGACTTTATGCAACAGAGCGAACCATCTTATGTCGAGACGACAACGACGGAAATTGACCCAGTAACAAATGAAAGGTATTGAGAAAACAATATGTATTATTTATCACGAGTGGTTAGGAGCAGTCCAGCTTTATTATTCTGTTTACTGAGGATTATATCTTGACTTGATTATAAATTTCTCCACTTGTCCCTAATACACAAAACAGTGGAGTGGCAAATAAAAATACGTAAGAATTATGTGGGGCTTCCACCGAAGAATGAATCATTGAAAAAATAAGACACAATGGCTATTATCAATTATTATTAATGATCATTAATCTTCAGCGTAATTACCATTAAAAATTATATTTCTAGAATAACAAGAACGACACGAGTACTAGCATCATCAACAACTGGAGGGGCAGCTGGATCAGACGAACTCCGAGAATCGATGCAAAAGATTGTTGACCAATTTATGACAGAGGAAAGAAGAGGGCAGTAAATATAATGAAAGCAAAATGAACTAAGTAAATTGAAGATTATTTTGCGAAATTGGAGTAGCCAAGGAGTATGAATTCCTTGCAATAGATTCAAATTTCTGATGTTAATCAGTATTTTGTAAATTTGTGTTTGCCATTTTAAAAGTGCATGTGCGTAAAAATTATGGCCTAGGCTTCCGTATTTTTCGAATCCATGGTATATTTTTAGTTAAAATTTCAAGTTCGGAGGCTTTTTGGAGTTACATTCAAATAATTGATATTTGAATAAATAATTGTGAACCAGTATGACTAGTTTTTCACTAGTCATTACTACGCAAGACCATTCAAGTAATGTAAACAAGAAAAATGGTCTGTTCTTCTATTTGCTTTGTACTTTATATCCTGAATTCCCTATCAAGCATATCCAACGAATGCCTGAAATACACAGAAACGATGTAATACTTTGAATTATCCTTCGCTTTATCGAAATAACTTACTGTGCAGCGAACTGTCCGCATCTGCACGAAAGAAAATGAATACATCGCTTGGTAAATATGAAAAATGATAATGTTTTTTCAAAGTAACTCTTAAGCTTCGAGCTTGCATATTGCAATACAAGAAGAAGAAACAATCCGCTTCACTGCTATGTCAAAAGGATCAGAATGAAATTTTCCATCGCATCAATATAAACATGAATTTAAGAATGACAATGAAACTTGTATAGTCACATGCAAGCAAAAATAATACAATGTAAATTATTTCTTATTCGATGACAATTTTCTCATGTGAATTTTCAATTAAATTGTATATTATCATTATTTTCTTATCTTAATATGGTATAAATGCGTAATTATTATATACCTATGATCATGCATAACAGAATGTAGACGATTATTTTATTTATGCAAAGATGATATTGATCATAGTGAAAATGTTATTGGATGGAAATTCAGTATTTTCAATCATGCTTCATTCTCACATTTGTTAGTGAGGAAATGAAAAATAGAGAAGATAACACTATATTGACAGGAAAAATTACTGGGAAGTATCTCCAATAGCTGAATTCATGAAACAGTAAAGCTGAAATAATATAAAGACTCACGTTTAGGCTATCGCAAAGATTAGCTTTCGTTGTCATAATAATTGGAAAGATTGAATTATGGAAAGTTTCTAGACTATATTTGAGATCCATATTTAAATGATTAGGAAAATCATTGATGGGAAATATGAGGATTGTAATAAATTAAGATAAATGGAGAAAAAAATCTGTTCTAGATTGAGAATATTCTATTAATAATATATAATATATTGTATTTGATGAAATATGACTGCACATTCAAGATTTATAAATTATTGTACCTATGTCTCAACAAATTGCATTCAATAGACTTTGCCTAGAGCCCAATTAACCTAAGGACCAAAGGCACAATCATAACTCCTATCATTTCAATTATGCGTATTCATTAATTTCGGTGGTTTTATGTCTACGGAGATGGTGGTATTTGTGGAAGACTTGTAGAAAAATCTGCATTTTTTATTTCTCTGCAGTGCTTCTCACCATTTCCACTCTGAGAATTGGCATTGCATTTTTTGCAAATTCAAAAACTGTTGTCCGGGCTGTGGCGATAGCAATTTTTTCTCTCGTGCGATTTTAATGTCTCACGGGTAAAAGTTCCATCGCTACAGCTCAGTAATACATTATTTACCATTGATTTTTGTAGGTAAGTTCAATTCTGTTAATGTTTAATTATTTCAAATCATTTGTTTTATAAGTTTCAATCAAGAGACAAGATGTATTTTATCGTAACCAAATGGATAAGGAAATAAAGGCGGGCAGACAATTAAAGTAACAATGTCTTCTTTCCAGAAAGCCGTAGCTCTGATTTTATTAGCCCTTAAAAAATTATCATACAATGTAATAAAATTGATCTATCTAAACTGAAGTAACAAATGTGAATTTTTTCAAGTTTTTAAAGGAAAAATTGACGTTTTTATTGAATTATAACAAAAATTTACTAGTAAGCCCTTTCAGTTAGAGTAATTCGTGGATTCAATTCTTTCTAGAACTTACTTTTTACTGCATCCAAATTATAATAGGTCTTCTCATAAAAATTAAAACCGCAAATGTGGTAGTTAGTGATGATTTATGATTTATTTTCATTTTTCAAATTCATTGCGTATTACTTACGTCAACTGAACATGTTTACAAGCGGAAATATTGTTGTTAATATGATTACACGAAAATTGATGTCTTAAGACAATGACTTCATTTTTAACATGCGTTGATTTGAATTTCCTGCCACAATCCTAACAGAATTCAATAAGTCGTTCACTAGTTTCACATTTCAAATGAATTGCTTACGAGAATTCGTTTCACGACGTTCTGCACAACTCATGAAGTAAAAAATTATTGCATATCCCTACCAATTGTCATGCATATAATTGTTCAATTGAGTATGCATGAATAGAACAAAACAAATTGAAAAAAAAAGACCATGGTAGTTTATTCATCGATACAATTGCATATACACTCGAATTATCGAGTTGAAAGTTTGTCGCGTGTTGTTGGAATTTTATTGATTTATTTCAAATTAATAACTTGTTCATTTCATTTATTTACTTTCATCAGCATTGATTTCGATTTGCCAGCGTGAGGACACCAACTCTTAATCTACAATTGCTCTCCCTATGGCGTTGTAGCTCATCAGATCTGTAAAATTTGAAACATTTTTTAGATAATTATATCATTCGGCGGATGAGCCATTAAAGTTCTCATAGTTCGTTTGCCATGTAAGGATGTTCTGCCATCTTTTAGTCAAAATTTAGTTTTTCAAGTTTTCTTACAATTTTTGAATTTTATATCTATTGTCGGGTAGGATGATTTTTTATTTGTGTATGAAGATTTTCAGGAAATTTGGAACAAATGTTGAAAAGATCTTTCCTCTATTTCATCATTATTTTTTTTTACCATTGCAGTGGTTTCCGGAGGACAATTTAAAACCCAAATACTCACGTTGTCAACATCATCCTCATCATCGTCACTAATTTCATCGCCGAACTCGATATCCTCATCAAATCCATCTTCCACGAATGTAACTGTGTCGTTGATACGAACTAACATATGAAAAATGAAAACAGAAATATAAAATTAGAAGAATTGAATGAACTCGACATTTCATTGATCTTATCAAATATTGATAAGAGGGAGTAGTAGACTCGTGCGTTAAAAATGCGGAAATATACGCCTGAGTACCAGCAAAATTGCAGGACTGAGTGATAATCGAATAAAGGAACATCGTAATCGATGTAGAAAGTATTTTCACCAGTTTCTGGGAACTCTCCGTATGTCTTGAGATTTCTCGCTTCGTCGGAGGTGTACTTCAGGATAACATCGGCCTTGGCATCTTGGTAATCACGAAGACCGATCAGAATAATGTCTCCTTGATTAATCCACACTTTCTTACGCAGTTTCCCGCGTATGTGACACAATCGTTTCACTCCGTCGAAGCACATTGCCTCAAGCCTACCGTTGCCCAGCATTTTCGTAACTTGAGCATATTCTAAATAACAAAATTTTTGATTAGTCCTGTAAAATACCTTTCCTTTTACTTGTCTCTCTTCAATGAAAATAATATGTTGCAGTAAAAAAATCGTTAATTCATGGATAAATGGAGAAAAAAAATTTCTTTGTGTGAATATTGAATGCATATAAAAGAATAAAGGATAAAGAAAGACAAAAATAAACGAAAAATGCAAGGATCGACCATTTAAAATACGAAATTATGATTTTGGTTCGTTAATACATGCCAAAGAAATATCAAGGTTTTTTTGTCAGTTTAGTTCTCTATTTGACTAGAAAAATGAATTGTGAAATAATGGATTACCCTGTCCATCTTCTTTGAAGACCAACTCTCGTTTCTCAGTTTCGTTTTCATTCTTTCCTCTCCTACGATTTTTACCTCCCTTTCCTGCCGAACAAATAAAAATCCTTTAAAACTGGAGGAAATCTAAAAACTTATTCTGCTGTATGCTATTGCCAGGAAAAAATCGAAGGACACTCCATTTTCCGCGAATCAAGACAGATTGGTTAAACCTAACCATATTTTCACAGTGATGCCAATGGATAGCACATTTCGGGATTTTGGGTAAATCCATTAGAATATATAACAGTTAAGGAAATTTTATTTCAATTACCCTTATTCTTCGGCATTTTGTTTTACTGGTTTGCACAGATTTCCTAGAATGGGATTGAAAATACTATTCGTCAAAGATTGAGCCAAACCAGTCAGATACTGAAGAGCACAGACACCATGGAGGAAGGTGACTGTGGTGTATGTCAAAATGTTTCGCAACTAAAATTTCTATTTCTCATAAAAAACAAAAGTGATGAAAAATCAACCCTTCGATTTTAAATGCCCAAAAGCATTGGATAATTGCAATAATTAGCGAACCTTCCAAACAAATTACTTTTAATCAAGTTATTTGACTCGATCAGCTAGAAGGTACTGGAGAAATCTTAAAGATCGACTGAACATACTTCAATGACTTCAACGATAGTATAAAAAAAAAAATTTTATGAAAATCGAGGAGGTATTCACGGAAATTTGAAAATTAAAAATTTTTGAAAAAGTATAAGGGGAACATGAAAATCGAGGAGGTATTCACTGAAATGTGAAAATTCAAAATTTTTGAAAAAGTATCAGGGGAGCATGTGGCGCCCGCTCTCTCTTGGGGTGAGGTACTACAATGCCTTTGGGGTCACTCACACCACCAGAACTGAGCCTCTACTTTAGTCAATCCTTTTTGCACCAAACTCCATTTTTCCTCACAACTACATCGACAATCGAAAATAATACAAATCCAAGCTGTATGTCCAATTGTATATCACATGACCCTGCATTTCACATGCATTGTGTGCTGTGTGCTAGGCGTTTTGACACTGGCATTGGTAGCCAATTGCAGGATCTGATTACGTTTTAATAATCCTGGATGTAACCAGAAGAAACAAACATAAAAAATTGAAGTAATAACGCCTTCGCACAAAAAGTTACAATGGGACATTGAAGTTCAGTGGCCACAGGGGACGGACATTCCACAATCTCTTGAGGACTGACGAATGTGTTCAGTTGGCATTACGGATTTTCAAGGCAATTGCACATTAGAAATGGTAAATGAATTTCACGTCATTCTCATTTAATCGCCGATCAGTGGATTACAACTGAGTTATTCCATTTAATTATCATCGAACATCTAATTCCTCTCCCCCTCCCCCTCTGAACCGCCCCCTCCCCCTTATCAATCAATCAGACTTGTTCCATGTGTCATTTCAGTAATCAGCTGCTTGGATATACATTTCCACCCATCGACAAGTGCTATCATTTATTGTCTCGTTATAAGTCATAAAACACTTGATCATTCTCTAAAAGATTAGCACCTGCGTCATATTTAATGTCAAATGCTGTTTAACATACGTTACCTACCGCTCGCGTTATCTAAGGGGACGTGCAGAAGATCTAGTCACGTATTTGATTCAATACCATCACGCAAATTGAAAATATGTAAAGCCATTCGGTTGATCTGGATTAAGTAATCTTCATGGAGCAACGATCGTTGCTGTCATGTGGTTCAGTAGGTAGTAGTTATTCGTAGGTATTGTTTGAATTTCTAGTTGCGAGAGAACAAGTATTTTTTGGTGATTTGTAATGAAGTTATTTGTGTAATAATTCAAGTGAAAAAGGGAAATTATTGGTGTAATTGTGAACATAGATCAACGCAATGCCATGGAGAGGTTTCCATTGAAAGGTACATCATCGCCGTCACTTAATGTCCCTGCTCATAGTGCAACTGGCACCAATTACAACTCAGTATCACCTTCGCAGGTAGGCATGAGATCATAAATTTATAGAAACATTGTACATTATTTCATTTGTTATCGAGCGATATCGTAGGAAGCCGGTGTTAGAGCCAAAATAATAAGAATTGTTAAATTATTTTCATTATAAGTGACTGAACAAAAGTGCAGAAAACGAAAAAATTGTTTGCCAAATATCCATGTACTTGGGAGAAGTTATCAGTTTTTTAATGTTGTTGATCTTCCCTCTAGTGGTTCCCGAAAATTTGCCCTTACATTTCGCGGAAAATCATCGCGATAACTCTCATAAAAATTCGAAATTAAAAAAAAAGAATAATCGTCAGAGGAATCTATTAACAAAATGCGATTTTTCAAATGAAAATATTTCTCTTCAATCAATGGATTTTTGGGCAATTTTAATTTTGTAAAACATTTCAGAAAGTAAACGAAATTATTTTTGTTATTTTTTGTTTCCAAAATAAAGTCTCTTCGGATAGTGAAAGGATTGACGAAGTAATTATTATTTCAATTTTTGAATTATCTCGGCTATAAATAAGATAACGGACAATGTATAAGGAAATGTTTATCAGCCATGAAGAGTTCTCCACGATAAAAAAAAAATAAAAACGCATAAATAGCCAAAATTCTCAGTCTAATTTGAATCTTTTCACCGCTTCTGTACTTTTCTCGCGCCGCTGTAATACTCCCTTTGGCTTGTCTCTGTAATTATAATCTTTGTAGATTCTCGCAATAATATTTACCTCCTCAGTGTACTTATGGAACCAATTTCAGAACATTTATGAAGGATTTATGAGAGGTGCATAGGTGAATGGAAAATAAGCAATCAAAAATCGAAAGTTTAGAAGATAAATTATCTCACAATCGAATGATCTGCCTATCAGTGCTACAATTAACTTATAAGAAAAGTATATAACAAACGTAACATCACGTATCTTGAATTTAAGTATACCGGAAACCGCTCGAACGTTGCAAATCTCAGCAGCGAGCGGTTGCTACCAGAAGTAAGAATAACAGTTATTAAAGTTCTGTATACCTGAGATAGCTTTGAAATATGTTCACATTACATATTACTTTCAATTAATTCAGTAGTATTGATCAATGATTTGTGTTGAATCATATTTATTGACCCTCTACACGTTCTCTTGGTTCATCGCACGAAAATTATTTAATTCTGCATGAGCTGAGCTTATTAACTCAATGAATTCTGATGCTTGTAGTTTAGAAGGGATTAAACAGATTGATTGGAGTTTTTGAAATATTTATTAGACGACTAATGGCCTGAATGGTCATGGTGACACACGACTGAGGAGTAATGCAGTAGGTCGTGGAAGTCTCAGCAGCGACGAAGATATGTTGGAAAATACTCATCACGCTTCCCATGCGGGAAACAATGCGTATTTGGAGAGAAGTGTTCGACTAGACGATGCAGCTTCACATTGTGAGTTTATCTCTATTTTTTTTACATAAAATAAGGAGGATATAAATGAATCAACTGAATTTGACAAAAATTAACAAATTTGAATTAACAAATTTGAAGACGTATTTTTTTGACATTTTTTTTTTCAATTTTGAAGTTTAAAAAAATAGTCAAATAAAGAAAGACACGCGGGACAAGAAGAAAATTTTTTTGTATTGCCCCGAGTATCCTAGATACTACAAAACTAAATAAATAAATAATTTATTTATAAAATCGACGTTAAATCGATTACCACTGAAATAATTTAAAGTACAAATGAAATTTCTGAAACAATTGTACATTTAATATCCAAACCATATTTCATGAGCTGATATAGAATAATATTTTAATATACCATAATTTTTCGCTCTTGCCGCAATAAATCATCGCAGTGAATTAATTCCCGCTGTGTGGAATTCGGGAAGCATTCTTTCCATATAAATGAGTCGTTCAACTATGAAGAATTATATTAAATATGTAGAACAAAAAATGTTAAAAATATCGATAACTGAAATGATCATATAATTATACTGAAGAACTATCCCTATCACAAATGAAAATTAAAAAATGAACAGCAGAAAATAAAAACCACGTCAGTTATTCATTCAGGAGATAAATCGCTACCTATCTGATATAATAATAATAAATAGTTCTTCTATAAATGAATTATTCCAAGGCTCTCCAGGAGAATCGTGAAATGAAAAAAAGAATGAAACAGTTTCAGCAGATGCAGATGACATCCCAGGAATCGGACAGTATGAAGATTTCCACACAATCGATTGGCAGCGTGATATTGCGAGGGATCGTATGAGACACCGTTACATCCTGAAGAAGAAACACGATTCTATCTGGGATCTTGTTAAGGGCGCACACGACGCATGGTCGGGATGGTTGTGTGTGCTACTAGTTGGTTTATTTACCGGTGCTGCAGCCGGTATTATCGATATTGGAGCATCGTGGATGACAGATCTGAAATTCGGGATTTGTCCAGAGGCATTTTGGCTCAATAAGGAGCAGTGCTGCTGGAGTTATAATGAAACAACCTTTGATGGGGAAAATTGCTCCCAGTGGCTTAACTGGCCTGAAGTTTTTGGACAGTCCAAGACTGGAGCTGGAGCTTATATCGTCTCCTATATGTTTTATATCGCCTGGGCTTTATTATTCGCTTCCTTGTCGGCAGCTCTTGTCAGGATGTTTGCCCCTTATGCATGCGGTTCTGGTATTCCTGAGGTAAATATTCCGTGAACATCGGTGGCGAATCATTAATTTGTTTTTTTGAAAAGGCAACGTTTTTTTTTTGCATTCATCCCAAGCACTGACTTTTGTTTTGTTTTCAGATAAAAACAATTTTAAGTGGATTTATTATACGCGGATACCTGGGGAAATGGACTCTGATAATAAAATCCGTTGGATTGATACTTTCGGTATCAGCTGGATTGAGTCTTGGAAAGGAGGGGCCCATGGTGCACATTGCATGTTGCATTGGAAATATATTCTCGTATTTATTCCCAAAATATGGTAGGAATGAAGCTAAGAAGAGGGAGATTTTGTCAGCTGCGGCTGCTGCTGGAGTCTCTGTGGCTTTTGGAGCCCCAATTGGAGGTGTTCTTTTCAGTTTAGAAGAGGTAACCCAATTATATTTTATAATACCACTGGAGCTTCGAAATTATCAAATATTTCCCAATCGGTCTGATATGAGATATGTATTCGGGCGATGATTTTTTCATTCAAATTTCAGCCAATAGAATTGCACCAGGCGACAAGGTTCATATGTAAAAAATCAAAATTGAGGGTTGACAATTTAGTTAATTCATTTTATCGATATTTTCGGAACATTTAATCAATTAATTACGTAAGTCAATTATTTAATTGATTTTACCAACATTTTCTGAATATCAGAATTAAATTTCGAGTAGCTAGATCGAATGATGCCATTGTATTGGTTGAAATTGGAACGGAGAAAATAATCATCAAAATAAAACTGTCATGATACTTTTTTTATACTGTCCCGAAAAATCTCCATAAAATATTCATGTGACTTATGAAGAGTATATGTAGAAAAAATTATTTGTTACAGGTCAGTTACTACTTTCCTTTGAAAACACTGTGGCGATCATTCTTCTGTGCCTTGATAGCAGCCTTCGTGTTACGTTCCATCAATCCCTTCGGAAATGAGCACTCAGTATTGTTTTATGTGGAATACAATAAACCCTGGATATTCTTCGAGTTAATTCCCTTCGTAATGCTTGGAATAATTGGGGTAATTACTGAGCATTATTTAATGAAATCAATGTGCCATAAAATAATGAAACGAGACTGCAATTACTTGCCTTGCAAGTATCTTCGGAATGATGAGGTTTCAGGGGAATAGAATATCCTCATAAGTACCTCTAAACCTCTTCGTTCTCGGGAATTCTCTCAATTAGTTTTCGTACTTACAAAAAATCCATAATTGATAATCCGAAACAAAATATTTTGTCATTATTCCGCAGGGAGTTATTGCAACGTTATTTATTAAAGCGAATTTATACTGGTGTCGGTACCGAAAGACATCGAAATTGGGACAGTATCCAGTAATTGAGGTTCTTGTCGTAACAGTAATCACAGCTGTAATAGCATATCCAAATCCCTACACGAGAATGAGCACGAGTCAACTGATATACCTTCTATTCCGAAAGTGTGGGGTGGCAAATGGCGACATGTTATGTGATTATAATAGAAATTTCTCAAATGTCAATGTAACAATTGAGACTGCAGGAGCTGAAGCTGGCGTTTACAAAGCTGTTTGGCTGCTTGTAATGACGCTCATTCTCAAACTAGTCATGACGATCTTTACTTTTGGCATAAAAGTTCCATGTGGACTATTCATTCCATCGCTTTGTTTGGGAGCTATTGTTGGAAGAATTGTTGGCATTGGAATGGAGCAACTTGCATATAATTATCCGCATATTCGGATGTTCAGTGAGGAATGTACGATTGGAACTGATTGTATTACTCCAGGGTTGTATGCAATGGTGGGAGCAGCTGCAGTCCTTGGGGGAGTTACGAGGATGACGGTTTCTTTGGTTGTTATCATGTTTGAATTGACTGGAGGTGTCAGATACATCGTACCACTCATGGCTGCTGCTATGGCTAGTAAATGGGTTGGCGATGCTCTCGGGAAACAAGGAGTCTATGATGCTCACATAGGCCTCAATGGATATCCTTTTCTGGATAGTAAAGAAGAGTTCCAACATACGACACTTGCAGCTGATGTTATGCAACCCAAGTAAGATGTTCTACTTACTGGATTTTATCATCATTTTATCTTTCCACGACTAATTAAAATGTCAAGACTCTTTACCTTCACTGAATTCTTACTTGAATGAGTATCTAATAGGCGGGGAAGTATTTGGGAATAAATATTCGGGTTAATTAAGGAGTGACGTAAATGGATGAGAGTTGTAGATAAAATTTTTAATGATTTAATGAGTATCTTGAGAATGATCATCATGGGTCTCACTTAATTAATCTTAGGAGCTGTGCAATGCGGCTCGTTGAAGTTTCGTAGAAATATTACTCAGGTTTTCAGGATATCTTATCAACTCGTAATGTTATTTATAGACCTTCATGATTGTTTTTTCGAATTTTGTAGTTCATTCGTATGTTAATGATTTTTTTTATAACGTTGCATACATAATTTTGTATGATTGGCTATTTTTATAGTAATGGAGTTTAGTAATGAAATAGTTTAGGAAGAAGGGTGTAAAGTTAAATTGAAAGTTTAACTATGATATATATTTTCACAGGCGTAACGAAGCTCTCCACGTTCTTACTCAAGACTCCATGACAGTCGAAGATGTTGAAAATCTCCTCAAAGATACCGAACATAATGGCTTCCCAGTTATTGTCTCAAAAGAGTCTCAGTATCTCGTTGGATTTGTATTGAGACGTGATTTGAATCTCGCCATTGCAAATGCTAAACGCATGATTGAGGGCATAACGAGACAATCTCTTGTTATATTTACCAGTGGGAATAATTTACAAGTGCATTCTCCGCCTCCGCTGAAGTTGAAGAAAATACTCGATATGGCTCCTATTACAATTACCGATCAGACGCCAATGGAAACTGTTGTTGATATGTTTAGGAAGTTGGGACTGAGGCAAACACTCGTTACTCATAATGGGTAAGATTATTTATTCTTTTATTCACTGAGATGAGATTTTACGAAGTTCTTAGATTTAATTCAAGTGCTGTATAATTTTATTGGTATTTTTTCTTCACAGTCGATTGTTGGGAGTAATAACAAAGAAAGACGTCCTGCGACATGTCAAGCAACTCGATGACGAGGATCCAAATTCAGTTCTATTCAACTGAATAATCAACATCACATGATTTCTTCTAGAATCGCCTACCTAAAAGTATATCTTCTTCCATCAATCATCAGTTTTTTATATTTATTTCTGTGCTTTCTGTACGAGATTATTCACTCCTTACTGATCCACACAGTTATTACTGAACAGGTATTTTTATCATTTCGTTCGTATAAAATGAAAAGTGAAAGGAAAAACAATCGCTCAATTTCGGTGATAAAACGGTTATCGAGTGGATGGAGAATGAATTATTTTTAATTAATGTTATTGCATCACAATTCTACATATAATTTCTACCATCAGTCATCCTTGCCATCACGCCTTTTACGGCTATTAATTATAAATTATTTCAATCAGTTGGAGATGTATACCTTTTTATTGTTCATAACAAAAAAAAATTATAGAGAAAATAATTATTTCAATTGTCGAAAAAATATAGAATTCAACCTATTGATTATTATGAATTAATTGTAAAATCTTGTAGAAAATTGGATTATGGATATAAAATTATTGAATTTTCATTCAAATAACGAATATCGATGTTATTGTGATGTCACGACTTCATTGTATTAAAAAAAATGTTTTTTATTTGTAAATAAATAAAATATGTGGATATAATCATTTTCGAATGCACTATTCTCGTGGTTTAAATTAAATCACGATCGATTCAGTGAATACGAATAATTCTTTGAAATCATTTAGTCTTCTGAAAAAATGTATTTTTTCCTCAGTGTACATTGGCAAATTGCTCCATAGCTAATGATTTCAGAGGAAAACTCAGAGGTTTATTTATTGAAAAAAAAAGTATTTCTCGTAATTCCTTCGTTCAGCAGATCCTACTGAATAAATTAAAGAAGTTAAGATCTGATCGTCAAAACGTCGAGAAACGATATTTACTTAATTACAACTAGGATAGAAATAAAAACAAGTGTCTCCTTTAAATACTCTTTGACTTCATAATTACCTCTAATACTGTTTTTTAAATCCAATTCCAAGGAATTAAAAAATTCTTCCATGGATTATTCAAAAATAAATGAAGCAAAACAGATTCATTCAAAAGGGAAATTTTGAGAATAGAATGGAAGCTTAAAATTTGGCAACATTGTAAATTGGAGGTACCAGTCGCTACCACAAACGTCCCAGCGGAGCTAGCATAGCTTTTTATGCTTGTGTGTTGGATTGGGTTGGGTGGGTGTTTTAGTGGGTATAATGGGCATTGAATGGCATAAATGATTGTGAATATGATGTGTTGTGATGTACCCGTTTGTTGATGATAAATTATTGCTACGGTGTAGATGCTTTTTGGTGAGTATGTGTTTTAGTCAGCCGGTGATACTCCAATTATATTCCAATCGTTTGTTACTTGGAAATATCCAAGGGAAAGGGTCAAGTGTTGAGAAATAAAACGTGATGTAGAAAGGTTATGAACTGTGGGTAATAGACATCTTTCGTATCAGTTAAAAAACAGTTACAATATCCGTTTGGGTACAGCCTTCCGACGTTGTTAATTAATTAAATGAACTTGGCGTGAACATTATTTGACTAGTTTTGGCCTTCTTCTGTGTCATTGGAATGAGGGAGTTGGGTGATTTTGTCAATGCGATGCTCCACATTTTACTTAACCTTTTCGATGATAAAATAAAAATTCAAGGAGATTCCTCCCATTTATGCATTCATTTTAAAAGGGGTTAACTTATTAATTAACTGTCTCGAGTTACGAACGCTGTCTTATTTCAATGTTGGAGATTGTATATCTCTAATTGTTCATGCAGTTACAGTTTATTATTGGGGAGGATCGAGAGGAAATAGATTAGTCATATGATATTCGTGTAGTTTAGGAGATTTTAAACAATGATTTATTACTTTTATGTACGATTATGTACAGCTATCCGGGTTGTAATAGTAGAGTTATGGGAGCATGTGCAGTAATGTTTTTATATCTTCATGGTGTCTCTGTTTGTTATTGAATCATTTGTGGTAAGTTTATTGTTGAGCAATCATTAGTCATTTGTATTCAGGTACAGATTACGACGGAATTAGTGGGCCATCAAGATGGGCAAACTTTTGTCGAAGATATTTGGCAATAAGGAGATGCGGATTCTCATGTTGGGACTCGATGCAGCTGGGAAAACGAGTATCCTTTTCTGTTAAACGATTGAATGTGTTACTGATGCAGCGAATTAATCGTTCAGAGGCAGATATGTTATCAAAAATGTATCATCAGAGCATTTGCATCTTCAGCATGTGCAAGATTTTTAAAATGTACTTCGAGTACTAATGAGATAAATATTTTTTAACTGAAGCGCTTATTATTTTTCTTTTCTCATGGTGGGAAAGATTGCTATGCCCACTCGGAGATGCCATAGAAAAAAAATCAACTTACCTCTCTTTCAGCAGAGAAAACTTTTCCACAATATGGACCAATAGTATACCACACTAAACTCAATCTTGAGAAATGTGATTAGATAATTGGTCATTATCAGTGATGTTATACAATTTAGATCATCCTGTCTATTCATTCAGCATTTATCGCGTAATGTTCTTCATAATTTTTTAACATCGTAGTCTTATCTTAAGAATATCTTCGCAATATGATATAACATTTTTCAAATAGAAAAGGTGCATTGAATGGCGTGAAATAATAATTTCCTTAATAATAATTCATCAGCTATACTGTATAAATTAAAATTGGGACAATCTGTCACAACAATACCCACTGTAGGATTTAATGTAGAGACTGTAACGTATAAAAACGTTAAATTCAATGTCTGGGTGAGTACTTAGTTGAAATCAATTAAAGTGGCGATGAAGTTTCACCCCATGAGTTTGGGTCGAAGTTTATAATGATAAAAGAATATAACAATTGAAATTTATCCATAGGACGTGGGCGGGCAAGATAAAATACGTCCGTTGTGGCGTCATTACTACACTGGTACTCAAGGACTTATATTTGTAGTTGACTGCGCTGATCGGGACAGAATTGATGAGGCACGCCAGGAATTACACCGAATCATTAATGACAGAGAGATGCGAGATGCTATTATTTTAATATTTGCTAATAAACAAGATCTTCCTGACGGTAAGACGATGTCAACACATATTAAATTTCAACCAAGTGGAAAAACAATAATACATAAGTGACATGATCTCATCCTTTAATGCCACATTTTTTTTAGAAGAAAGATTCTTATCATTATCATAATCTTGTCCAGACTTGGGAGTTATATTTGAAAAAAAATCTCCAGATGCTCTATTATACATTACCTACCCTTGAAAAATTAACCAAATACTCATCAACTCGATTCTATAATCTCACCAAGGTCAAGCGTAGGCTAGTGATCCATTGTTATGAATGAATGGTTTGTAGCCAGGATTATCCGGCGATTGTTTTCACGGCCTTGTGGAACATTTTTCTTTTTTCAAACTTTTCTTTTGAATCACTTCATATCTGATCACGAATTATTTTGGTCGGACCACAATGAAAAGCTTTAAATGATATGTATCAGTTTTATCGTTTTACCACTTCTTATTTATATTGAAGATGCGTGACTAATGAAGGAATTGGTTTTCCTCAGCTATGAAACCACACGAGATACAAGAAAAACTTGGATTAACAAGAATACGAGACAGAAATTGGTACGTTCAACCATCGTGCGCAACGACTGGTGATGGACTCTACGAGGGCCTTACATGGTTAACTAGTAATCACAAATTATGAACTATTAGTTAGTCCTCTCCATTAATCGTGGATTTCGTAAAATCTAAAAGACAACAGGTTTTATCTATTAAAAAAAAAGAATGAAAAAAAAAACAAGAAAAAAAGCTAAATGCAAGAAAACAAAAATTATAACAAAAATGGCAAAAGGCAGTAAGCAATTTTATGTCAACCTCAATCGAGGAGTTAGCTACAATACACATGCAGAGAGGTTGATGTGGCACATTTGCCTGCCCTGTGCAAACTAAATGAACGTGAAGGAATGTGAATCTAATGTACAATGGCGTTTCAGTTATGTGTAGAATGGGTCGACGGCCTGTGGTAAAGGAAAATGTAGGGTGGAGGGGGGTTTCTATTCACACAATCCACCGTTCAACAACGAGCCATAAATGTCTTATCGAGATGATACTTTCAATTCTTCGTTGTACAGCGCTCTCGAAGTTTATTATAAATGAGGTACCAAAAAAGGAAATAAAACAAAAATGAAAGAATGCTATAAAGCGAAAATACACACAAGGCGGAAATAAAATGTAAAATTTGTTACTATATTCATCGATAAAGTTGATAAAAATATAAGCTTTTTATTGTAAAATAGACGCAACTCTTTTTTTATGATATTGAGAAAATTTTCTTCCTCTCGAATTGGCAGGTTTCATTTTTTTTTGTCTTAACAATAGTCTGTGGGGCTCATTGATTCCATGATTTATTGAATCCAAAATTCCTGAATAATGGTTATGAATACATTTTTTATATTCTTGGGATTTACTTTAACTTTCCTTAATAAATTATTTAGATGTAACAGTTTAGAGAGTTTTAAGTATCATCACACTTCTTCGGGGACTGTAATGATTAGAATCTAATGTTCAATTGCTTTGTATATATGAGTTTAAAGTATTTGAGGTTTGAGGTTTTAAGCGAATGAGGGCATATTATATCTTTCTTTTTCTAACAGAATAAATATTTGAGAATTCTAATTTGAAGTATAAAACACACGGACGATTTAATGTTGAATTGAGGATATGTGTGATGTAAAAACTATTCTTGTTGCTTTTTTGGAATTCCTCTGGTCATTAAAATTGAGGAATTACGTACTGAAGATGAAAATTATTCAATGATAATATTGTTTTTCCATTGGTAGATGTTAGGGCTTTAATTAAAATCAAGTAATACCGAGTTATTAAGATGGTTGGAAAATATTTAGTCTTTAACAATTGATATCAAGGGGATATAGAACGATTGAATGAATGACGTTCACCGAAACTTAATGAGATGAATAATATAGAAGATGAATTTAAAAGTATTCAATTTACATCAAAGAGAATATTGCTACGTTAATTACTGGATTCTGTATCAAAATTTTGGGAAGAATCGCGATAGTATTACCAGAAATTCTGTACCGATTATTTCTCTAATGCCTGTGTATCAATCTAATTCACAAGAGAACATCAAGAGACTGTTATCGACCACAAAATTTTCCATAAGGAATCTGTTGAAAGTCTCTTGGTCAATCCCCTCAAACGTTTTCAGACGTTATTTTCAAAATACTCTGCCAAATCGGTTCAGAATTTGAAAGAATTGGTAATCAATGAATTACACGTGTATTGGAAAGAAGCATCTGTCTAATGGAACAAACCAGGCACATGGACGAAATTTCAGCGATACGATAAGCTTAGTGAGATTTTGAATTATAATAATTGATTAAAATGAATGTTCTATCTCCCCATTAGATGGGAAGAAACATCTTTAAAACTCAAAACCAAATGAGAACCCCGAAATGTATCAAACAATTGCAATGCCATTCCATTAACCGTGAAATTTGTATCGAAATCGAAATCATTTTTCCAATAATAATAAAAAAGGTATTTCATTAATTTTCTACCCAATTGTCATTGTATAGTGTTATTATTCATTGGGTAAATATATTTGGGATAATCCAACAAAGCAAAGTGGATGTATTTCGATTTCTCTTTTTTCCTTTGATCATTAAGTTAGAATGATTACTTCATAACTAAGAATTAACCAACAATATTTATAGCAAAATAATCGAATGTCAAAAACCATTCATCGAGTGTTCGAAGAAAAAAAAAAAACAAATCATTAGGACTAGTTTTGTAATGAAATCTTGAGTGATAGTTGTTTTGCTCTTAGCGCAATTTCTGTTAGTCAAGTTAATGAGAATTTGTACGAGCCCATTAAATGCCGCTGTACCATACAGAGACGACTGAAATTGTTCATTAACTCATTATTCTAGATGTACATTTTATTGTCGAAAATATTTGAATGATTCTGAATGAGTATTCTCGTGCAGTGCCGTTTATTCTTACGTGACATTCGAATAAAACCATTTATATTCATTTATTTAATTGAGAGTATTGATGAAAGTAGATGCGGATCATTGTGAGTAGATTTCAAGAACATCGATACAATTTATGAAGTTTTCTCATATTTCGAGTCTTCCGCGAGAATAAAAAAATCACAGAAATGACGAATCAGGCAGAATATTATCAGGGACGATCCATTGATAGTGTAGTGGAAATTATTCCTTTAATAACACTGGTTATATTTTTTATCAGAGGTATTAATAAGATCACCAACATTGCCACCTGTATTTACTCTATTAAATGTGTAATACCAGTTGGGAATGGGGTAAGACTGCTTGAATTAATATAAAAATTAGATTATTAAATCATTTGAATAAAAAGTGATATTAGCCATTGTCACAATGCATTTTTTTCGCACAACGTCTCATTTTGGAGATAATTGATGAATTGGAAAATCAATTTTATTCGACTCAAACTTTTTTGTCGGGCGGTAGTGAATTTTTGTAATTACAGAATGACATCACACATCGCACGTTCATTGCGCCCCCCTGTCCTATGACAATGGAAACGACTAAATCTACACGTGTGAATTGCTGTTTTCCGAGTAATACTACCAAAAGGTATAGAACATCTGCGAAAACAATAATTTCGACACTTGTCTATTTAATTATGTGTTTACTCCCGTCCTTCACCCTAAATGCAAGAAATATATATTATAATTTATATAAATAAAAATAAAGAATTTTTGACATTCATGAAGATTCGAGGATAATTAAGTATTACTAAGATTTTTATTTAAAATCCCTCCTTGACTTTTCAGTTATCAAATTTTCACGACGGGTGAGTGGTTGAAGGATATTCGAAATTGTTAATCGGATTGACGCAAAAAAATATACTGTTTTCGCATCCTCATATTATTTAATAATTTCCCTGCGTTCTCTCTAAACTTTTCAAGAATTCATGAAGCATTAGAAGAAATAGAAAAATTATTACATGTTTATAACACTTAAGTCATAAAATACTAGTAAAATGGAGAAACTGTATATTTTTCTTGCGTTCTCTCTAAACTTTTCAAGAATTCATGAAGCATTAGAAGAAATAGAAAAATTATTACATGTTTAGAACACTTAGTAAGTCATAAAATACTAGTAAAATGGAGAAACTGTATATTTTTCTTGTCGATTCGATCAACAACTAATTTACAGATTCATTTTAGAATAAATTGAAATCTCATTTATTCTTGTGATTTACTCGATTGGAATAAAGTAAGCACGGGGAGTGCTTGTGCAATATTAATTTCAAATGTACAAAAATGGTCATTATCAATGGCAATACCTCTTATAAAAGTATTTAATAAAACTCAGGAATTCTATAGTTATGGTCAGTGTGAAATTACAGATGCTAAATTGCTCATCGATCTCAGCGGTGAATTTTGGATCTATTGATTAATCCAGATACGTGATTATGGGTCAGGGTTACATACTCGAAGGTTCTCACATCCTTCACCCCTTCCCTCTCCGCAAAGCCCCAGCATTCTCTGGATCCTCAATTCCGGACGCACTGACAAACGCAGTCTCTTCATTTCCATCTCTCAATAATCTTCCACCGCCTACGAATGCAATTAATCATCCTAGTCATCAGTCACTGCTTCCCTGCCCCTCAGCACTAAAAAATCTAGGAGAAAATCCACTGGGTCTCCTGTCGTCGATTTTGTTATACTTATCGTCAGTGTTAGGGAGCGAAATTGAATTCATTTTCTCCCATTTTTTTTTTGTCGAGAGAGTCCATTAAAACCTATTAAAACTCATTCAACTTTTTAGGAACCAGAGATCTCCGAAAACCAATCGCGGTGTCCCTGATAAATAAAATATAATATAAATGATTCCTGAAGACAAAAAACATTCCATAATCCGCGATAATTCATATAGATAATATGGCCTAATAATTTTATCCGAAACCATCAGAAGACTTTCATTAGGAAAAAACTGTTACTCAAATTCACGAACTGCTGTAACAAGCGCAATTCACCAATTTTCCAATTGATTTCTAATATTCACCTCTACATAATTACTTGAAGGAAATAATCGCGTAATGATTACATCAGCCTGAAGGACAAAAGTCCAGCGAAAGCCCAGCGATCAGCCATTGTTGGTGGTGCAACTCTGGTGCATGTAATCCCAATAGAATAAGGGATGGGCCACTATGTGCCAAAACTTTTGAACGATTGACGAAGCCCCTGAGATGCTAGAGGATAGGAGTGACAAGGAGGCAAAGAAGAAAGATAGAATACTAGGAAGGAAGGAAGGTACATGGCGCCCACCGGCATGTCGACCGATAAAAAACGACCAGTTTGAGGAAAACTTCGGTATAATAAAAATCGATTGGTCCAAAGTCGACAACGAAATACCCCAATACCACAAAAAGCCCAGGGGTTCATCATCGGAAACCTCTGAATTATTCGGCGCTAACCTCATCCATTATTTTACCTGCAAAATAAAAAGTAAAACACAAACAATCGTAACAATGCACTCGGATATTGATGATGATAAAAATACAAAAGTTGTAGGGCTTTACCATGGCCTTATGATTACACCCAGCCCCAATAATGATAACAATAACCCAGTAGACCACAGAGGGTTAGAAAGTGCAGCCAAGAAGGTAGCGAGGGTGGTGAGGGTAGCGAGGGTAGCGAGGGTGGCGAGGGTGGCGAGGGTAGCGAAGGGTAAGAAAGATGGCAAAAGATTTGTCCATCTCTGTTAGAGGGTTTATCCATCTCTCTTGTTTCTCAGCGTTTGTGTGTTCTGTGAATGCGCCAAGGGTTGATGCTGGATGGTGTGTGCCGAGGGTGAGGTCGAGGTTGACGGTGAGAATAGGTGAGGTACGGCAACTGGGAGAGACAGAAAGATCCACTGAAGTGTCATAAAATGGCGTAGACGAGCACAACCAAACGAGACAGACAGACCTGTAGAGGTGGTGCTGAAGGATGAAGAGACCCTTTCGAGGGGCTTGCGTACGAGATTCGTAAATGGCCTTACGGCAAAAGGTGCTCCTGTGGGTGGGGTATGCCTGCCAGCGCCACCGATAAACTCCTATGAGGTTCTCCCCGTTTTCATGGTAGAAAGATACCTCCCAGATATGCTATGATATTTCAATCCTTTCAATTATTCCCCATTGTCAGATCCTAACGTAATGGGCAAATCAAAATTTTGACGTTCAGCCAGTTCATTTCGTAAATTCTTCATGAATGCTCGGTGAATTGTACTTCCCACTCCGTCCTTCAACCAATACTTTACAGCTGCTGAGGACAACAAAAATTCAATTGAACATTTGAATAGCAAAATTGATATATTACGGTATGAAGGGAAAACAATCGTTTCCAATTAGTGGGAGGAAGATTGCCGAACTTGTTCTCATGTTCGCTAGAAAAGTGGTTCACGGTCTGAGATCGGAATATGGTATATCCTTTCCGGTTGAGATAGGGGTTTTAGTGGTGTGGAATTGGTACCCAGCTGAAGGTGAAGGTCTACGAAACCTAACGGTCGCAACATGTCCCTGAAGAACTTTTCTACCTCATATCATCACAGAATTCACATTCCACCCTCCTGCCCACATAAAAATCTAAAGGCAAATGACGAATTTCAACTCAAATTATGAGATTGGGATCCATAAATCACAGGATCAAAACCATAAATTACGATTCCTCCTGGTACTTTACGACTTGAACCCAGCAATGCGCGTTATTAATCTCGCAATTTTCCTCTCATAAAGAGCATAAATAAAGTTTCAAGAGCCAGTGCTAATTATCCGATGACCTTTTTCTAGATGTATCCCCATCGTGGCCAGGACTGTTGCTCCAAACCTAGTGTCAAGACGTACAATTAAAGAAAGGGATATTGCAACATGTTGGAAGGAATGCAGGAGCTCCTCGAGATATTCGTAAAATAATATGCACGAAATTTTTCAACTTACCTCCTCCTTGAATTGAGATACAGATATATTCGTTGTGATCCCCTCCAATGTTCGTAGTTTAAATCAATGATGTGGAGCTTGCGCGTTGAAATAGGATGCGCAAAGGTTTGTGGACGGATTTTGGTCCTGGTCAAGCCCCTCTGGCAACCTTTTCCCCTCTCCGTCGCCATTCGTCTTGGCACCCGCGAGTGCCTCGAGGGTTGCGCTATACCCAAAAGCTCCAACGTAATGGCTGATAGGTGTAGTAGTACCAGACTCATCCCCTCAGTCACCCTCAACCCTCGCCACCCAACACCCGGCAAACTAATACATGTACCCTCCTGGATAAAGCTCCTTCTCTTTTCATTGTACATCCATCTCACTCACACTCATACAATACAACTTCTTTCTCTCTCTCCCGAAAATCTCGAGCGCTTGTAGTCGTAGTAAGAGTTAATGCGCCCGCGCGTTCTGAAGGCTTCATACTCCAGTCAAGAAGATGCTTATATTTTTGCGCCTCGTTATGTGATTCTCATTCGATATTTCAACTTAATAAATTATCCACGTCTTGAACAGACATGTACCGATCAATACTCATCAATAATCACTGAGTGTTACTAATCGGGTAATTGACAAACGTACGATTGTGGAATAGTGTCCAGTGGTGGGGTGTTTTGGCAATGAAGAACTGCCGCCAGTGAGTGGTGGTACACCGTGAGATGCTGAAAATCTACGAGTGAGAGAATTTTTATTGAATTTAGGGAATTTGAGGGTTGAATTGGGGGGTGGGACTCTCGAGTCAGTGTGAAATAGAAAAAAATAGCGAGGATTTGGGGAGACGGTGCATATTGACTGACGGCAACGTGGGAGGGGCGACGCGTACACCCGGAGGAGCTTTTCGTTCGGGGTATTGGGGTGAAGAGGGGCACTGAAACCAGAAACGAGTGTACGTGTGAACGCATTGGGAAAAAGAAGTGTCAATCCCTCATCATCATTTCATCAGTATTCTCATAAATTGGAGATGTATTTTTTAAATTGTTTTGAAAAATTGTATGCTGTTAACAAGGTGTTGCAGACGGCTCGATAAATTCTGTTTGAATCTTGAGCGGCCTATATGGATTTTTGCATGACTGCATACCGGCGAGAAAATAGTCTGTTAATACGTGAGATTTATCAACCTGCGAGGTAACGTAATGGGTGTTGAATTGTGGAGAAAGAGTGAAGTTACAATTGCACGACATTTCTTAATTGAAAATTAATGGGTAATTGGTAAATTGGATTGGAGGGATTAATGTGGCGTACTGTGGGTACAGCGTTCGTGGAGATATCTTTTCGGCAATAAATCAAGTTTAGTGGTTATTGTTTTATTTAGAGTACTGGACAATTGTGAGGTATTTGGAACGTAGACTTAGATAACGTGTTGAAGGGAATAAAAGAGGCGCGATGCGTCAGTTGGCGAAGTGGACGTTATGCCTTGGCATATTTTTTTTTATCACCATTCGAATCAGTCGTCAACAGGAGGAGGACATACCGCACAATGAGTAAGTTTGGCTTTTGTTTAAAACTTTAGTAATGGGACGACAACTCGGTCGTTTGTTCGATCGTATGGAAGGGGGAGGGGGCTCTTTTGACCAATGATGTAATACCTATTTATAGGGAGCATGGAAGGATATTTGGAATTTTTCAAAATTCAGTTATTCTTTTTAGGTTTTTGAGAGATTCTGGTATGCAATTCGAGAGATTCCATTTTGCCGAGATGTGATAGTTGCTAATGAAAACGGTTTTTTAAAACTCTTTATATTCAATTGGGCTGTTACAAGAAATTGAAGAATAATATGGAGGGTTTTTCACAGCGACGGATAATATTTAAAATTTTTTTGGAAACGTGAGAGCTATTAAATTTTACTTCAAGGGTATTTTGTCCCTTTTTAGATAAATATGCCGGTGTTCTACGTTTTTTATAAAAATACGGATTGGATTGAGTCTTAACGAAATATAACGTCTTTGCATTTTCAAGGAATTTTTAAAAGGGTAGAAAAACTCAGGAAACATGGCATGATCTTGACATTTTTAGAGTAATTAATTAATTATAAAATTTTAAAACGGTGTATTCTTTCGCGTCAATCCGATCAACAATTTGCCAAAATAAAAAAAAAACGGGGATTTTGGCTAAAAGGAGGCAGAAAATCCTCGAGTTTTTTGGATTTTTTACAAACACAAGTTTAAAATTTCATAATTTTCAAGATATTTGTGAAATGGGATTTGTGCGAAGTTTAGTTTGAAGATATAAGATTTGGGGATTAATTGCGGGGTTTATCGGAGAGTTAGGGTAACGATGGAGAGAATGATTGAAGATACAAGAAAAATGAGAGAGGAAATTCAACAACCTGATGCTCACATTGTTTGCAGGGTGAGAAATTGGGCGCTCAAGTTTGGAGTGGATTTGTGGGAGTTTGGAAAACAGGCGACGAAACTAGCGGAGATTCAGAGAGTAAGTTTCATAGTGAAGTATTTCCGATATGAGAATGGGTAGCAGTTAAGGATATCTACTTGTCATTTTTATTTTCAGAAATATCATAACGATGGAGAAACTACGGTAAACAAGAAGGATGGCCTGGTATTGGTGAGGGAGATGGCTGCCGAAGTGAAGAATATGTTGGACTTCAAAATGAACGCTGTTATGGTACTTCAGATTTTTCTCCTTCCTTGGAATGTTTCAGAAAAAAATTTCAGTAGAACGAGTAGATATATGGTCAGACGCCTTGAAACGCCAGAATTCGGGGATTTCCTTTCTAACGTTTCAAAATTTGAACCAACAATTTATCAAGTTTTATGGAGATATCAGATGCAGATCTCAGACTGTTGCATAAATAAAAATAATTACATATTTGCGTTAATATCTCGTGGTATTGATCCATCATATCCCTAATTAATATTAGAAGAAATCATAGCAAACTTTATCTTATCGCAGACCGCATAAGTTATCGAAAAGGTCTTTCAGCAGTTATTATATAGACATGAGTGTAGATATCGTATTTAAACTAATTTAAATAGATGAATTGTTTAATTATACGGAATATGTGTTAATATTATAGCCAGGATTTTTGGGTTTTCGTAAAAAAAATTATTCTCAATATTTGTGTATTTACAGATAATCAGGTAATTACAAAAAAAATTAATGGAATATATTGAATAATTTTATTAATGTGACTTAAATAGAGGTTGATGGAGAGTGCTGAGCAGGCTGCCGTGTCTTCCTCGCGAGAGGGAAATACTTCACCGAGATACTACAGCTCCCATGATATCAACAGATTTACTAGTGAAGGAAAAGGGACGTCGCATCCTCGTGAAGTGCAACTCTCGGTGCATCGACACTTTGACAATTTGCCAGTTAATCTGAGTATGTCGGGTGTACTTCTGCCTTCGGGGGTAAAAGATTCTGGTGAGCATTCTCTTTTTAATTTTCTAAACCATTTTTAAGTTTTATTATTATTCAATGACTCCGATATCTTCATAGTCGTCCGTTTATTTTTATAAATTTTTCGTAAAGTTTTATGAATTTTTGCAAAAAAATACTGAGAACATTTAATAAGAAAACTTGAAAATAATTCGGTTTTTCACATCAATTTCATTAGCCATTTTTCAAAAATTTGTAAAAAACAAGGAAAATAAGATGTTGGAAATAACTTCTGAACAGATCCTCAAACTTTTCCTCCCTTCTCTATAACAAATATTTAGGTATTAGTCGAGATTTATTCATTCTCTCTTTTTGAAACTCACTGTGGATTCACAGAGAACTTTGATCTTAATGAGAATATATATTTTTTATTTCAGACAGCGAAGTTGCTGTCGGACTTCAGTGGAGTGACCACTTGGATCCTCTCTTTGTTAATAACTACGAAAGTGATCCCACCCTCTCCTGGCAGTACTTCGGAGCATCTTCTGGATTTTTAAGACGTTTTCCAGGTATTTCTGACATTCAAACGAATCTGGTTTTAATCAACTAGATTCAAGATGAAAACAAGACATTCTGAGATCTTTCTAGCGGAGAAAACGACGGAAAACCAATTGCAGAAAATGCAAGACACCTTGGAAATGATTTTGTTGAGAATATTCCAGTGAATTTATATTCATTATTTCTTGGAATTGCAAATGTTCTAATAAAAATTTTCGTTTGTCGCAGTAAAGTCTATTTCGCTGTTTATCTAATTATTCTTTATTCGTATAGACTTTCACTATAAGTCTTTCAACGAAGAAATTGAGCCTGGCTTCATAAACCATAAAAATCCTATTAAAATTGAATTGAAAGAAAAGAATGACTTCAGGAATTAAAAATTGAACAGAAATAATCAAAAAGAAGTGGTAATTAAAAACGAAATGGAATATTTTCAGTATCACATCATCCAGTCAATTATTCTCAATGTCACGTCAAGATTTTCGAGTTAATCTTTCGTTTAGAAGATCCTTAAATGGATATTTTTAATTCATATAATTAGGTAATCGGAATAATTCTTGTTTAGCCATTGCTTGGCCTCCCAGAAAGTTCTCAAACGATCCAGAAGACATTCCCGACGTCTCTGATTTTCGCACAATGAACTGGTTCGTCGGTGGTGCAACGAGTCCCAAAGATCTAGCAGTTCTGATTGATGCAGCAAGTTTTTCCTCTCGAAAATTACGCAGTCTGACGATAGCGACTGTCAGAAGCATTCTAGATACACTATCCTCCAATGACTTCGTGAACGTCTACCGATATGGAAGCAATGTTGAGGAAATTGTCAGGTGCTTCAAGGACACTTTAGTCCAGGGATCTGATGAGAATATTAAGGAAATGAAAACGGCATTGCACTCGGTGCAACCTGAGGCCATAACCAATGTTTCAGCGGCTCTAAGTATTGCCTTTGAGGTTCTACACAGGTACAACAGGTCCGGCCTAGGAAGTCAATGCAATCAAGCAATTATGCTCATTACTGCGAATACTGAAGCAGCAACAGCGGAGCTCATTAAAAAATATAACTGGCCTCATATGCCTGTGAGAATTTTTACCTATTTGGTCGGGGGAGACAAGAGTCTAGAGCTCAAGGAAATGGCCTGCAGCAATAAAGGTATATTGAGGGAGAAGATAATTGAATGGAGAATTTCGTTTGAGATGAGTGGAGAACAGGATAGAAGAATAGATTGAAACGGATTTGGAAACCAATTGTCATTATCTGTTGAAACGAGAGGGTTCGTTACGCTCATAAAAATATATTTTACATAATGGGTTTTATAGACTACAAGAAGACCTTCCATTTTCGGGGATATTTTATGGAATAGAACAAGACGCGTATCGCAATCTTTGAGCACTAGAGCAGTATTGTATACCTTCTAAAAATAAGAATATGATAGTGTAAAATAATGATGAATCGAATGTCACAGGTGGAAAAGGTTTTTCTCCAGAAAATTCATCAGTTAAGAATGAATTTTTATATCGAGTAATGTAATGAAACGTAGCAAATCAAACGTGATATTTTCTTTTCAATTTTATATTCATCTCGGAACCCACTGCTGTCAAACGAAAATGTCAAACAACATGGCTTAACATTATCGGCAAACGACGCTTGACATTTAATCTTGAAATTCTCCTTTACGAAATTAACTTCATACCTAAGCAATGTGGAAATTATAGATATATTGCATTAGGTAATTACAGAATAACTTTTCGATAATGCGTCTTTAATTGACGATTCCTTGTTACAGGGTTCTACGCGAGGATTTCTTCAATGGAGGACGTGAAGAGTAAAGTTTTCGAGTACATAAAAGTACTGGCAAGGCCTATGGTTTTGTACCAGCATGACCATCCCATTCACTGGACACCCGCTTATGTGGGTGGCGAGGTACTTATGAATGGAAATATGTCAGATTTTCTGAAAGATACGATTTGTTTAGTTCACTATTGGATCCAATTGTTTTCTTTCATTCCAGACTGGTAGATATGGACAGGAGGGACACCCCCAGCTCATGACTTCTGTCACAGCACCCATTTTGGATCGTCGTAATCACACGGTAATTATTGTAGCCCCATCCCTTCGAAAAATCACATGCAACGAGGGGGGAATTGCTCTTTAATTACATACACTACAGTTTATTTTGCCAATAAATTATTAATATGCTTCCGAATGGTGAGTGGGTGGGCACATCATTAAAGTTTTGATTTTTTGTCCATACATTCCTAGAACTGATGATTGGAGAGAATATCAAGAAATTCAATCCTTTTTTTGGCAAGATTTTTTAAATATTTCTACGCCTCCTTCTTTTTTCTTCTAACAAAGGATTTATACGTAACACTCATTCTTGAGTTTATTAATGAATTTCAAATCAGGGGAATTGGAATTAGCATTAAAAAAAGATATATGGGACTAGCGCGCGCAGCCCACGTTCGTCTATTTAATTAAAAGGTCAAGTACCATTTATCGGACTTTACGACTTGATTACAAATTCAATCATTGATTTTATTTTATACAGGCAAAAACTGCAAATTTATTGGGAATCGTTGGAACTGATGTACCAATTGAAGAAATTCAGAAGCTCGTTCCTCCATACAAGGTTGGTACTTCGGCGAATAATTCAAATTTCGTTTATCTTACAAGTTTTTTATTTCATTTTCATCAGCTTGGTGTCAACGGTTACTCTTTCATTGTCGACAATAACGGACGGGTTCTCTATCATCCCGATCTGCGCCCTTTGGTAAGAGATTTTTAAGTTCATTGATGATTCAAATAAATTCCCACCTCCAAATATTTTCCTACAATTGACTTTCAAGTGAAATCAACTGAAATTGGTTCTCCCGTTGTGCTGATCTATTCCTATCGTCTCTAAAATGATATTACCGTTATTTTTTTTATTTTACAGCCGACTGGTCTTTCGGTGAGTATAAAACATTTTTTTTTAATTTTCTGGTAATAATTCCTCCTTATCTAAAAAATCATACATGAAGACTATATAGATTATTTCGCTATAGATTTTGTTTATCATACACATTTTTTCGGATATGTTCCCATGTCAGGATTACCGACGCGTGAGCTACGCCCCAAATGCTAGGAAATGTGAAATAAAAGGACAGTAGAATAAAAGCAACAGTTTCAGATGATTTTTAAAACATTGTTTGCAGTACGAAAAATCTCTGAAGCCTCGTTACACCAGCGTTGATCTCACCGAGGTGGAGTTATCCGAGGACGATGGCCCCACTCACCCTTTGAATAATTCTGGGCTTCCGGATGTACGTACAGAATACCTTTTAACCGCTAAAACCCCTGGAATTACAAAACTCATTGCATTTTCAGTTGAGACGAGACATGATTGACCAGAAAGAGGGTGAAACTAGTTTTGCCGTGAAAATTCATTATGACGATATGGTACGTAAATTCCCCAAAGTTTGGATCAACTCCCATTGTATGAAATCAAATTACTTTGAACAATTCTCATGAATATGATATTTTTGCAGAAAAGAGTAACACTCAGGAAGCACAACTACTTTTATAAACCAATAGCAGGGACTCCGTTCTCTCTGGGACTGGCATTGCCTGAGGGCTATGGCATGTCGGAAGTCAACGCTGAACTGGAAATAAAGCATGCGATAGTGAATGGTAATTAGAAATCACAAATTCCATGCATAAATCTAAGAAACTATTATGGCGGAGTGTACGGAACTAATTCAATGAAATTATTCGTCATTGGATTATTCTCGAGAAATGAACAATTCGAGTAAAAAATGTTGAGAAATTTTCTGCATAAATAATATCGAGTCTTTTAAAAATTTATAAAAACTCTGATTGTTTGGTATGTATAGGGATTATATCAGAAAATAAGAGCTCACACATCCAAAATGTGTTGAAACTCATCCAACTTAATAGACCATAAGCAAATTAACATGGGCCTATTTTTTCAGTAATCTATTTCTTCAGGGATTCGTTATTATTTATTGAATTTGGGTAATGAATCATTCAGTGGTTACAAATAATGAATTTTTTCTTTTGTTTTATTCAGTTTTCGATTATTTCAATGGCACTAACTGGAAAGTACATCCTGACTGGGTCTACTGCGAGTACAGTTCAGCATCCGACAAAAAATTTAAATCCTCTGAGGAGCGTATACTCCATTTCCTAGCAAGAACAAGAATGCCTGGATGGAAATGGATGTCGATGAGACCAAAGAGTCCCAGCTCGCATCATAATCAAGCGAGCAAGCCTGATAAAGACGCACATTACTGTGAGTATCCGAAAATTAAGAAGAAAAGAAAGAAGAAAAATAATAAAGAAGAAGAAAGCAACTTTAGGAAAATTTTAAAGAACTCTTAAGAATACTTTGTTCCTCACAATATTTCAAAATTTTCCAAAGCTACAAATAACATTCGAGTTATTTTCTGGTTCTGGCTATTTTTTGTTTGATTAGAGAAAATTTTCTCCTCTGTAGAATTCTATTCAAAATTTTTCCTCTCAAATCGTTTGCTCTCTAGATACTCTCGCGTAGATACTAGAGTCAGATGGTTAAATCATTTACACATGCCAAAATCCCATGGAGTTGATCATAAAAAAAATGATAAAAATTTCAGGTGATAAAAGACTAGTCCAGTCTCTCGTACTGGACGCTGTTGTAACCGGTGGATTTAATAAGAGAGACAGTAATGCAATGCACAAAGAGGATAATCAGAAGTAAGTACCCTCCATCACATCGAAAAAACAAAAAAAAACTGGAAACAAAAATAGTCTACGATAAAAGGACAAGTAAAGCATGCATTGCAATTGATTACTTGTTGAGCCACGCACCTTTTTGATGCACAATCAGCACACACTTTTTATTCCTCAAAATGCATTGAGCAATACTCTAAATGTAAACGTTTTTCTTAGCTAGAGGAAAATTGCACTAGAATCATCTCTATAATAATTTGTTCAGAGCCCCATTGATTGGTGCTTTCTACATTAGAAAGGCATCATTCGGGATTGTTAGGCACGAGTTTTGCTCATTCATTCCAAATCTATGTATTGTATAAGTCTAGGGAATTTAGATATACAACATATTCATCTGCGTATTGTGGAGTACACCGAATTAAAATTCACGAGAAACACTTTAGACTTTCTTCAAGATTGAATGCAATTTCAAAATCCCTCACTTGGAATATTGTCTTGTAACCATTCATCAGTCACTAAGAGAAAAATTCAGTAAACCTATTCGTTCCCAGTTAAATCGTTGTCCCCTTATATTAAAAGATTCATTTTTTTCTCTTAATTTCTCTTTTTGCTTAATGAATCACATAAGTACGCATAAAAGATTTTATCGTACCATTTTTTTGCTCTTGCATAATAAATTCTGTATGAACAGAAAAAATAAAAAATAAAATCCTGGAGTGTTTCTTGGATTCCAGTGCAATTCCGCTCTGTGCAAAGCATTGCGCACGTCAATAAATAGTGTACACACAATACAATAATGCACAAAGGGAAATCTGTAAAACTCGTGACCATAATAATGTAAATGTCCAAGTGTTACGATCAGCCCAGGCAAATAGAAAGAAACGATAGACCAAAAAACCTATCAATGCAGAACGAAAAATGTTATTTCGTCAGATTAATTATTCTGTATAGATAACAATGACTGTATGAGTAAATCAAGAAGCGATTCGCCCATTATAATAACCCAGCAATGAGGATGAACATCTCAGGGAACGCTTGCAAAACTACGAGGAACTGAAAATATGACTTGGGTTGAACTTATTAATCGAATTACCCACGAAACAATCTCATGGGATAAATTGAGGCAAGGGTAATGCAATACACAATGAAAAATAACGCCAAGACAGAGAGAGGGAGAGAAAGAGAGTGTGTGAGAGAGAGAGACAGAGAGAGAAAGAGAGAGAGAGAGAAAAAAACTGAACTTTCATTCAGATGTTAAAACAACATTGATAATATTTGCTTTAAGAACACTCTGCACCTGTTTTTATCAAAACACCTATTTTTTTATTTATAAATATTTATACTTTATTGCAGTTATTTTTATTACATTATTTATTATTGTGTGTCTCCACCGCCAGCCCCATTGCCATACTGATGGCTCTTCTGCACAGGTAATTTTATTATGCACAATTATACGTTTAAACCTCACTTCGCAGTATTGCACGGTAAATATGTCACGGTCATCCAAGGTGATTGTGTTTTTGATGTGCACTGATAAAACAGGCCTTAATTATCATTGTTATTACTGTTATTATAATGTATTTGTTTTTTTTTAATCATATTTTTTGTGAGTTTTTTTTTTGTTTCATTTACGAGGTATTAAGGAGGATAAGGGAATTAGTTGAGAGATGATCAGGAATTTTTCATGAGGGAGTCAATTAAGATTTGAAGATCTCGAGTGAAGATAATATTCGAAATCATTCAGCATTCGGAAAGGGATTGGGCCAATTACGACTAGTTGAAGTCGAATGGACAATTTAATTATTTTAAAAAGTTTTCGATGGAATGGGTATTTCAGTTGGATTTCAAGTGATCGCGGTAAATTGGAATTGCAGGTGTTCGTCCCTTTAGAATTGAATTGCTGACGGACTTCTGAATTATATCGCTCAAAAAATAAAATGTGGAAATGTCTACTCATTGTCTTCATTCCAAAATTTCCATGTTTGCCATTAAAAATTGGAGGGATCAATGCTGTAGTGAAGTGGTGTGAGGAGATGAGTTACAAATTTATCCCTAAATTATTCAGTCAACATTTTTTTTAAAAAGCTCAGAGGAATCTATTTGGGGTAGGGTGGGGAATATGGACACCATTTTTTTTATTATGTCAGGGATTGGAGGTGGATGTTGTCACAATTTATAATGTATATACTTGAAGCAAGTATAAAATATACTATTTATTTTTTCTGGGTCTTGTATTATCCCTTGATTACTACTTTTTCTTTCGAAGCATTTCTACCGCATGTCCACAACTTTCTAACGTGTGAAGAAATACTCGAGAAAATTTTTGGAATTTTGAGAGTAAAAAGAATTGAGAAAAATAATATCCGTCTTACCCCACCCTCTCTGAATTTTTATAACATCAACTTTACCTCAGGTGTTCGTATCACCCTACGGTCCCCTACCGATTTTTTTTTTTCAAATTACTAATCTTCTACTGACAAAAATCTTTCGATAAATTTCGTCAGTCCTTTCCAATCCCGAAATATTTTCAGCCGTGATGGATCCGTGAGGATTTTTCGAACTTGTCTCGTTTTACTTTAAACTTCTGCAAGTATTGGTCAATAAAAATTCACCAAAAAAAAATTATTGATTCTCCAATTTCACATGAAATCATTCTATTAAAAATAATATTATTTTACTGCTTTCAAGAATATATTCGTGAGTCTTGGACTCATCTCGTTTCACTACTTCATGAGGAAACATTTGGATTAGGTTTAAGGTACCTCCGTAGTTACTTATACTTGTGAATAATTCCGCAATAAGATAAAGACACCATGTTTGAACTATCTATTACTGGGTACCATGAAAAAATATTACCAAAAATGTCAACAAGTTTATTATATCATTTTTTAAATATACAACGTCAAACTTTGAAAAACAAACCCGAAATATCGACATTGAACGCTGTATATTTCAAACACGACGTAGTAAAAGTCTTCGAAACATTGTGAATATTTTTTGCATGTACATAACTAATTCAAATTCAGTGTTTCTATCATATTTGATAATTTTTCGAAAGTATAATTAACTGTGGAATGACCTTAATGATAGTTCGCTACTCAAATCAAGAAAATCGAGTTATCATTATAGTGAGAGATGTATTTCCGTTATTAGGCGAATAAAATCTATTCATTGATTCTTTCGATTTTGCAGCCAAGGAAAGGGGAGATTTGACATTGTCCGAAGTTTTATTGCAACTAGAAGTGGTCTATTGCGATGGCATGATCATCAGGAAAACAAGGAGGCCGACGATGAACCGTAAATTTTCATAATAAATCCCATTTATTAATTATTTTTTAACTATAGGAATCAAATACTGCTAGAAATAATTAATTATTCATTATTCTTAATTATAGAAAGTAAATATTGCTAATAATGAATTATTAATTATTATTAATTATCATTATTTGGAGGAATTAAATATTGCTATTGAAATGATACGAACGGAGAGAAATATTGATATTTCGGGTTGACTAGGCATTTTGCTGAAATGAACAAACGCGCTATGGACACTTCATGGTACAAAAGAGCCGCTGAACAGCACGCAATTGAACCAATGAGTTTTGTCTTCAGTGTGCCACCCAACGCAGGTAAAAAAACAAATCAGCTTCCAAAAATAATTAACAGAAGTCATGTGAGCGTTATTTTTTTATTTTATCAATCATATTCTTCGGTATCCTTAAGTAAATGATACGCATCCGCAGCGATCCTATTTTGTAGGGTTTTTTTGCGTGATTCTGGTGAAATGTAATTAATCATCACTTTTATCATTTTATCATCACAATCTATTGTCACACAATTTGAGAATATGTCCCCAGAGATTTTCTAAATTTTTATTTCACATAAATACTAGAGAAATTTCACCAACTCTTTTATTCACAGAAGATCCATTCTTTCGTACCACACATTGGAGTCGATTACTTTAACTAAAAATTAATTTCCATTTAATTAGCGGACCTCGCTGAACCTCTGGTAACAGCAACACATGCGGTTTATGTCGAGATGAGAAACGGCCACAAAGCACCAGCGGCTGTGGTCGGCCTCCAATTCCAGCATTCGTCTCTGGCTACTCATTTCATGAATATTACCTCCACGGTATTAAAAAAAAACATTTCAGTTAACCGAAATCCATTTTTAATCTACTTTTGAATTTGGTAGTAACATTTTTTTGTCCTTCGAATTTCAGTGCTCCAATTGCAAGAAGAATTGCGCCTCTGAAGAGCTTGATTGCTATATTTTGGACAATAGTGGATTTATTATAATTAGTGAACGCCATGAACACACAGGGAAATTCTTCGGTGAGATTGACGGGACCATCATGGATTCACTTGTACAGGATAAAATTTATCGGTAAATTCAAATCTTCAGTTTTTTGACCCGACGATTTTGTCCAGAATATTTTTTCTGAATGGAAATAACTCCGGTCACCATTCAGATACACTGAAAATAAAAAATAAAAATCCGCTTTGTTGAATAACTGAATATTCAGTCGGACAAGATTTTATGGGCGCACACAATTATTTCTCAGAACGAAATTTCCTCCAGCGGAAATTTAATTATTTCTTTTCCAACACTTCGCAATGAGATATGAATATGCCTTACGATATTATATAAAAATACACTCTATTAACACTTGCCTCATTATTCACAATGCAGTCAATTTACTTTTCATTGATTATTCATTAATAAACACAAGATTAAGTCGATTTATCAGCCAATAAAAGACTTTCTTCTTTCAACGAAATGATCGGCATTCTTAAATCATCAACAATATCACGCGAAAATATGTAAATATTTCCCAGCAGAGCAAATTTTTTTCTCACTGCGATGATCTTCGAGATAAATGGGCGAAAAAGGGTGGAAAGAGATTTACGAGATTTACACACAGCATTTACGTTTTATCATTCGAGAGTTGAAAATCAATCGATTAATTGTTGCATGTTTTCTACCGAACCTTATCCATTGACCATGTAATTAAATTTCTCCAGAAAAGTTACAGTGGTGGATTATCAAGGTGTCTGTTCACCTCAAGAGTCCTACCTATCAGCAGCACCTAGAGGTATTTCCCAGTCGATCCTCAATACGATTGGATCCGCATTCGGCCTAGTATGGGCTTCGTTTCTCAGATTAAATCTATACCAATCAATAACTCCAGCATTGGGATGGCCTGGTGATGAAGAACGCGGTAATTATTTATTATTTCCTTGATCATGATGATTTGGGCAATTCATGAACACAGAATGTCCTCTGCAGACAATATTGAAGCCAGAGACGAGGAGGAAGCACTTCACGAGATATATCCCCCAAATCTGTCAGAGGATCGTCTCGCAGCCGAGAGTGACAAGATCCTCCAATATCCAGCATCTGCGCCAACAGTATCTCCAGCTCATGTAACGTCACCTCCACATGTCCTCAACAAACTACGCACGTGCGAAAAGAAAACGGATTTATACATTCTCCAGCCTGAAAGGCTCAATACCAGTGGCCAGAGTAATCCCTTGAAGGGTAAACTAACTAATTGTCATGTCACAGGTTGCGAGAGGTACGTTTCAATTCAATTAATCATTGAATATCTCCATAAAGTAATTGTAATTTTCATTAACATTAATTCATTAATTTTAATTAACATTAAACTCTGATAAAAATAAATTGATAAAAAATTTCGGTTTGAAAGAAAGATTAAGAAGAAGAAAAACACGTGAATAGATTGAATTATAAGCAGACGAATGGCCGTTTTGTTAGTTGATTGGGATGTTTTTATTTTTTCAGACCCTTTAGCGTCCAAAAAATAGTACACACGAATCTGATCCTGTTGGTCGTGGACACCCTTTGTCCCTGTGGCAGCAAGCAATTGAGTATCGAACCCATCGAGGCCCTAACAGACTCAAACGCATGTACAGCAAGGAGAGAGAGTCTTTACCGCAGACGACCCCCAAAATGCATCAATTACCATCCCGAAGAGATGGAGATAAAGTACTGCGGCAATGCCGGCAAGTCCTACATATCCTACAGTCTTATCATCGCTGTTATCTCGATCTATTTCACGTGACTCAATGCTTAAGAATTACGGTTACAACGATAAAGAACAATTGAGGTTTATTTATTTACCTCCATTTTGATAAGAATGTAAATGCGGGCAAATTGAGTCTAACGGAAGATTTAAAGAAGAGAAAATTGTTTGTTGAGTTTAGTCTCTGGTAAAATTTTGCGATGAGTTTTGATTTTCAGTAAACTTACGTGAAAGAAGCTGCTTCCTTCGGAAAAATTAAAAAAAAAAACTAATAATAATAATAATTAGATGAAAAGGGGAGATTTTTATTCAAAGAGGATAATTATGATATCGGGATTGATTCGCCGTCCGTTGAGTACGACGCATTACCCTCTTGATCCGTTCGTGGTAAAAAAATGAATGATTAATAAATAAAATAAGTAATTTAATAAATGCATAAAACGGCTCAAACAATGTTTAGACAATACCGTTCGGCTGCAAGATATTTTGCTTGCGTAATAGTCGACAAAACAAATGTTTTTATTCTTGTTTTTGTGATTTATGAGGTTTAATGATATTTAAAGAATAGTACAATTTTTTATAGTTTTTATCGGTGGAATAGGGGGAGAAAATGGTTATTTCGATGGGATTGAGGCTGTTGTTCACTAAATGGGGATCGCAGTGAGCATTGCTCACTACAGTAGACTCCCGTTATAGTCATGTGCATGGGGCTGGAGGGGAAGCGAATTCGGAGAATTCGACTGTATGCAACTACCCCCATCACGCGTTTGCTGCTATCGTAAACTAATTTTTTTCATAGCAAATTCGAAAACGAGGGAAATTTATTTCTCGGCTTTATTTTTTCCGGAATTCAATTCCTCATCGGACGAATCAATAAATTGTTTACATCATGAAACCCGGAGGTAGTAGAGTAAGGGAACCCAAAGATATGCGAAAAAAGAAATTGAGGAGAGGTGTGACTATAACGGGATCCTACTGTAATCTACGGTTAGATTCCACGCAATTTTTCTATTTAAGAATTAATGGATTTTTTTCGAGTACTGGAATTATGATGGTAAAGTGGTAAAACAATAGATACTAATTCAACGTTTCATTAAATTTTTCGGAAGTGTCTATGCCTCGAAGGAATATAGTGAATTTTTTATGGCAACATTTTAGAGAATGAATGTCAATCCTCTGTAAATTTTGACTATATTCTTCTGATCCAGAAGTAACCCTCGAAAATTTATGTCGATCGCTTGAATGAGTTTTTAGAGAATATCTGGAAATAAAGGGGGAATGGGGCCCCAGGGTCGAGGGCAGAGTAAAAATTCTGAAGCTGCCTCTTTAAATTTTTGCATATTCCCCAGAAACTGAATTCGTTAGAATGACCTCATGTTGATTTATCACGGCATCACATACTTATAGGTTTCGAAATAAAAATCTAAAGATAATATATAAAATAATGAGATGTCAACCGAGAGCATATTGTTTCATTTTAGTTTATAATATAAATATATAACCATATGAATACGCACGCCGGCGTTTTTATTTGCTGTTAATCGTTGATAAACATTTCTATTCATGATTTATCAAGGAGAAAAGAGTAATTAAATGGATTACATGGAATTATTAAAAAATAGAAAGAATATGTTAAATGAGTTATTTTAAAGTAAAGAGGAAAATGAAAAAACATTAGGATCGATGGCGTTTATTTGCAGTGATCAAGATCAATAGTAGTGGCCGAGCCATTGATTAAAAAAAAATCTCGAACGATCGAAATTCTTGGAATTACTTAAATTGGATTGATAACGATTGATATATTTATATTCAGAGGTTCTATGAATTCTGGATATTTCATTAATCCGAAAAGATAATGAATAATAAAATGGTTATATTGTTCAGAGCTGACCCGAATGATCGTATTTATAATGTTACGAATGAGATAGCGTTGTTCTTAATGTATAAAAACAAACAAATTAAATACGTTTTTCCTTTCATTTTTTCGTTTGAATCAATAATTATTCTATTACAAGACCATTTTTTACTGTGTCTTCCACGAAACGGCCTTTCTTAAAGTGGATTTACGAAGATACGTATTGAAGGGATGGAGAAATAAAACCACAAAATTGGGTAAATATTGTGGAAAAATATTGTGCGATCTTGAATTAACGAAAAAAAAAAAATGGATAAGAAAACATACATGATGAACTTCGAAAATACATATCGGCTTTCACAGAAAAACTTCCAGGTGCGAAAGAGTGTAAAAACGAAAATAAAACGACAAAATAAACCATGTAACTTCATCAAACAAATCTACTATATGTTCCGGGAATCCCTACATTCTCAATAATTATAAGCGAAATACTGTAGGCGATAATATTAATACAAATAACGTGTAAACTCTGAGTGAAGAGAATGCGCAGAAACTGGACAGGATGAGGGGGGAAATTAATAAATCAATAATGAAGACACATTTTCCTTGAGAAGACTTACCTTTTCGATGAGCAAAGGGAAAACAGTTTAACGTAAAATGTAATTAAAGTCACTGTGTATTTTCGTGACGTAACAAATCCACAAAAGAAATGATTAAAGAAATACAGTTGATACATCTACAATAATTCATCAATTTTCATTATCTCCATTGTAACAAATATATGCCACAACGGCAATGAAACATAAGAGAAAAATCGCATTTAAACAAAAATAAATTTAAAAAATGAGAAATGACAAGCGCGCAGTCACATTGATGTGTATTTTAGAATTAAAATAAAATACAAAAGAAAACCAAAAAAAAAAAAACGATAATTCGTGCTGATGGGGGGATATGTATTATTCATATATCTGGTTTTACTGTGTGAAATACTATTTCGAGAGGATGAGAAGACATTCGGAGGACAATAAGAAACATCAAACTACATTCTCTGTCATTTTGTGCAAACAATCGCTGAGGAACAAATGATAAAAAGAAGTAAAGAAAAAATACAAAAAAAAAACTATTATTATAATACTATGGCTTTTTTGTGATTGTTATCTTTTACAGACTACCTGAGATGCATAAGAGTATTTTGCATAATAACGAAAAATTCAAAAAATAACAAAAAAATGAATAAATAAATAAACAATAATAACCGTAATGACAAATTCTTAAAGAGATAATGCAACTCAATAATTGTATACTAACATTGCGGCATTTGTACGAATGCGTTTAAAAAGCTGGGCCAAAGTAAAAAAAAAACAAAAAAATGATGAAAATGTAAAAAAAATCAAAAATTATGTTTTCCCATGTAATTTATTCCGAGTTTGGCTGTTGTTATCTTGAATATCGACTAACGTGTTGTATAGACTAATTGAGGGTAGGCGGATAAGCCAAAGAGACTAAAAAGAGCAATTTGTAAATTGGGGGAATTTATTAAAAATTCATTGAAATTACTCCTCTTTAAAAGAAATGAGAATACATCATGCTTGTATCATTGCATCAACTCTTGTATTCCTGTGTACATTGTATTACAGGGAGTGATAACTCATGTTGATACTCAAGTGGAGATGAACAATTAATAGTACTAATGAGTGTGTGTAAATTGGTCACTCAAACATACATCGATATTCAATAATTTCTTTTCACATCCCTCTATAAGGTAATGGAGTTGAAATTCTGCTCATGAATTGATAGAGAACCCTGATGAATTATCTTTTTCCCCTTGAACATATAGATATCAAATATAATTATTTGAATTATTAATACGCGTCGGGATTGCATAGAAAATATTCCAAACCTGACATGTTAAGATTTATCCATCTTATTGATTTGGGCTGTGGGTTACATATAATTAAATATAATTGAATATAATTAGTCACTGATATGATTGATCGCAGCTTTCGGGAATCTATACGGAAAATAAAAAAAAATCTGTCATTTTTCAAACGACACATACACCAACGATTAAAACACATCAAGACACATTAAATTCCAAAAAATCGATCTGTTCCCATCACAGATGTATAATTAAATAGTTAAATCAATTAGAAGATTGGGTTTCGAGATACATATTGTGGAGTAGAAAGGGCGTAAATGCTATGTCCATAAACATCACTTCCGCCCCTTCCATTATACAAGCTCCTTCAATAATAATAAATTAGTCATTTATATTAACTTTTCAACGGGAACAGATGAACTCATTAACACTCTCGACGAATTATGCGCAAAATCACCTCTTCATTACTCCAATAACTGTATGAAAAGAAATAACGGAATATCCGAAAGTTTTTTGAGTATCAAACTTATGCATGCAAACTTAACGATGATTTACGCCCGAATAAAGTCATGGCACAAAATTTATCCTTTAAGCAAAGAAAAACATTCCATTGAAATGAGAGATGAGTTAATAATAGTATGAGATGCTATTACATCAGAGATGAGAAGGAGAAATTATTATTATTACTATTAAAAAATTATTATTACCATTATCATTAATATTAAAATTATTATTACCAATAACTGGGTTATTATCGTCTTATCTGAGCAGAATTGCGGTTTGTGCAGTAATTGATACCCTAGTCATCAGCACCACTGAGTCGACCAACTCGAGGATGAAATCTTGATGAGAAATTACTGAGATGCAATATATTAGGTACACAAAAATTTGAATAATACACTGAGAAAAAATTATTTTCTCAACTATATTTACTAATCGCAAGAAGTATATTTCGCATTAGCATGTTTTATGGAATTTATAGTGGAAACGAGAGTAAAATGAATCCTCCTTTTTTTTTATATCTTCAAAGTTTTTTTCCCATTTTTAATAGCGATGTAAAGGCGAAGTGATGCCTTGATGCGTGTTTAAATTTCATATTTAATTAATTAACACGGAGTTTATATTCTACATACTAAATTCAATTAATAAACACCTGAACAATTATAGAGATCGGATTTCTCGTACGTTAAACACTATTTACACGGAGCAGAAATTAATTGGTTTTTGTAGCTTCGACTGACGAACTCAATTCAGGACCATTGGAAAAAAAATCGTGAGAGGAGATCATTTTACTTTTTGGATTTGGATTTGTTGGATTTGAGAGTAGAAGTAAATATATTCGGCAAAAGGCATTTCTTTTCTCAGTGTACTACAGGGTGGAATAACTCTACGATCGTGTTATGCAGAACTCGTCTCCATACATTTTTGTTTATTAATCCGATTAATTCACGAAGGTGACACAGGTCCAGGGATTTATATCAACATCTTTAATAAACATTCGCTGGTTCCTCTCGTCGTGTGGGCCTTGTCTTCTCTCATTTCTTCAATGACTTCAATCTCGGTGGCTATATTTCTGGAATTTCAAGCCCATTCGATGTTGTGCATCGCCTTCAGTCATTTTTTGCAATATTTACGTTTTTTAAATTTTCGGAGGATTCTACTCGGTAGTCTATAAATCCATTAAATCTTTTATTCATCTATTCATCTTTATCCAAACGTGGAAGAACTAAAAAAAATTTTAAATAGAATAATTTTTTATTCTCGTCCGTTGTACCGTATTATTCTAACATCCCCTATGTATATATGCATAGATATCGGCTTTCTGAGACTAGGTATATATATATATCTCTCGTATATATGTATTCCTAACCTCAACTAGTGTTTATACATCTCTTCTGACATAAGGGCCATGAGTAAAAGAGAGTTGATGTAACCTCAGGCGTAATTGAATAATTAATAGTTATTTTATTCGGTAAAAAAAATCAAATGGAACGAGAAGGTACGTGCTATTAGTTTATATAAATAAACTGGTGATCATTAGTTTATATAAATTCGCAGGTACTGAGTGATTAAATTTTTTCGTGATGCACACGTGTTACAATATCTACATATGTTTAACTGTCTGAATTATTTGAACAATTAAATTAATGGTGATTTTTTATTTAGAAATTTGTCAATATTTTGACAACATCATCAAAAATGAGAAAAATATATCTGCTGGGATGGCGGCAATTCGAACCTTACTGGAGATTTTGAAGCTTTCTCAGTGTAAGTCATAATTATTGCTTTATGTATTCGTATTTACATCTGAATTAAATAGTAAAGCAGCAATTTGAAAAACCGAGATAAAATGAACAAAATGGTTAAGGCTTAAGGTTTAATAATACTATTTATCGAAGGTAATCTTTGGTTTAAATTTTATGTGGTTAGAATGAATATCTCGGTCTGTCATCTTTCAACAATTTCTCCTCTTTTTTATCGTTATTTTTTTTAATATAGAAATATTTTACGTTGACAAGATAAAAGTCAAATCAAATATTACGTTTAATAAGCAATACATGCGGGCCTCAACTGTAAAATGAATTTTTGAATTGTCATCAATAAAAATTAATTTGTTGTTTTGTAGAAATGAAATGTTTGCATTCATTAGTCGATTATGTACAATTGGTATAGTTTTTAACTGATACTTGTTCTACAGCTGAAACTGTACAAGAATTACGATATCGCCTGCAAGATGCGATAGATGTAATGAGATCGATGGACTATCCAGTGACTTCAATAGCCTCTGGTGCTGAATTATTCCTGAGATTCATTACATTAGCTTCTCTTGACACGCCGGTAAAGATTTCAAGATTGTAGTGATAATTTTCATCTTGCAAATCCCATTATTCTGCAAAAACATTGAATTTTTCCAGTCATTTGCAGAATGTAAAGGAATTATGTTGCATCGGGGTAATATGTTCTACGATAAATTAGTCGAAGCTCGAGGAAAAGTCGCCAAAGTAGCGGTGAATTTTATTACAGACGGTTGTGTAAGTATAAAGAATTATCTGCAGAGTAATTCAACTATCAATCCATTAAAATTAAAATTCATTTCACCAGGACTATTACCAATTGATTCGACAATTGCAACTATTATGGAAATTCATCATCTTCCCTTTGCTTCTTTATAATTAATTTGTCTTTTAGAAAATTCTAACTCATTCGAGATCTCGAGTTGTTTTACGTGCAATGACTGACGCAGCTGCTAACAATAAAATATTTCATGTCTTTGTCACTTATTCGGCTCCAGACAATAGTGGGTAAGTATTCCATTGAGAATTTTTTGAGAGACTAAGACAATTTTTCTTCCATAATTAATTTTCTTTTTTTTTCTAGAGAAGAGATGTACGCAAATTTAACAGAGTTGGGAGTTTCCTGTACTCTGATTCTCGATTCTGCGGTGGGTTACGTCATGGAACAAGTTGATATGGTGATGGTAGGAGCAGAAGGTGTGGCTGAAAGTGGTGGAGTTATAAATAAAGTTGGTATTCCATTGATGCCCTATACAATTTAAATACAAGAACTTAATGCACAGTGGGATCTGTCGAACAATATGTAGCTTTTGCTGTTAGATTTTTATGTCGAAATGTCGATTTGATGTTTCGTCTCTGAGAAATCTTCGAAAATAATTGATTTGCATTAACAAAATGACATTTTCATATGTGATGCTTAAAAATTCTATTACAGGTCGGAACGTACACACTTGCGATGTGTGCTAAGGAAATAAAAAAGCCTTTCTACGTCTTGACAGAGAGCTTTAAATTCTCCAGGATATATCCTCTCAATGAAATAGACCTTCCAGACGAGTTCAAAGTGAGTTTTATTACTAATCAAAATACATAAGTAATCGAGAAGTGAGTAATAGAGAAATGATGAATCGGCGATTAATTGAAAATTTCGAATATATGAAGTTGCATATACTTTTGGAGCTAGTGGTTTTAACTTGGTGCTGTCACGCGGTGTCCCGCAGCCCTGAAACAAACTTCATAGCTATTTTGAATTTATAAGAACTATTATTGGGTTATACAATTGAATTTATTTGGAGAAAAAATCATAAATTATGAGTAATTTTTTTAGATATGTAAGATTCTTTTAATATTTAGATTTTATAAAACAATCTCCTCATTTATTTGACACTTTATTTATTTCAATCCACCACTTTGACATATTTCAGTACACAACAAGTACCCGAGAGAAAAACCTGAAAAATGAGCACCCACTGGTCGATTACACTCCGCCCCAATACATAAATCTCCTCTTCACCGATCTTGGAATTATGACACCATCAGCAGTAAGCGACGAGTTGATAAAACTTTATTTATAATAAAACAAAAGAGTAAAATAAAATAATCTTAATTTACGAATGAAATTAATATTTCTATCCAATAAAATATAAGACTTTAATCACATTATATCCAGAATCAAATAAATCATTACACTCATTTTTATATTGAAAAGAAAAATATCTGTATGTAAGTAAACAATGTATTGCAACCAAACAGTGCATATTCAACAAAAATGAGGGGATTAACCGAGGGTGAGCTATCAAACGGGAGACAATAATTTGCGTAACATGGTAGTTAATCAGTAAATTCGTAATCTAGGTAACGTCGATAAAATAAATCATCTGTATAAAAAATCTGTAGAGGCAGAGATTGATGACATAAATTACTATTGCAGAAATAAAATAATAAGATTTCAGAAATTTTATAATAATGACATGTGAAATGTTTCACAGTGATCGTCATAAACGAATTAAATGGTTTAAATAATCAAACATGTTCACCTCTCAATACAATTTCATAGAAAATATCATAATAAACGAGGGTATTCAATGAATAATTAACAATAAATATAAATTCTGTACAAATCGAATCGATAACTCAAGTAATTACTCGAGTGTCCATTTCTAGAGCTACATCACAAAACTATATAAAAAATATCGATGAGCAGAACAGCTCAGAAGCGTAATACAAGTAATAGTTGTATTGGCCGATTCTAAGAACGTTAACATCTCCATCAGACGTGCAAATACATGACCTAATTGCGACGTTCATTGAACGCTACAAATACTATGGAGATTTCCAATTCTCTTTTTTCTCATTCCCATCTAACGAATTCAGAATTCCATTGAGGCTTGATTTATCGTGGCCCAATGCTCTGTATATTCTGTTATTTTCATGGTATTTCATTTTTTCTTCGGTGACGTCCTATTTCACCAGCGGTTAGCGTAAGAAAATTACTGATCAGCAATATTGTAGTTGATTTATTCAAACGTGCGACTGGCACAACGCATTTATTATGTTGTAAATTTGTTCGAAATGGGGTCTTTTGTCGGGCTCGTACTCCCAGCATCTCAGCATTAGTTTGTAAACTTCATCGGGTGTGTTATCCGGTGCGGGTAATCGATATCCTATGAATTTCAAATTTATGTCAAAGTCGTTTTAATTAATGTTATAATTAGGGGCAGGTTTAATAATCCGGTACAAGTTCGGAATAATTGGATTCTCCAAATTCGCTTCCCTTACAATCCCATGTACATGACTATAACGGAAAAATATCGATGGTTTCACTACTCTGCTACTGTATTATGGATTAAAAAAAAATAATTACCGGCATCTATTTTTTCTCTGGCTTGTGAATTAGACATTCCACTGTAAGGGTTTCCCCCCTTTGAGAATATTTCCCACATCAGAACTCCGTAACTCCAGATATCACATAAAGAAGTATATTTACCTAGAGACAGATAAATTCTTTGATAAGGCCCTCATCTACTATCAAATAAATTGCCAAGTAAATGAAAATACTCATTACCAAAATTTAGAGCTTCAGGTGCAGTCCATTTAATAGGAATTTGTTTCATTCCATCCGAGACGATGTACTCCTCCTCCTCCCTGGACATTCCAAAATCCGAAATCTTGACAATAGATTCATTACCGACAAGACAGTTGCGAGCTGCTAAATCCCTATGAATACAATATTTTGACTCTAAATATCTCATTCCAGCGGCTGCATCTTTGCACATACGAAATTGTTCCCTCTGACTAATCGACGAAGAATTTTTCCTCAGGTAGGTCAAGAGAGAGCCCCCAGCCACTAGCTCCATGACAATCATAATCGGTTGCTTTTGCACACAAATTCCGATGAGTTTCACAATATTTGGATGATCATATTGTTTCAGTATTCGCCCCTCTTGCAGAAATTTTCTCTTCTGCTCATCGGGCAGCGTAACTTTGCACGTTTTCACAGCGACTTCCGTCTGGCACGAGCGTAATTTCGCTTTGTAAACATCTCCAAAATTGCCACGCCCTATTTTTTCTTGCAGAATAACATCGTCGTTGTTGAGTTCCCACCTCTCTCTCAGAATTGGAGTCTTTAATACTGCCCCAGATCGACTAGTAACTGGCAGACCAGATTTCCACTGGTGTCTTATCAATTCTGGAATTGAGGGGAAAGCTGGTCCCTCAAAACGATAATGGCCCTCTGATGCTGTTTGAACGATAAAATGCTTGTGGCCATCCCAGCATACGGATAGAACGATTTGGCATTCGTCATTGCGGGTTGTCTCCCTCACTAAAAAGTCACCCTCGATTACTAGCAATCGAACAACTTCTTCTCTAGGTAATACTCCGTGGAACCATTCCTCCTCGATCAATCCTCCACTGCTCTTCTGATTGTTGGTGGAATTGTTCAATCCACTGGGTACCTACAATTGGGATATATACCAAATATTCATCAGATGGATCCAAACGTCAGAAAATCGTAATAGTTATGACGTGCGGGCCTATCATTGCCATTAGTGCCTTTAAACGCGTATCTGCCATCATTTTTTAAAGCTTTGCAACACCCATGGAATAACAATCATTCCATTTCACGAGTAAATATATTCACATTTGGGTAAACAGTATATATAAGACCTCAGAATTTTTCTTGCTGATTGCCCACATCTGGATTTCGCGATATGCATATTGAATTGTTAATTTGAATTAGACACTTCACACATTTAGTTTACCAAACTTAAAACATCAGGGATTAATTGAATAATAAGAGAATATAACTAACGTAAATTGAAAGATATGAAAGGAATAATTGTTTTGAGAAATAGTAGAAACAGATTCATGCAATCATCAAACGAACGCGCAACCGATGACATACTGTGTATCGAGATGAGTTTACGCGAATAGGCGTTGGTGAGGACCCAGCACTGTGTGACATTGCAATATTATTGGTGTCATTAACTGGGGGGAGATATTTGAGTGGTGATTTTTTAATCATGGCCAGGAGATGTTGATTTCGCCTCAATGTAAATAAACCATTATCTGGACCTAAATTCTTCTGAAATTTCTTTGATTTCAGCGAAGTCTACGGGAACACAGAGAATTCTCTCAATATTACTTGAAATGAGTGATGTTGTTAAACCCTGCAATGAACTAGTCGAACGTAATTTTTACAAGTCGTTTCCAATTGTTTTCTATCATAAACCTGAAATTATTAGTTCTTGAACTAAATGGAAAATTCATAATGAAATTGGATGACAGCCATTACATTCCTCAATTTCATTGCAGAATTGATAGAAAAATGTTCTCTTACTTTTGATTGTGTCGAGGGTTCTGTGAAAGAGCCCTCCATCGACAAATCACATCCAGACGGTAATTCCTCACAGCCTAACTCATTCAAAGCACCACGAATAATTTCAGTTTGTCTGGATATTTTTTTCTCCTGACAACGCAATCTCAGCTCTTCTCTCTCTCTAGAATAATCCAGTGGCGTTTTTTTGCTGACAATTAAGATACGCTTGTTAGTTTCCCCATAATTATGACTGACAAAATTACTCAATAATTATTGTTGGGGGGAAGAATAAAATGAAATAGTTCACCTGAGATCAGAGTTATTTTCGGTTGGTTGAATACTCTGACGGTTCTGCTGGGTGGCTTTCAATGAACTCTCTAGCTCAGTTAAACGAGCTCGTAGCCAATCAATCGTCAGATTATCCACAGTCAGTTTATTTGGTAATAATTTGCCAGACGTATTATCCACCAGATTTTCGTCGAAGGAAAGACGAAGAGGTGATGCTGGTCGAGTCCTTAATTTTTTTGCCAATTAATGGAAAATACTTTATTCATTTTTCTAATTTAAAATTGTGTAGGCTACTACATTTTTTTAATGTTTTTTGGCGTATCCCCCGAGGTAGATGGGTAATTCTTCAAAATTCAGTGAAAGTTAGAAAAAAACGACACCAAAAATATACAAACCGTATTTTCAACGTGGAATCATTTACAAGTCATTAACAGCTAGTAATCAATTTACTTTTACGATTTACTTATTATTGACGTGAGGTTACATGTATTCGGAGCTACTTATTCAATTTTACCTATCTACAATCCCATCCGGTGATAACATGAAAGCTACAGCCTCACTAAATTCGTCATCACATGCCAATTATTCAGAAATCGTCCGAGACACAACAATTTTTTTCTTAAGGGCCGGACGGAGTATCTCGGAAAGATAATTTACTCCAAAATTAGGATTCCTAATTACTCCGTCAATTAATTGTTTTTTCGCTTTTTTGGCCGGCAGGTATATACGTCAATTTAAATAAAATGGACTATCAATGTAATATTAAATTATTGACTTACCCATGCTTTCCAATAAAATCCTTGTACTCGTCCAATGGATTGACAGAATCGGCTGCAGCTTTCATCTGTGCCTGAATCTCAACAAATTTCTCAGATGCAAAATGGGAGTATTTCGCAGTATCTTGGAGGATTTTCTTCCTAATAAAGATAAATTAATTCGCTTTTGATTTATACTTTACCAACGGTAAATCTTCATGTCAACCGTTTTGTCAATTCATAATTTCATTAATATACACTCAACTGACCTTTCCCTTATTTCCTCATTCAATCCTTTCATTAGCATTAAAAAAACGCACAGATTAAAATTACTCGCCAACTACATATCATTTACTCTTACCAGGCAACAATAAACTCCTGATGAATGGACTGTTGCCTCCGAAGAAGACTCGGCAGGTAGCAATTCCTTAGATCGTGTTCGCAATCCGTTACAGCGCCGAGCAATAGCACGTACTCGTTATGGGTGAGATGTAATTTACGACAAGCCTTTTGATATTTCTCTCTCACATCGTCCAACTTTCTTCCTCCTCTCCCAGCTATGCCCATACAAATCATAAAATAACAGTTCCCTTGGATTTTTCAAATAAAAATTAATAAATCGACTTCTTACATTTGACGTAATGCTCCTCAAAACGCGAACGTGCGAGTTTGTACATTTCTAAATTCTTTTGGTACTCTGTCTTCTTCCTCGCAACATCCTCACTCAGCTGACAAAATATAAATCATAAAAATCAATTAGACGAATATTTTCCGTTGTTATTATTACGAGGGCTGAATAATATTTTTGTTTTTCTAAAAAACTCTCAGAAAATTCCCATAAATCAATGACAGGATTGATTGCACATCTTTGAAAAAATCACCTGCTGAAACTGATTAGTAAGCCAAGTTTGCTCTTCTTGGTACAACTTCCTAGCTCGTCTCCTCTCCGAATGTAGACTATTAATATGATCAATGACAATATTCTCCATAGAATCAGCCTGTTGCTTAATCAATTTAGCAGTCTGATCAATACAATCCATAATATCCCTCCAGCTCTGCAAAAACAATAAATAATTCTCAAATCCGGAAATCGTAAAAATTCCAGGTGAACATGACGAAAAAGGGAATGGGATATCTACCTGAGTAATGAGGCTGCCAACAAGGTCATCACATCGTTCAACTTTTTTACCCTGACTACTCAATGATGATATTGTCGAGGCATACTCCCGATCTGACTTGACTTTAGATGTTAGACACCTTTTCATAGTCTCAAGGAGTTTAATTTCCGCATCTTGTCTGCCTAAGAGGGCCTCATGCGATGCCTGTCCCTGGAGGCTCGTAGAAAATCCCATGTTTTTAATTTTCAATTAAATAATAACACTCACGTCACTCCAATTACACAATTGTTCTTTAAATCAAGTGAATGGGCACAATCCAGATTTAACTCATTCCTGAAAAGCTACAAATCTGACGTGATCACTTTAAATAGAGAAGATGATAACCCAATGACCACATCCTACTGGTTATTTCATTGTTTTATTATTGATTATTGCATAATTAATCAAGGCACTGAGAAAATACGAAGCGGTGGAATGAGTTTTCGAAATATTGAGACCACTGGACAACACATCACTCAATTACTCCAGAGGGATATTCTTTTTGATCGGACTTGAGGAAATACCGCCACAAGGTATGACGGATTGAGAAGATGGGACGTGTACTTGGTGAAAGTAGGTGATCAAGTCGCTCCATCTTGGGGATTCAATATAATGAATAAAGAGATTATCAAATATATTACGTACATTTCTCCCAAATACTACTTGCAACGTCTACTGTTTTTTACTCATCTATCTTTTTTTCACTTATTCCTACAGCATTGTTTATACATATTTATAAATATATGTGTAATAGAAAAAATAGGCATACGATGAAAACATGATCTACATGATCTACAGACACAATATTATAACCTGCACTCAAATAGTGGCTATCGAATGATAAACAATTTAATTACGTTTATCTGCATTTTATAGTGATACAAAAAAACAAAATGAATAACATAACTGGACACATATGTTTGGGGAAATTTTCTTATTTTAAGGGAACAACTAGTGCATTGTTGTTATTTGTTATTGTGAGGGGGTGGATAGGGTTGGGAGATAAATTTATTTTGAGTTTGTTTAACTTTTTTCAAAAGTCGGAGAAATTATTGAGGCAGCTTTCGATATTTTCGACTGTGAGTAACTCACGTGGCGCCTTCTTTTGAGAATTAGAAAAACGTGGGTTTTACTGGAGCTGTAATTAATTACAAATCGCCCGGTTTTTTATATTAGTATCCAGTACGAAAACTGTTGATCTTGATTACTGCAGCAAAAATTTCCATGTGATTGTTACGAAGAAAAAAATGTAAGTGACTCGATAAAATTTTAAAATTTCCATTTTCTATCCTCTCCATTTAATTTTTCTTTTATTCCATTTTTTCATTATTCTATCATCTGTTTTTCAATCTTAGAATCTCTGAAGTCTATTGAGCCTCGTTTTTATAATTCTTCATTTATTATTGCTTCCATTGTTTTTTCATTTTCGCATGAGATCTTAGAAATCTTCAATGGACCCAATAAAACAGCTGTTTTACACTGAACAGTATGAAAAACAAAACCGCAATATCAAATTGGTTGAAGAATTCATTGCGCTTCCGAAGAAGAAATCAGTCACATCGAAATTCTATTCAAAATACGAACGGGTGAGACCGGAAGAGGTGCCCGTAGAGTACATAAAATTGATCGAAAAGTTCACAGAGTCAGTACCTCGGAATATTTACGATTATCAACCACCAATGATGAATATGGAGTGAGTAATTCTCTCTAAAGCGATCATATTTGTACAAAAATCAATAAAAAAACAAGATATTATAGAAATAATGGAGAACATAGACATATCAGGTCTAATGAAGACATGCCATATTAATGATTTCCTTATCAATCTTGAAAATACGCATTAATATTCTATTTTTCAGCTACGGATGGTTCAACAAACCATTAATCCCTAATTCTACAGATTCAAGACTTCATTTCCCTCTCAAACAATGTGAAGTGGTCAAAACTGAAATTAGGATTAGGGAGACTGATAAAGGATTACCTAGAGAGAAATTCGTTGGAGTGCCATTTTATCTCTAATAAGGAATGAGAATGTTTAAATATTCTATTTAAAATCGAACGTGTCACAAATCGATACGGTCAAATAAAATGAATTATCTCATGGACTGATTCGATTTTATCCGTCAACCCTGAAGGGAAATGCCAGGACGATGAAAGTTTCTCTTGCAAACTCGCTTATCCCTTTTTTTAAAGTCTACAGATTTTAAAATTCGTGAAAATACTGCACCAGTTATTACAAAAAGGGAAATCAATATTTAAAGAAACCAAAATGTAGAAACAATGTACATATCATAGACTAAGATATCAGAACCGTCGGTGTAAATAAATCCTGGAGATTTGCGCATTTTAAATAAATAAATTAAGTAACTGGTTCAGTTTATTTTAGAAATAAGTTGATGAAGAATTACATGCGACCCTTCCTTTCGGTTTTCAATTATGGTTGAGTTCTTCAGGAGCTATTGCCGATATCTTCTAATTCTTTTATTTCTTTATAAATTTCTTCGAAACGGTCGATGAAATTGACATGAAAAAATGTTTCAACGTTTTCAGTAAACTTTTGCGAAAATTCACAAAACGTTACCAAAAATTCAGAAACATTGATGCACGATTATGAAAATTAGTGAATCATTGAATAGCGAAAAAAAAACAAAAGCAATGTATTTTTTTACGTCAATCTGATACGGGGTTGTCCAGAATTTTACAAAATCAACATAAAAAATGAGAATATATCGACAGTAATTTCTTAAGTAGAATAAATCAAGCGACAATCCGACATTTCTTTTAACCTGACGACTTTAGGTGTTGTGGTATTGTATCCAGGCAACGAAACGCCGTCGACGTCTTGAGACGATTCAAGAGCTTGCACCTGTCACCAGAAATTTTCTCTCCAAATTTCCGATCCATCCCTTGTTAAAATAAACAAATCATCATATCTCAGGGACGTAAATCACTCAAGGTCATTGCTTCACAATATGAGGAAGAATATTGCCTGTGAAGAGATTGAAACGATTTTCTATCACTGCTGAGGCAAAATGACGTTGAAATTGAAGGAGAAAATTTGTGACTATCTGAGATTGGAGAATAATGGCAGCAAGGGGCTTCTGTGTAAAAATAGATTTCGATTTGCAAGCAGTGAGTATTCATTTAAGGAGTTATTGCCTATATATATATCTTCCCATTTTTCGGGGTTTTTAACACACACTTTTTTTAGATTTCATAATTATTCAATGAATCATTAATTTTCATAGTGGTACGTCTTTTTTTCTAAATTTTCCCTTTACAAAACTTAGAAATCGCCTAAAAAAATGCACTTATCCATAACAGAATGCCCTTCCGAATATATTCTAGTCCTTCTAATACTGATATTTTTGCACATTGGAGAACTATTAATTGTAAAATAAAAATTTTTGGGAAGCATTCAATTCTTTTAAACAAATTTAAACTTTTCTAAACCCAAAATTCGTTTCCAAATTATAATAATAGTATTTTCGTAATAATCTCTTCGTGGGTATCGAGAAATTCGCCAAAGATTGATGTAAATCGAGTGCAGAATGAATTATTGTTCCAGATAACGTGTCCTGGAGTCTGGCTCTGTCCAAATGGAACAGTAGCACTTCGTATAAACGCCTTCAACTCCCACATTCAGTCCCAGAAGACAACTCCGATATTTCCCCTCCTATTTAACGACAAATTTCTTTTTAAAAAAGTATTTACGGGTATCAGCACTCTCAGTGATCTTCAATGTTGCCTGGAAGAGGAGTTCATTTATGCTGAATTAATTCAGTGGCCATCGGTGGGATGCAAGGGCATGATCCTTGCAACTTTTGAAACTAATCTTGTGGATCTTCTCTATCCTGTTCCCTGTTTCAAGGGGTTGTTGGCTGGGGCTGATGTCGACCTCTTAATGGAATGCAGTAAATATTTTCCGGTATATAAAATCCATTTAGAAATTACGATTTAACTTAGAGATCAACCTACATGTCTAATTGATTAAAAAATCCTTTTTTTTCGTTTTTATTTTTTCCCAGGGTATCATAGCTCCAAAAATTGAAGTTTCTACCAGAACGGTAATCGAAGAAGTTATAGGAATGTGTGAATTGGATTTTACTGGGTCACACGTTATAAATCCAAAACTGATAAACTCGAAGGTAGACTCGTGGCATGTCAAAATATTTTGTAAAAAATTCTCGCTAAAAAACATCAAGGCTTGAAATATCCACCACTAAAATAGCCTTTGTTAAAATATTTTTCAGAATTTCTTTTCTAAATCGCCTACCAAATTTTCGCCGTTATTGAAAATTTTGGGATCATTTTTTATTGGTGAATCTTTTCTTTTCGTGTAAATAAACACGTATATTTGATATATCTGGAGCGTTTAGAGTACTACAATAGCGATTGATATCTTATAATTAAATTGGTACTACGTAATGGATATTAATATTTTTCTCACTAATAGGGGCGTCCTTGCGTGCACCGGAAACAGCCACCAGTAGGTATATTACGACAGAGAAAGGTGTGTCACAGCCAGGGAAGATTGAAATCGTCAACTCGGTGAATTTTTTACTCCCTTCTTCATCGGTGGAATATGAATTTTCTAAAGAAATTATTTAATTCCATAGCTGCAGACATCACCATCACCAACCATGCATCTCTGATCCTCTCCTTATTTCTGCAACTACTCAACAATCACAATTGCACGTGAATCAGTGCTATCAAAATCGAAAGAAGTCTCGACAACCCTTGAACCCAGGCCCATGTTCTAGAATTATCGAATCCTCGGGACTTCACCATCGTTATCATGACCTCGACGATTGCTCTGTCTGCTTGAAGTACAGAACTCTCTTTTCAAAGGAATTAAACCACGACACCGTGTGCCTCTGTGACTCTGACACACGTAAAGAAGCTATTTACGGTGTTTGTGATGTCTCAAACTGCACTGAACATGCTTCATCAAAATCTACTTCTTCTGTGTATGTCGAAAGATTATAACAAGCCCTTCAACTCTCTTTGTCATAAAGTTCAATTTTTCTTTCACCTCCAATCTTCTACACTCAAACGAATTTATTCTACCACGAAAGAAAAATTTCTAACTGCTTCAGGTACTCATTGAATTATTGTTTTGTTCCAGACTCCAAAGGATCCGGAGTCTTCAGAAAAGCTCCAGGTGACTGCAAGTAAATAAAAGATGAAGAAATTGAAAAAGCGAAAAATAAAATTTATTGGTAAAATAAATTATACCAAATGTCTTCACCAATTTTTCCGTTCGTCAGGTTGACTAATTAAGTATACGCCTTTTCAGTTAATACTTGCATTATTATTTAACATAAAAATGCTAAACGTAAAGAATTCAGCTTCATATTCACCGAAAACAATTTTGATTCGCTATTGTTGTTCCTTCAATTCTTTTTATTTACGAAATTCAACTATAACTCAAGTACTGATTGTTTTCTCTTTCTTTCTTGCTGAGTGAAGTATTTAGTGCATACATTGTATTCTAGTAATGATCATGGTACTTAATAATAATAATTGTGTTTTCTGGTTCGTAGCATGCGACTCATTATATGCCAATTATTACAGAAATCATTATTCATAATGAAGCGTAGCTAGTGACTGAATACATTCGTAATGTTTAGGATATTTTTGGTAACATTCCACTGAAATTTCAACATAATGTTCATCATCCCATAAAGTTTCATCTCTGGTTGCAAAATTAAACTAATTTAACAGATAATCAGCGTCACGTGATTGAGTAATTTTTCCTCTCTTGTTTTCGATAAAAATTTTCTTAGAAGTGTACAGTAAAAAACGAGATGCCTGTCGAAAATTACAATGCGATGAATTGATATGTTTTCATTTATTTTATCAACTGATTTATTATTTATGTCTAGACTCAGAGGATCAGAAGTAAATGCATGAGTCGATCGAATAGAAAAGTTGGAAAATTTTGATGTTTTAAAATTATATGCGATTATTATCCTGCGAATATCTCCCGTGCCAAAAATTTGTGAATACATTTATGCAATTATATATCTATCGTCTAATTTTCTCACGCAGAAAATTAGGGAAGGGAAATCAAAACATTGTGAAATATTCGCAGATGTCTCTTACTACTTTGCGTTGTGATTAAAAATAATTAAAGGGCCTGAACGAATTAGCACCATCCTGATCGCCACGAGTTCATTACAATTGTATACGTGCTTTTTAATGATCAGTGTTGCGTGAAAACGAGTAATGAAAGCACAGTGACATGGTTAAATGTTTCAACGAATGTACTCTAATATTTTCTTTTAATTATTGACTACGAACCAACGTGACTGCCCCGCTCATACTTATCTAATTTATCACCCACACCCTCACGAACGCTAAACAATATCTATTCAATTAAAAATTAACACAGCACGAACGTAGCTATATATATTGAAAAACGTGGATTTTCTGAGATATTCCCATACTTCTATAAGTAAACCAAAAATATCTGGCTGGCAGCTGAGAAGAAATAGTGTCTTTCCTCATTTATAAAATTTTGTAGATTATATTAGCTCCAAGCCAGTTCTCATATTTATATGCTAATTCCCATGATTATTCTATTGTAATAATATTAATGTATCTCTTGTATGTTTTAGTCACCATCGAACAAAGTCAGATCCATTACTCAATTTTGCATTTTCCGGTTCACTTATAAAATAATGGGAATTTTTCGAAAAATTTTCACTTTTCTCCATATTTATCGCTCAAGTCGCGTTAAATTATCATTGATTGGGTCCAACCAACGCAGAATTTTTCTTTCACATAAAAAAAATCATTTTTTCCCACCCCCCCAAAATCACACAATATGTAAACAATGTGAAGCACATAAATATCTTTAAAATAATGAACATGCGGAGTGTATCACGCAGCACCAGCTGTGATACACATTTTTTTCTGTACTAAATTTCAAATAAAATTTTTGAATAAATTGCGACGACTAGAAGTGGCTAACGAAAATTCAACAGATGATAATTGCAGTATTTTCACGAGAAAAAAAATCATTGATTTCGAAATTTTTGTATTTTTGAATTGATCAATACCTTTGCTCTCGGGAAAGTGATGAATGAAGTAAAATATTTTTAAAAATTTCAATAATTTCTTTTCTCAGTTATCTGCAATATGAAACCAGAGCGCAATAAATTATTTTCAATTTTACAACATTACTATACAAAAGACCTTTTAATTCTACATTAAAGTTGTAAAATATCCTGCGGCGAATACAACGTTGATGTTAATGGTCCTATTATTTTGAAAAATAATATTATCCATAATATTATTCATCGGACTTGAAAAAAGTTTCGAATGATCATGAAATATCGAAAAACATTTCTGTATTGAGAAAAATTTCTACGGAATAGATAGCTTGCTATCTTCTTTTGGAATGGTTCATTGTTGGGATAATTTCATTATTCATAGAGTGAGATGAGTAAAATCGTTACGTTGTACCACTTTCGCAAAAAATGACTTACGAGCAACAAAAAATTAAAACAGTGATAAAATAATTCATCAAACGTAACAAAATTGCGTTCACCTTTTGCGCTTTAAAATTGTCTTGAAAGATCAACTAGCACAAAAAATTAAATTGCTGAAGCTTTTTTTTCACACAAAGGAAAAAAGTTGTTGAGTATATCGCTGATAATACAGAAAAAAAAGTCCAGCGGCTGTCAAAATTAATGCTAGATATCTAGTGGTTACGTTTGTATGAAAAGCAAACGAGGCTAGAGTAATCAAAACGCAGGAGAACCAATTAAAAAAATCCCCTTCTACTTCGTGAAGATTTTCATTGGATTTTGGTCAATACTTGTAATCCGACAATTAGTCAATAAATAAATACATGCAGTCAGTCACCCTCGAGAGGTCGAAACCCACGGGAATGAGTCATTAAATACCATGTGAATTAAATAGGTAACTCTGTGATGTAATTTGTGATACTTCAGCACATCTGAACCCCGAATTGAGTCGGCAATTACTGCTGTGGCTATTGAATAAATTACCATTTTGTCTCTCGTGAGAACAAATACTTTTCAGGCCACCAGGTGTATTTGCAAAACTTTCATCACACCATTAATCAAATTATTTTTCTTTTCCGTTCAGTGTTTAGAGATCCTTAGGAAAATCGACTGCAGCTGCAACTGCTGCTGTCACCAATTGACGTTGTTTTTGCATTTATTGACGTTGCATTCGTCTCGTATCGAGGTAATTCCTTGCTTCGTGCTTGCTATTTCATTCCAGAAAATAAAAAAGAAAAGAGTCGATGATTCGAGGAACACTGATATTATTATTAATGAAATGAGCATTTAAGATGAGAGGTATTTAGATAATCGCTGGGTCGACAATTTTTTTATTTTTCTCTTAATCCATCTTCACTTTTATTATTTAATTTGTTTTGATGTGTTGTGGATCGAGTTCGTAAATTATCGTCGAAAATTATCCCTCCCAAACTCGGAAGCTTGAAGAAATTCACCGTAAAGTGATAAAATATATAAAATAATAACTAATATCCAAGTCAAGATAATAAAAAAAAAATTAAATTCTATGCTTCTAGTGAGGTGAAAAATGATTCCCAGAAAAAATACCATTTTTCGAATGGCTTTTGATTGTTTTATTACAATTTATCACGTCATTAATAAATTGATCCTCACCTCCATTAATTCCGCAGCAATCTCCATAAACAATCGCTCAACGTTTTCCGCTTCTTTCGCTGATGTTTCAAGGAAATACATTCCATGGCGTTGAGCAAAATCTTCACCTACGTGCGTTGGAATTTCTCTATCTTCTCTATCAATTTTATTTCCTGCAAAATCCAATTTCGAAGTTGAGATGTCATAAATAGATGCTGCATTGTAAAACAACTGATTTTCGTTCGATAAAAATATAAATATAACTCACCAACCAATATCGTCAAAACTTTATTACTGGCATATTCCGCAATTTCTCTTAACCAATCAGGTAAACAGTCAAACGTTGGTTGACAGGAAATATCATACACAAGGATTAATGCATGAGCTGATCTATAATAACTCTGAGTTATCGATCGAAATCTTTCCTGGCCTGCAGTGTCCCAAATTTGAAGCTAATACAAAAAAAAAACACAATCCATTATATAAATAGTCAGGCTATGATACAAATTGTTCTCAGAATTGTCGAGTCATTGTCCGAAGGTACGATTGCAGGAGAAATTAGCAGTTTATTTCCAATAGAGTTTCTTCTTATTTCATTAAAAAATCACTCGTTCTTCAGATGAATTGAAAATCAACAAGAAAAGTTTCTACCTTCGAAAAATTCCTGTCATTTTTTTTGTACAGAACAAGAAATAAAAAATAACAAAAAATACAATATTTACCTTAACTTTTTCATTCTCTACTTCTACAGTTTTTATCATAAAATCCACTCCTATCGTGGCCCCCTGTCCTGGAGGAAATAATCCCTGAAATAATGTAAAAGTTGAACTGACATTTCTTTGTTGTTTACTTTCGACTGTTATTCATTAAAATTACCTGTGTGAATCTACGAACGAGACAGGTCTTCCCCACACCGGCATTCCCAACAAGAACGACTTTGAATAAAAATTTATAATCCTCCATTGCATCTGTATATGTACCATGAATTGTCTTTATTTTCACGATTTAACACTGCTCCATTTATCAAACAAAAAAGTCCCACTTTCCTTGCTCGCTCACCTTGACGATTTGAAGGTTTCCCTTCCGTCAAAAAATTCTGAAACACCTTTCTCTGAGTAACGATCAAATATTCTAACTAAAAATTGCATCGACACTAATTCCTAGTACAATGCGAATAATTGTCAAGGACAAAGCGTGAAGAAACAGATGGTGACTAAGGAATTGTTATTGCTAAACAATTTTCACAATAATGACAGGAGTCATTGGTCATTTTGCCTGTCAGACTGACGTTTGTTCAGAACGACATCCAATACTAATACCAACAACACGAATAGAGGGCGAGACTCATAAATTCAAGCGATATTTTCATGAACGACAGCTTATTTTTTCAAAATCTTGCCTGCAATGTCAATTTTATTTAGACTGGTATTTGAGATTCACGTGAGTTTCAAATAGATATGTGGGTTATTTAATTATTCTCATTTGATATATGAAAATATCGAATTTGATATCGTAATTATTCAGTGGAGATGATGGTGAATCAGATGATAATGAATTTTTCAAAACAAAAAATCGTGGATGCAGCTCGAGTTTTGCAATTACAACAGTGTGCGTTACTTGAATATTCCAGAGATTTATCACGGTGAATCTTTCATAAACAGTAGAAGACAAATAGACCTTCTCCTTTTTATATTTTTTAACGTTTTATATGCATCAAGTCCCATACGCAATTGGATTTTATTACTGCACTAAACAGTATTAATCACGATGTATTTTAGCTTAACGCAAAACACGATGGATCAAATTTAATTGAGAATTGGTGCCAACAATTAATCTAATAGGAGCATTGTAGCAGCAAGATTAATACTTAAACTCTCGAATTTATCTCGCATAGATAAAAATCCACGACAAAGCAACCTTGCCTTAATAAATTGTGCACCTCAAATTGAAATGGACAAGTGCATTATTTTTTAGGGAACAATTCCGTAAATTTCTGTGCAACTTTTCTCAATGAAATTTCATTGCGGAATGATGGAATTATTTATATTAAAGATACGTAATTTTTGTTGAATATTTCTCCCTGGAATTTGCAAAGATTTGATGTTGTTGAATGTAAGGGAAAACTTTTGGAACGGATAGTATAACAAAGTGCGACAATCGATTGGCTTTGTCGATTCGCGTAATAATATTCGGTGAAGTACGACACTATCGCAGCGGATTTAAAAAAACTATAGTTTATATTCTTGAATATTCCCCGCTTAAATGCAGTCATATCTCCTCTAGCATTGGAATAATACAGAAGTCCAAGTAACTTAACAAATTTTTGAAATTATGACGCTCTATAAAGTAGCAGGAATCGGTAGTAGAAAAATCAAAATGATGAAACTGTTGTGTGTGCAGGAGTGTAAGTTTTGTGGAGTGCAATTGAGAAATAATAATAGTAATTGCCAACAAAATTTTAATGTCGAAAAAACTTGGGATGCGAGCAGAGCTATTAACAATCAAGGCAATATATTCAAGAGTCCTTTCGATGATGTGGAAATTCCACATAATTTTTTGCATCAGGAGATGTGGAATAATGTTGACAAGTGGTGGAATAAAATTGCAATTGTACGTATCCAAATATTCCAAATATTCTTCAAAATCATTTGCCTGACACGTGCAAATGATAGATGTTAATGTTAATCGCTGCACATAACTGAATATAATGAGCGGAAAAGTGATTATTTAAAGATGTCTTCAATTATTGCATTAATTTATTTTTACAAGTACATATTTCTAATTATCGATTACATATTACTGATTTCAAAAGTTTGTAATTAATAAAATGTCGTGGTGTGCTTTAGCAAAAATTGCAGAACGTAATAAAAACAAGGCGAGCCGAATAGGAATAATAATATAATGCGGTTAAAGTGCTAGATTCATATGACAATAGTGCGGTTTTCTTTCCAGGCACCAGCGGTCAAAGTCGATAGCATCTTAATTCTCACTTTCAGAGCCGAACGGCAGATTTTTTCCATCGAATTAAATTTTTCAGAGAGAGATTTGCGTGTAAAAATCGTAAAAACCCCAAAGGGTATACTCGAGGGGAAAAATTTTTTTTATATATAATTTTCTTTAAAATTATAAGGATAATAGTTATAAAATATTTTATGAAGTCGAAGAAAGAAAATTCTCCCGTGAAGAGGTTCAGGATTTCCACTGCCGTTATTTTCATCCCTTTTTTGACTCGATATTTCAATTATGTCTCAAATTCTGGTTAATACACACAGGTAAGCGCCGTAAATGGGAGATCTTATTCGTATGAGGAATTGAGAAAATTGTGCGGAAGATTTGCAACATCTTTACGACGGAATAATTTGGGACCAGGGGATACACTGGCGATTATTCTTCCGAATATTCCGGAATATGCAATTGCTTCCTTGGGCGCAAGTGAGGCTGGAATGATGGTAATCTCTTCAATTTTTCCTTCAACTACTCTCCTTTTTTCTTTTTTTTAAAATGCAATTGTAATATTTGAAATTTGGATTATACATATACATTTGACTATTTTTCTCATATGTAAATATTATTGGGTCCTAGTTACCCATATTAATTAAAATTCAAGTAATTCTTCAATTTTTAAATTTCTTTTTTTTTAAGAATCTCACGAGAATTGAATAAAAAATGTTACATTAAAAAATACATCTATTCAATGATGACTCGGATTTATTTCGATGTCTTGTCAACCCATAGATGCATGTATTGATTCAATTTTAACGATGAGTTTTGCTAAATTTGAATTTCAAAGACGGCTAATGACATTTGCATTCGAAAGCGTATTGCTAATTGATTAGCAAGAATAACTGTGCCATACGCAGTGACAGAGCAATTTCCACGTGTTTACACTTATTTTTCACGTACGTTTACCTAGTGATAAATATATAAGACCCATTCATTCATCCGATTATTAATGCCTTTAAATCTTCGTGTCCATATTTTCATTTAAGATCCAGCCATTTTTTTCATTCATTGATTTTAGAGAAACAACAAATGTCTTTTTAATCGTAAACACCTAATTAAATTCCACTATTGATTTTTTTCCATTGAAAGGTTGAGAAAATGTTTAATATATATTTTATATTGCTATTATTATATCATAAATTCTCAAGTGAAAACTTTCTGAATCTAATGGGAATCCCTATTTCAATGACATTTGAAAATAATCGGATTGTCAAAAATTTGAAAAGTTTAATCAAATGTGAGTTTGTAACGTGAATAGGTAACACAGAGATGAATATCCATATAAAATTGTTAATTTAACGTTTATCTTATGAATTTCCAGATGACATTAATAAGTCCTGCACTGACAGTCTATGAAATGAGCCAACAAATAATACATTCAGAGGCCGCTGCTGTAATTACAACTCAGGAGATATATTCAATGATTGTCGATACTGTCCGTAAAAATCCTAAGCACTTACCCTTAATTGTTGTTCCAAATGGAAACGAGTCAATTTCTACAGGTGCGATAAATTTTACGGATTTAGTGAGTGACGGAATTGATGAATTCGAAAAGATTGGAGAACAATCTAGAATCTACAATGAGAATGACACAGTAATTCTTCCATATTCTAGTGGAACCACGGGATTGCCGAAAGGTGTTGAGCTCAGTCACAGGTTCGAATTGAATTGTTAATTCTGCAATTAGCAATTATACCTCCACCGATTGTTTTTTCTCCAAGACCGCGGCAAATGTCATTTTTTGTTCTTAACTTGCAGGAAGGGACTCATTGTTTCGAAAATTGCTTACATTAAATTAATTGAGCCCTTCAAGATATCACATTCGAATTTATCTATTTTATTATTTATTATAATTTATTTGTTCAAATCAAAGTATAATCTATTTAGTATTTTACCCTCGCATACATATTTGTTAAGAAACAATAGATTAAGCGAATCGAACATAAAATTAAATTAATCATATAGTTAGTTACTTCAAATATATTTTTGATTGTTTCAAATAAATTGGTATTTAATGAATGAATTAATTCAGTTTCACCGAGAATTCAATTGGAGGACTTATATACGCTGATTAGCGTTAATCCTATCTTAATAAATTGATCAATGATAAGATGAAATCGGCTGAATGAATTTCAATCAATCTATTCTCTTGACATTTATTTCAGGAATATTATTGCTAATATAGTGCAAGCATCGCATAAAGAGTACGATTTTGATGAACCGGCCATCGGCGAACATCAAGAAATTATCCCAGGGTTTCTACCTTTCTACCACATTTATGGTTTTGTTGGTTGCCTTCTGAAAAATCTCAGGTAATAATTGAATATTTCCAGTTTCGGTGCTAGAGACACGACTAATTTTTCATTGGATTTTTAGGATTGGTGGAAAAATCATTTGTGTACCTCAATTCACATCAAATATATTCCTAGATGTCCTGGATAAAAACCGATCTACAGTATTGTACGTTGCTCCTCCAATTGTTCAACTTATGACAACTGACAATAGATTCAACAGAAAACATATGGAATGTGTCAAGTGCGTCGTGAGTGGTGCTGCTCCAACTGGAACACAACTTATCACGAAATTGTACTCGAAAGTAAACTTGAATTTTCACTTTGGTCAAGCTTACGGTTTGACTGAAACCTCTCCAATGATATCACGATCGAAAAAATCACCGTGGGATTCTTCAGGTTTAATAGCTGTGAATACTGAACTTCGAATTGTCAGTGAAGATGATGATAAAGGTGGAAAAAATCTGGGTATCAACGAAACTGGAGAAATTGTGGTGAAGGGGCCGCAAGTTATGAAAGGGTACTACAAAAATCCTAAAGGCACAGAGGATTGCATGGATGGCAACTGGTTCAAAACAGGAGATTCGGGATATATCGATGATAAGGGTATGTACAATTCAATAACTATGTACAATGCCTGCGCAAAATTTCACTGAAAAATTCAATTGATTCACCATCCGATAAAATAACCAATTGAACCACCTATTGAAGATAATATTGAGTTGAACTGGATTAAGTCAACACCTTGAAAGGGGTGACTCGATCATATCATGAATCTTTGGCAATCCTATAAAGTTTTGGTGAGATTTCTTGCCACAGGATTAATTAAATATAATTTTCAACATTTTTATTCGGCAATATAAAAATTCCCAGACGCAGATGAAAAGAGTCGAATGAAATGATTTGTTTATCATTTTCACTCGATTTATAAGAACAATTGTTGAAAATACATATTTCTCATGATTATTTCAAGGACAATTGTTCATTACTGGACGCCTGAAGGAGCTGATCAAAGTGAAAGGATTGCAAGTGGCTCCAGCTGAACTGGAAAATCTCATCTTCAGTCACGATAAAGTGGAGGATGTCGCAGTGATAGGAACACCTCACGTTAAATGGGGAGAAGTACCAAAGGCATTCGTTGTGCCGAAGTCGGGTATTAAAATTACCGAGGAAGACATAAAAAATTATGTGGCGCAACGGCTTTCAAAGTATAAGCACCTCCATCACGTTGAATTCATTGATAAAATCCCGAAAAGCGCAGCGGGCAAGATTCTTAGGAAGGAACTTTCAAAAGTGTAGCACGAAATTGTTTTTAATCCTGTTGGCCCATACAGATCTTACATGAATGCTAACGCAATTAGAGAAAATAGGATAAGATAATATGTCTATTGTTTAGGAGTTTAAACAAAATACGAAGAAGTAGAAACAGGTGAATAAGAGAAAGGTGATAGAGTTAATGTGATATGATCCATCGTTCATTTTCCTTTTTCACTTTGTTATACGGACATTAATAAAAAATTGTTAACGTTAGACTCTTGGTAATCTATTGTCATCATATGGGTTTGTCATATAAAAATTCAACCTTCTCATCGCAATCTTCCTCTCCGCTATCCTCACCCATGTCCATTCACCTCCACCAAGTATCCACTCCACTCCTCCACCAGGGGCCAGCTATATATAGGTCGTCCGTTCAGTGCCCGTTTCTCCCTTCTCTCTTTTCCCAAGCGTCCGCCATTACTGAATACCATCGTTTTGGTTTTAGCAACGTTCGGGAACAGTTTATTCTCCTGAGCGTATCGTCCCAGAAGCTTGAGCATTTTCGTGATCTGTTGCGCATCTCCTGCCACCACCGCAAACTTTGGAGAGAAGATTTTTACTTTGCATATTCTCCATCCGCCTATTCTATTTCCCCTCATTTTTTCTTCCGGATCGTTGATAAAGATCGCAAAAAGTAGGGGATCAGTGAGCAACCTCCCATACTCCAGAAACTTCCGCCCTTTGACAATGATTCCGAGTAATTTTATCATTTCCCCCACTCATAATTGAATCTTCTCTCTCTTTCGGAGGATGTTAGTTTTTCTGCAATTTCGGTCACGTGCATCAGTCTCTTTCAGTTCTTCTGATGATAAACAAGTAATAACGTAACGTGAGAATGTTTCGAATTTTGGCATTTCATCGTCGATTTTTGAGTGACACAAAAATCAGATTGTTTGATAAAGAATTGAAGAGTTATTTTGGCAATGCTAGCCGAAATTACAATAGCCAGCCTTCGAATACCTTTAAATATACTGATAGAGATAATGTGTTCACCAGTCCCTACGACAAGATTGAAATTCCCTCGTGTTATCTGCATCAAGTTATTTGGAAAGACGTGGACAAGTGGCGAAATAAAACTGCACTTGTATGTATCATAATAATTTCAATTATCCTATCTCTTATATTTAAAGTTGTCACTTTCTGCCCGCCTTGTTGAAAAATAATTATCCCGAGTTGACACTTAAAATAATTCATGTTTTTTCTCTGTAAATTTTTGGAAATTTCTGGAAAATTCTGGATCCGATTTTCATAGTGCTGACTCTTTTTTTATAATTTCAATTGAATAATGAAAGTTTATTCGATAATGGGAACACTTGAAAACGGTATATTTTTTCATGTCAATTTCATCAAGTGCATCTCCCGGATTTGTAAAAAAATTGAAAAATGCAAGAATATCGGTAATAATTAATTAGGGATATTCTATACCCTTTTACGCCAAGATTCACGTTTTTTTCGCATTTCTCGGAATCTTGAGATGGGATTGACTCCCAAAAATATAATGTTTTTACGTTTTGTAATTATTTAATGGCTTACGAAGTTCGAAGTTGGTCTTAAAAAGAATCGCAAAACAGTAAAAAAAATCCATAAAAATGATCGCACCATCACAAAACTTCCTGAGCCCTTAAATAATGACAAAACGCAAGAACATATTTTTTTCACTATACAAACACAATACTACAGAATTTTTTGTTCTGCATCACTATTTCCCTTCTTTATGAATTCACAATGAGCAATCTAATTGACATTATTATAGATAATTGTTTCTATTTTCACATTCGATAAAAAACCACTTTATTAAAGTGTTCAATAGTAGATTAAAAAAAACCTCGACCTTGCGAAAAAAATTGCTTGATTTGAAGAGTCATTGGGTTTATAAAAAAAATAAAATTTGAGAGTCAACGATGGAAATGTGAGACAATAATGCGGGAGTCATAGTTCAATTAGTTTACATTGAAATAAATTACTTGGATTAATGCGACATGACAATGCAACATGTTTTCTGCGCTGACCGTTATCAGAGTGATTGTATGTAAACAAACAGAAGAGAATATTAAACATAAAAAAAGCAGCGATTGACAATCAAAATGTCTGTGCAATTAGCTAGTGTGAATATACTAGATAATTACCCAAATTTTTTGCTCTTATCTTTTCACTTCTTTGGAGAATATTTAGAAAAGTGATCTGGACATTACGTTTTTTTTTCAATCACTAGACATTTCTACGCTTTATTGCTGATAATTAATTTCAACTCCACAATCGTATGAATTACCAATGCGAATAACAATCTATTATTCATCCATAAGACGTGTTCAGCATCTGGCAGATCTTATTCCTATAACGAGTTGAGGGGATTATGCGGAAAATTTGCAACTTCTCTGCGACGGAATAATTTGGGACCGGGGGATACACTGGCGGTTGTTCTTCCGAATATTCCAGAGTACGCGATTATTGCGTTGGGTGCAAGTGAAGCTGGAGTGAGGGTAATCATGAGTTTTTTTTTTCTGCAATTTGTCTTTTTTTGGGACTTTATTTTCCATGTTTCGTTGTGAATTTGTGAGCATTCACTTCTGATATTTGACAAATCACTAGGTGACCCTACTAAACCCTGCCTACACGATTTATGAAATAAGTAAGCACCTGGCGATTTCCGAAGCTTCTGCAATAATTACGACTCCGCAGAAATATCCAGATATAATGGAAGCTCTGAAGCTGAAGAACTCTGTTCGCCTTCCAACAATTGTTGTTCCAAATGGGAACGAGCCAATTCCTGCTGGTGCAATAAATTTCAGGGATTTAGTGAGTAACAGGATTGAGGAATTTGATAATATTGGAGAGCAAACTGGAACTGACTGCAAAAATGATACATTCATTATTCCATATTCCAGTGGAACCAGTGGATTCCCCAAAGGCGTTGAAATTACTCACAGGTTCGAATTAAATTTTTAATCTAACTAAAGATTAACGCGCGCTACGACCGCGTATTCTTACATTTGTGGTGCTACTTCATGAGTTTCCATTTCATTTTTCAACGAATAGATATGTAAGAATCGGAATTCAAACACTCAGATTCAGACTCTGAGCTAGAATAGCTTTCCCTTAGGTGATAAAAATATAAGAATTCCACGATGGGATTTCTCACGTCTCTTTTCATCATAAAATATTGAATAAAGTATATGGTTTATATTTTATACATATATATAATAAAATAAATATATATAGATATATATCGAATAAACGGGCTTCAAAAAACGTTACATTGGATTTTTTTAAAGGGATTATGAACGAATTAATAAATTATCAACGAAAAATATAGACTTTGGAATATTTTTTAGCAATATTGTTGCGAATTTACTGCAAATGGGACATCATGGATACCATCTTGATCAAGAAGATGGTAGTGAGGAACAAGATGTCATACCCGTGTTTCTACCCTTCTACCATATGTTTGGTTTTGTCGTTTGTTTTTTGAATTATCTCAGGTACTTACAGAATCAAGATCCTCTCTTCGGCTTTAATGCCATCAACGTTATTAACATTTGGATCTAATTTTTAGGAGGGGTGGACACGTTGTTTGCATACCCCAATTCACAATTAAGAATTTACTAGACGTCCTTGAGAAAATTCGAACGACAGTATTATATGTTGTACCTCCGGTTCTTCAAATTACAGTGAAAGACGAGAGATTCACGAAGAAACATATGGATTATGTGAACAGTGTTACGAGTGGTGCTGCCCCTCTTGGAATTGAGATAATTAAACAATTTCATGCAAAAATGGGGAGTCATATTCCCTTTAGCCAGGGTTACGGTTTGACTGAGACATCTCCAGTGGTAGCACGATCGAAATATTCCAGTTGGGATTCTTCAGGTTTTATATTTGTAAATACTGATGTTCGAATTGTTCACATAAATGATGAGAACGTTCAGAAAAATCTAGGTGTTAACGAAACTGGAGAAATTTTTGTGAAAGGGCCGCAAGTGATGAAAGGGTACTACAAAAATCCTCAAGCTACGGCGGACTGTATAGATGGGGGATGGCTAAAGACAGGAGATTTAGGATATGTTAGCGAAAAAGGTACAGTGAATCTATCTAAATTCGAAAAATTATCGATCACGTATCAACGAGTGATTTAAACGTTAACAAAGAGCAGTTTTTCTCACCCAAATTATTGTTCACAGGAGAATTGTACATCACGGGACAGTTAAAAGACCTGATCAAAGTCAAGGGCTTCCAGGTTTCTCCTGCTGAACTGGAAGACGTCATCATAAGTCACGAAAAAGTAAATGACGTTGCAGTAATTGGAGTCCCTCACGACGAGTTAGGGGCAGCACCAAAAGCGTTCATTGTGCCAAAGCCAAATATCAAAGTTACAGAGGAAGAAATAAAAAATCATGTTGCACAAAGGCTATCCAAACATAAACACATTAATCAGATCACATTCATCGACGAAATTCCAAAAAATGCAACTGGCAAGATTCTCAGGAAAGAACTATACAAGCTGTGATTGATTCAATTTTTTAAGGTTTAAAATTAAAAATTCATCATCATGTAGACGATGGGAATCTGTGATACTGGCGATTTCACTGAAAAAATTTCGGCTCTCAATTCATTTTTTTATAGGGATGGGTACGCTAAGGACTATTTTTAGATAATGTTTGGGATTGTACAAGGATGTAAATAAATTTCAGTATCTCTCTTAAATTAAGAGATATTCATGGAAAACTGAGTAAGGAGGCAAATTTGCTTATATTCGTTTTACCCTAAAAAATAATTGGATTAAAAATTTAACTTCTATGGTAGTGTTACATGGCCACTTAACACTTGGTGAATACTTGTTCTGTCGAATTATTTCGACAGAATATCCATAGACTTCATAGGGTGTAAATAAATTTGAATAATTGATCTTGCACTCCATTTGCATTTGCATTGTATTTACCCCTAATAACGGTACAAAATAAATATCATCCACATAAAAACACATGTGTGTAATCATAGACGATGCCTTAAGCTAATTAATTTCAAAGGCTGCAGTTATGTGGCCACCTGGGGAAGGGTATCACATCTTTAATGTTTGCAATGCCGAGTACCGCTTGTAGATATCTCTCAAAACCCATTCCATATCCACCAGTGGGTACATTCCCATATTTCCTAAGATCCAAATACCACGTGATATCAGCGGTGGATGGAATTTTTGCTTCTAATTTTTCGAAATTATCTTCACGAAGACTTCCACCAAAAAGCTCACCAACCTGTGGTGCTAGAAGATCCATTGCGGCGACCTGCAAAAATAAAATTTAATTTTTTGAGGGATCGTCTAAAAATCATCATTCTGATATGTAACGTTGAAAATTTCCATTGGCTAAATTATCTGACCTTTGTATCATCGTCCTTACATTCCTTCATGTAAAACGGTTTGATGTTCTTCGGCCAGTTGAGAATAAACACGGGTATTCCTCCATTGAATTCCACGAGAAACAACTCGTGCTCTTTTGAGAGAGCCTCTCCTCGTTTTACACCCACCGAAAATTTATCCGAGTGCCTCTCTAGTATATCAAAAGCCTCATCATAACTGAAAACTCCGAAAGGTTTATCCAGCCACACGGGAGGAACAGCACCAAGATTTTGGGCATCTATTGTACCCCTCTCGAACAATGTAGAAGTGATTCCTTTAACAAGCAGTTCGGCTTCAGCTGCTATGTCCTCTATGTCATCCACGAATGCCATTTCAGCTTCAATCATGTAGAACTCAGAGAGATGCAACCGTGACTTGGAATTCTCAGCCCTAAACGTCGGCCCAAACGTGTACACCCGTGACAAAGCCCTGAAAAAAAAATCTTTAATTATTAAGTGAAGATTCAAACGATCAAATTTTGTCAATTCTGTTCGAACGATTCTGCAGGAGCTCCGAAAGAATCTTGATGAAATCACCTTGCGAGTATCTCCAAATGCAACTGCCCCGAGACCGTCAAAAATGTTTTAGTATTAAAATACGTCTCCTCCCGACTATTATCTTCTTTCTTCATACTTTCGATTAATGCATTGCTATTTGGCATAACTGTGAATATCTCCCCAGCCCCCTCACAATCATTAGAAGTCAAAATTGGTGTATGGATATTCACAAAACCTCGTTTTCTCATGTGCTCACCTACAGCTGACGTTGCCAAATCCCTTAGCCTCAGAACACTCGAGAATTGTCGTGTTCTGGGTCTCAAATGTAAATGCTCTCTAATGTACTCTTGTGTATATTGCTTCCTCGGTAAGAAAGGATAACTATCCAGATCACAGGAACCGAGAACTTCAATATTTTCCGCTCTTACTTCTGCTCTACCATTTGGAGCACTCGATATTTCACCGATTACACTGACACTACTTCCATAGCACAAATTTTCTGGCTTCAAGTCTCTGTTCAGAACGATTTGTAGGTGTTGACTGGTGGATCCATCATTTATATCCAGAAAAATGTTGTCCTTCATTTTACGAACTGCCCGAACCCATCCCTGGACACAAAATTTCGTGGATTTACTCAATAATTATAAAAAAAATAATTCACCATTAAATGGTATGTCTGCGGAATTTATTGATAAATAAATTTATCATTAAACCATTCTTGATAAACCAACCTGCACTCTAGTCCGTTTCCCCAATGATTCCTTGGCATTAGCTTCAGAAATATTTGAGAAGCTGTGGATCCTAGCGAATTTTTTAACCTCCCGAAGTTTTAGCAAGTGTTTTAAATGTCCTGGTAACATTTTCAATTGTTGTAAAAATTGCAAAACGTACCGACAGAAATTTTTTTGAGTATTATTTGAGGTTATAAATGATTTCGAAGGCTGACATGGACAGTCGATCAAGGATTTTGTGAGAATACAGATGGAATAAGTAAAGGTTAGTACTTCAACTTTTGCTATTGTGATAAAATTATCTCTAAACCACAAACAGATATAATTTGCACAGAGCATTCAAGAAATTCTACAGTTTTTATTATTTCATATATTGATATCGTATTATTTGAATTTATATTCCTAGCGGGGATGCTATTTTACGATTTCTTTTTGCATTGATGCTCTCGATTCTCAGTAAATTTTTTATGTTCAAGGTATTCACTTCTTGGGAAGGATCAAGTATAAACACTACACTGATTCACCCACACACAATACATATACAATAAAAACTGAGGAAATTAGTCTCAACCAAATATGCGCACAGCATCATCGTAATTGTGAGAGCTGAAGATAATTCTACCGAGTTAATACATTAGGTCCAGAGTTACTGTGTGTATAAATTACTAGTTAGATCTTGTGAAAATGGGATGCTGCTGCAGTTTATTCCAGAACGACAGTGGACCTCAGGTAGATCAATGTTTCATCTCATTTTATTGTTTTCAAAATTTTTGTTATAAAATTAATTAGAGTGTGAGCATTCATCAAGAGTTATCGCGAAGTCATAGCGAAGATGTTTTCTTTTAAGGTTAGGGGCGTTGTATTTTGTTTGTTCGTTTGTTCATCAACTTGTCTCCCCAAAATTTTCAGGGCTCTGAGGCTAATGAGAGAACTCATCTGCTGGTCGATCCAGTCAGTAATAATACCAATATACCCAGGGTTCATAGGTAATTAAAGATAGTAATTATGATGAAGGTGTTATATTATTGACAATCTATGCTTCCCATTGTTTCTGCAGTGATGACTATGTGAATCAGTATGCCAGTTCAGTACCAAAGAAAACAGACGAGCAAAGTGCCCTGACAAGGATTCTCCATGAAACTGCAGCGTAAGTTCTTTACTAGTTTTGATTTTTGGTTGTCTAAATTTCAATTTCAAAGACTTGAGGAGTTATTGACGATATCTTTTCATTTTTTATGTGTTTTGTAAATTATAGAAAACCTTGGATCAGATTGATCTGAAAAATACGCCGTTTTTTTTTGTTTTATCATTATTTTTTTCAATTCTTGGTAGAGTTGTGTAAATTTTTGCAAAAGTTTACTGACGACGCAGGAAAATTCCTCCACAGTCATAAAACTTGGTGAGACCTCGAATAATGATAACTCAAAAATGATATATTTTTTCCACGTCAATTTTATCAATTGTTTAATAAATTTGCAAAAAACTTGAAGAATGAGATATCGCCAATAACTCTTCGAGGCTCGCATGTACTATCTATCGAGAGCATAAATTTGACGCTCATTCTGTTTATTTCTGTCAATAGAAATGTTATTGATGTTGGTGCCCTTGATTCACACAATTTGGAGCAGCATGAGTATATGGACAGGTCGCGAGCATATGCCAAGAGAATAGAGTCAGGTGGTGTGAAAGTACCACAGGCCCATCCTTGCTTATTGAAAGATGTTCCAGCTCCAGAAAAAATTCTTTCTGCAAATCCTATCGCATCTGAAGATCACGAATTGGTAAATCCATTGTTTTATTTCGTCAGGTTGAACATAATATATTTCGATAAATGATCTTGCACCCATCCGAATTATCAAATTAAAAAATCAGTTGACTTGCAAATTTAAAATTTTAAATTCTACTATTTTTACATGATTAGATCACAAATATGCTGAGAAATGCAGTGACGGCGCTGAATGATGTAAAAGTTGAACATAAAGAAGATTTGGTGGTGCCGTTTCTCGCGTGATTACCAGTGAATCCTCAGGTGAAGGACTCTCCAAGCCCAGCTGAACTCCAATTTATGCTTCAGCCATAAAAAGCTCATCTAATTCAACTGAAAGAAACTGGATTAACTTCAAATGAATTATCAATTAATCTTACATGTCATTCGGTCGCCTGCTCCAACTCCATATCATTGATGTTTGTCTTATGTTTTCCATCCCCTTCATATCCCGTTGGATGCCGCACTTTCATATTAAACAACTATTCAATATATTATATTGTTGAATAATTGTTTTGTTTTATTTCAATAGGATCATTCATGCACTAATGACTGATGAATGAATCTTTTTAATTTGTGGTGAACAGGGGCTTGGAAAAATGAAAAACAAAATTCTAATAGAGCCTTCGAGGAAGACACTAGAATATAAGTGACTGTCTGATTAAAGTTATATTTAAAATATAAGGATAACCATTGCTAATGGTGTGTGTATAATATAAATATCGAGCTTTATATCGTCAAATACTTATACTAACATGAAAATAGAACATCAAAATTATTGGATACATTGGGAATGTAATAGTAATGCAATTGTATAAAATCAATTATATTATGGAATTGTGATATAACTGTGGAGTAGATTTTAGGTATAACTAGTTCCCTCTCAGTTCAGTCTTATTGTTAACTATTTTGCAAACTACTTAATAAAGAATTTAAATCGTAGCGGATAAATATGGAGAGCCAATTCGACATTAGTTGGTTGGATGGTTACTAATTTATTGTTGGGGTGTCCATCAAGTCGACGGAGCGAATTTTATGTTCTGCGGTATGAATGCTTTTTGTTTTTTATTCGTTTAACTGAAATTTAGTCGACGAGCGAAAGGGGGAAGTCACATCTTGTGGAATTTTAAATGGAAAAAATTATTCAATATATTGAAGATACTCCTAATGAAATTCAGTCAATCCTCTTTGACTGAGCCTCTACTTTTATTTAGTCAATTCTCTTTGCCCGTACCCTCTGCTAATCAGCTGATGTAATTGTCAGTTATCTATTCGACTAATCGAGATCGAATGTCAGATATTCGATTATCCCCATGAGATCCGCCATGTTCGATTAGTGGCCCACGTCCTTTATGCTATAGCATAGCATACTATAGGATCAGTGCTCGAGACGTAAACACACTCCTTACAAGTCCTAAGATTCTATAAAATAAGGAAAACAATAAAAATTGAATGAGTAATAATAAATATTTACTGAGTGAAAGCAGAATTTAATGAACTTGTCAATCGCCATACAGAGAGAACTTCTCGAGGCTAGAAGGGATACGGTGAAAAGACCAGATTCAGGAGAAAATCGTACTTACTGGAACAGTGGAGAATTCTCGGTGTTGTACCTCCACTATTATTTCTTGACCAAAAATTTTTGACGTGACCTACGATACTCCTAGGATTCGCATTGGTAAATTATTGCTCTTATCTCAATTTTAATTTCTCCGTTATAATATATATACCATTAAATATTATTTGAATTGAAGTGTTATGATTAGGTTAGCGTCTGTCTGTTTATTGAAAAAACAAACATTTGTTGCTTTGTTCAAGTCAGAAAATTGAAATAATTGTCGATGAGTGGAAGGTCTTTTATAAAAAATGACATGTGACAAGAGTAATTATTGGAAAAGTGTGAATAACGTTGGTGTTGGGAGAAGATAATAGATGTTTCATTCATCGACAGTTGAGAATTTGAGACGTTTTATTTTTCTGCAGAAAAGTCAAACGTTCGAATTCACCCCGATGGCAATTCCTACGCAGTACCAAGTGATTACTCCTCCTCTGCAAACAACGATAGTTGGAGGCCACCTACACACACCTTCCTCGATATTTCAGCACATGATGGGCCAGCAAAATCCTTATCAGCAATCAGGTAATTGGGAGCAGGTACCACAAGTGCCTCCGATGTATATGCCATGGAGTGTGCCAAGTCTCCAACAATCCCAACTAGTTAGATTCACTGGAGAACGACAACAACAAACTTGTGGACCGATGGTACATCAAAAGAGAAAACTAGATGTTCCGGATATTGTAGAAACGTGAGTTTTCGTATAACTTCATAATTTTCCTCTTTTATTGCATTAGTTTCATTGATTCACTTGAAATTGATCTTTTTGTTCAGGAGGCCGTCGAAACAATTCATTTCCGAAGAAAAAATGGCAGCTCACTTCAGAGACATGCATATCAGCTCAAATTATTCACCAACACCAGTTTCATCGACGTCATCAATGTGCTCAATGTCGCAAGCGTCTAATAGTACATCAACAAGTGTTGAAATAGATGTAGATCCTGCCCCAGTCAATATGGAGGATGGTAAAAGCATGCACCCAAGACTGGTTATTTCGGAGGAACTCAAAAGACTCCAGAATGAGCCTCTTCTGCCTGCTTCACTGTTATCCAAACTGTGAGTTTAAATGTTACTTATTTCTCAACTCGGAATTGGGTTAATCTATTACCATCTACGTTTTTGCTACTCGTTTATTTCCAATGTAAAAGCATTGCGTAGATTTTCCGTCTAATAGATTGTGTAATTAAAGATGTCTTTCGTGAAGACTAGGAAAAGTTTTTCATTGAATAATAATTTTTTTATTTCAGAGAACGGCCTTCCATGGCCCTAGTCCTGTGGGAGCCTCCAAGTCGACACCTGAGGCTGCCTTTCAGCTCCCAGCCCCCAGCCCAGCCGTCCACCTCAACTACTGAAGAAGATGATAACAATAATAATATTGACAACAACAATGAACAAATCCCAGATTTAAATCAAGCATATTCATTTAATAATAGTCCACTAGAGCTCATGGACCTTTGAAAAATACAATTTTCGGGATCTTAGATGGTAATTTGAGGGAATCGCGAGTGGTGCGTACGTGGACCGTGATCGTCGATCATGTTAGTCTTCTTTATGACGATTTTTGACTCATCGTAACCATAAGTTTCATTACAATGAGCCATTTATACTTATTTGAACTCATCTAGTGCGGAATGCAGGATAAATGAATATTTTCTTTCAATATTAAAATAACTAGTGTAGAAGTTTATGAATATCGAATATTCTTGGCTTTGAGTCGCAATATTATGTACTATTATCGGAGGTGTAGGTGGTTTACATAAAAGGCTGAATGCATAATATACTCGTTTTTCTTTCAGTTTTTGATTGGGAAAATGTGGAGAAATATAAACTTTAACGTGTTATCTCATGAAAGAAAGTAACAATTGAATTATTATCCTGTTTTGTTCTTTTCTTTGATTTCTTAATGGAGAGTTGTGTGATATAGATTTACATGCGACTAACAATGTTGAATTAATCAAATTAATTGTCTCAGACGGTCACTGATAATTGTGAAGATTAAAATTTGATTTTCGATTTAATTTGGGCGTATGTGTGGGCTCAATACCGCCTGGACGGTCGGGTGACAGTTGCGAAATTTTGTGAAAAATTGAAAATAAATATTAGATGAGTGCGAGATCTGAATTTTTTGATTCCCAAATCATCTTGGGGGTTTCCGAAATTCGAGAGAAAAGAGAAGAATATGAAAAACAAAAAAGTTACCCAAATTCATTTATTCCTTCTATTAGACAAATGAAAAAACTCAAGGCATTGCATTTTGGAGAAGCTCTCCATTTATTACAGCTGCAACTTTTGGATTGTCCATTATTGTCGTGTGGTTGCCTTCAAGTTTATGAACCGTTACTTTTCCCGTCGTTAACTGAAAATATTTGATCAATTGAATAAATGTTTAACGAAAGTTCATCAATAATTATGAAAATTGGCTTTTTGGGTATTTACCTTTGTAAGTCCATAATCCGGTGAGAGATATTTGAAACTCTCCAAGGTTGGCTTTAATAATGTGATGGAAGATTTAATGGGTGGAAAACTGTAAGGATCGTAATAGCCAACCGATTTAAGTCGTTGGTACATAGCCATCGTCACATTTCTTTGATTCTCAGCTGAAAGTTTTAAGGCATCACTGGGCATACGTTCCATGTAAGCCTCGAGTTTATCTTCCCACGTTCTGCATTTTTGAAGTTCTGAATATAGGTTGTCACTAACACCAGGTGCAACGACATTAGTAATATTAATGAGCAGATTGGTTCCGAGGTCTTCGTCATTTTCGGCCTTCAACTGCTGATTTTTGATGGTCTTCAAAAAGTCCGGAGAGCCGTCAATCAAAATTAATTGGCAATTACAGCTTAGAGCTTCTAATTGTCGAACCATTTCAAGTGCAACAAGAGATCCAAATGAATATCCTACAATAAGGAAATCTTTTCGATTTTTGTTCTTCTCCAAGACATGCTGAAAAAAATTTTTTGTATTTTAACGATTTTAAATTATTTGCTCATAGTTCTCTGAATCTGAATCATCTGAACATGATTTTTCCAGATCATTTTCAATTCCTATAGATGTAATTTTTTATTATATAATATAATATAATAAATATATGAATATAAAGTCTTACAGGCAATAATTTTGTAGCTAGATCTTTAATAGAGTCACTGATGGGGTCTAATTGTAAACAAATGGCCGGAGCCTCGATTTCAGGGGCGATATTCATGAAGACGGCGCCAAAGCCTTCAATTCCAGGGATACAAAATATCTCGTCCTTTGTCCTCTCCTGCTTCGTGGGTAATTTGAAAGTTTTTTTTTGCATCATACTCTCATCCGCACCGAGAAGTTTCACCAGTAATTTCATTATTGAAGGAGTCTTTTCCTCTGCACTTTTACTATCTTTGTCTATTGTGTGAGGATCTATTGAAATCATTTCATTAAGTTTAGAAAAGTTGAGGGCTCGAATGTCTTGTGCGGTAAGGAATATCTCAAATTCACGCTCCAGCGTTTGCTTTATTTCCACAGCCATCATTGAGTCCATTCCAAGCTCAGCTAGTGATGTATGCTGACTAATTGATTTTAGGTCTTTCAAACCCATGATGTTGAGTATAGTATCGACAACATTGAGAGCGCTACTGCCGCCTGCTCTTTTCTCAGCGACCACCATGCTTCCAACAATTGGAGAGTTCTGAGTTAGGAAGCCATCGAGTTCATGGAGACACGATGTTATCCTCTGCTGAAGAGTTCCTCCAATTACAAGCTCTTTGTCATCATTCTGCATATCTGCAACGAGACCAACGTCTCCAACAGCTCCCCACTGGATCGCAAGAGCTGGAAGTCCATCAGCAGCACGTCGCTCACAAACTCTTTCCATAACTGAGTTCGACATTCCATAATTTGTCTGTCCTACATTGCCACGACCGCAGGATACCGAAGAGAATACAACGAAATGCCTGAGTTTTGGGCACAATCTCCTGGACAGTTTGTCGAGATTTTTGGTACTCCAAGCTTTAGCCTTGAAAGACTCTTCAAAGGTCTCGGCTGTTTGATTCTCAAAAAGATTATCCTTGAGGACAACTGCCAGATTGAAAATCGCATCCACAGGAACTTGATTTGAAGCTGTCAGTAGAATCTCTTCACAATCTCCAACGTCTGATGCCTCCTTTCCAGAGATAATCGTCACTTTTACCCCATAACTCTGCCAGATCTTAATACGCATCAGTTGATAACCGTTCTTGATGCCTGAACGTGATGTGAGGATTAGGTGTTGAGCTCCTCGAAGAACAAGCCAGTCGGCTAATTCCAAACCAAAGCCTCCGAGTCCTCCGAGAATTATGTACGATCTGTCTTCTCGGCAGTAATATCTCGGTATCGCCGGGATCGGAAGTCCCAATTTCTTTTCATCTTGAATTTGAAGGAGTACCTGAAATCAAAGTAGAGCATTTCATCCAGAGAGCTTTCAATTATCCTACCTCGTATATTCGCTGTGATTATATAATTAGATCTAATTAGTCTAATGTTTTTGATTAAAAAAAAATGCAATATTAGACATTTTCTCTTCAACTCTTATCTCCCCGTTGATATTTTTCACTACATAATTGCAAGGATAATAAAATTTATTATGGATTATTTATTTATGAAACAATGATGAATAATGATAATTGGTGCCTCACCTTGCCGATATGTTTTCCAGCTGCCATATATCTAAACGCAGCCTCAATTTGATCTCTAGGAAAGATAGTCATGTTGATTGGTTTAACAGCTCCTTCGTTTAGTGCTTTCGCCATTAAAACTTCAACTTCTTTCTTCTTGTGATCAGGAGCATCAAATAATTTATCCAATAAAACACCATAAAAACTAATTTCCTTCAAAAATATGGACATCCCAAGAGGACTATTATTGGCCATATCAAATTTTCCAATTTCCAAAAATCTTCCTCCCTCCGCTAAACACCTAACCGAAGCCTGAAGCTTCTCATCAGCAAGTGAGTTAAGAACAATATCAACACCCTTTCCATTAGTTTTATCCATCACCATCTGCTCAAATGTTGTACATCTAGAATTACCAATATGATCATCAGGAATTTGGGGGAACTCCTGCTGAATAAATAATCTCTTTTCTTTAGTACCAACAGTCGTAAATATCTCACATCCAGTCCAGAGTGCGAGATTGATAGCTGCTTGTCCAACACCACCGGATCCAGCATGAATCAGTACTTTGTCACCTTTCTTCATGTTTCCACGGAAGTAAAGAGCATAAATGCACGTGGCATAGACGCATGGCACGGTAGCTGCTTCTTCAAGAGTCCAAGCATCAGGAATTTTCCAGGTGAAGATTGGATCGCTATTTAGAATATTTGTAATAGCACGGCGAGCAATTATCCCCATCACACGGGTACCGTTTGTCTTAATTCCAGAATACTCAAATCCTAATAGACACTCAGCCGCACTCCGCATTTTAACAAAAATGTCAGAAGTAAGTTTTCCAGTGGCCAACATGATGTCCTTGAAGTTAATTGATGAGTAAACCACTCTAACAAGATCGGACTGCTTTTGGTCTGGCGTTATGGTTCCTTCCACCCAACAGAATGAACTGAGATCACTTTTCACTAGTTGATTGGCCCAGGCATGGTACGTGGGACGTACTGCAGGAGGTGAGAGTGGAAGATGTCTGTATGATCCCCAAGTGCCTCTTGATCTCAAGACATTCACTGCTAGATCTAATTTCATTTGATCGGCATACAGAGGATCTGAGAGTTGAAAGTTCGGGGCATTTGGGTCTTGGATTAATAGCCCACGAACTATTTCACCGCCAGGCTCCTTCCGAAGACAATTGATCATACCCAGAAGGCCATTCTCAAACGATCTATCACTCACCAATAGAATTCTCGACGACCCTGAAGTATTTCTCTCAGTCTTCGATTTCAGCGCTGTTTTTAATGTGTTTACCCAGAAGAATTGTTCATTGGTTACGGTAATTATGGTAATATTCTGCGGTATTTTATCCACTTTTCGGAACAGCCAAAATGTCACGCCACCGACAACTTTTTCTAGAAGTATTTGTAACCCATATTTTCTAGATGATTGAATAATTTCTTGTGGTGGTGATGATTCAAGGGTAATAACAAACGCCCTATCCTTCAGATTCGTCAGAAGCTGCTTCACTGGATCGTCTTTTTGGGTTACGAGTATATTACGTCCTGCTAAAATCAATGCATTCATTTCTGGAGTCAGCCTTTTGTATTCCGTGACGATGACGTTCTCAGGGATATCTTTCGGCTGTAACTCATTTTGCTCAGTTACCATATTAACTTCCGCTTGAATCATGGGTAAATTCGCTAGAGTCTCTGATATATGGAACGACAAAAGTTCTTCGACGGGATGTGTCTCTTCTGCTCGTAGGGCCTCTAGCGTTCTAACATTAACGCCGAGATGATTTTCCAAGGCAAGATGAGTTGCCAATTGAACTGCATCCTTCAGAGGTACATCTGCACGGTCTCTATGGGCGACAAATTTGTAGGTCTCCAGGACAGGATCGCCTGCGGGTCTTCTTCGAGCTATCGCACTAGCCTGTAGATTATGGATTTGAACACCACCGGAGAAGATCACGTCGTGATGCTGATTAGTATAAACTTTCAATTCTAAAATTAAAGCAATAATTAATTCGGCATTCAGTTAATTTAAAACGGAAATTGAATCTTGGCTGAGTCTGCTATTTTCAAAAATGCAATTATTATCAACTATTCTTTCAAAAAGGATAGCAACATGGCCAAAAATGGCGATGAAAATGGCCGTGGAAATGTGATAAAATCTGTTTCTATGCGAGTTTCACAAGCTAGAAAGAAGCTGTCTCTAATGTTTCCATGTGGAATTATTAATTTATTGCATATTCACATTATTGATCGTCTCGATGGAACTTCTAAAGAAAGCTTTAAAATTTTTCACCTTGTTTATCCTGTGGCATCTCACGGATCTCTTGATAATGCTTCTTGGTATTAATCACCAGTTTTCTAATTCCCGTCGGTACAAAAAGGTTGCGAGTATCACGTCCGAGGAGTACCATTTGCAGCATATTATCCATGAATGCCACCCAATTATTCGTCCAAGCGATTGTTCCCTTGGATCCATCAGTTGTAGCACTTTTAATAGCTTTGAATAATCCAGAATACTGATATCCACGTAATCGAAACTCTTTGTAGATATCTCTACTGGTCATCTGTTCAGGTTCATCATGATTCTTTATCAGGACATTTATCTGCTCTTCCTGAGGATCCAGTGTGTAACGAACGGTTCCAGTCACCACAGCTACTCCTCCTTCTACGACTTCAAACTTTCCAGTTCCTGAAATGAATCATTCAAATAGCTTGATAATGAGTTATTCTTAAAAGGATTGCCTCATTAGTGATAGGTCGGTTCCTTCATTTGAAATATAAAGATATGATCTTTGGCTCTTCCCCCGACCACTTCCTAGAACTACCTGGTCAGTATATTATTCATGGAGTTGTGTATCAGTTATCAGTGAAGCATTCCGTCTTACCTTTGTTGATCATAATGGTGAGCTTATACGTAACGTCCTTGAAAAGTGTAGTTGCCCTTAAAAATCGCACATCCTCGAAGACAATTGGGACTTCAGTGTACCGTGCTCCCCTCATCAGTCCTACAGTTTCCCAGACAAATAACAAATATCCAGTAGCAGGTAGGAGATTTTTTCCATCAATAACATGGCCCTCCATGTACTCATAATCTTCATCTGTCATCGCCAGCTCCACAACTCTCTCACCCGAGTCAATTTTTTCGAGTGTTCTGTAAGAGGTAACGAACCAGTCTTCAGAATGATCCCACTTGATGAGTGGAGATAACATAGGCGTCCCTCTCGACACTGGAAATTTCACTTCCGGGTATAATTTCCAAATTTCAGGCTGCAATCCAGCTTCATACAGCTCTCCAACTGCCTGCAAAAATACTTCAGTCCTGTCCCGATGTCCATTTTCACTGAGGCTGATATTGGTGATTGAAGAACTGAGAGATCGCTTCAAAATCTTCTGAAGTTGTTCGTGTGGTGCTATCTCGATGACAATAGCATTTCTAGGGATGAGAGCGGTGGTTTCTTGGAAGAGAACAGGAGCAAGAAGATTGTTCGTGTGATATTCAGCTGATGAAAATTTTGCTTGAGGTGAATTCCATTGGGACTGGGGTATGGATGTGCTGTGCCATCTGGAACTTCTCGATTTAGGATCTGGAATGATTTTTTTTAGATACCCAAAGAGCTTTGAGCCAACGTCTGCTATGTATTTGCTGTGGTAAGCGATGTCACCGCAGGGAATTTCTTCAGCGAAAATATTGTTCGCTGATAATTTAGCGATTAGAGAGTTGATTGACGCCATTGGACCACTTATAGCTGTCATATCAGGTCCGTTGTGACAAGCTACTTGGATATCTGGTGGACAGAGTTTTTGAGTTTGCTCATAGCTCAGACCGACAGCGGCCATTGCACCTTTGATTCTATTACATTCCATCAAAGCTAAAGCTTCACTGTATGCAGCTAAGATTGTTTGTTCAGCTGTAAAACAGCCATCTGCATAAGCACACACTAGTTCTCCAATTGAGTACCCGATAATCGCATCTGGGACTATTTTCAATGATGTTAAAAGATCAAACAGACCAATCTGCATCGCTACTACTCCAACAAAGCAATTGGAAAGGCTTTCAAAGACTGATTTGTTGGTATTCGTCAAGATCTCGTAGATATCAACACCACGAATTTTGAGGACTGAATCGCATTTCTTTATGGCATCCGCAAAGACGGGAAATCGTAGAAGAGAGGTGCCCATGGCTGGCCAGTGCGAACCCATTCCTGAGAAGAGGAACCAGACGGGTCGTCTAACATCTGGGCAGTATTTCAAATCTCGGAGTTTTTGTCCAGAACTGGAAGTACCGAGGATTGTGTAGCCTCTGTAGAGGTGACCTGCAAGATTCTCTGCGTGCAGATCGTGCAGCAATCGAACGTATTCTACATCCACTGATCGACTTTCTATCTGTATTCAATAAAATAGTGATGATTTTCAGCCCTAATACATACTCTGTCTAGGAGGAAAAATAAAAGCACGGGGAATTATCCCAGAAGTGACAAGTGACGAGTGATGGAGCGAGCTAATTACAATTTTACAGACGATAAATTTCATTTAAAGCTTACTCTGGCAATTAAAAAATGTGATTTCACTGATTACCATTCAAAGACAAAGGTGGATTAACTTACATCTGTTAAGATAGACTCAACAGCTTCCTCTGTTCTCCCAGAACTGACGACTAGCCGAGGTAGATCATCCGCAGGCTTTCCCTCATTGATCTTATTCCGGGGGTTTGATTTGAGGAGAACATGGGCATTAGAACCACCGAAGCCGAATGAACTTACACCAACGTATCCTCCCTTCCAAGGCGTTGGTTCAGTTACAACCTCCATTTTTCCATTCAGAAGACCTTCAACCCCTTCACGTGGTTCTTTATAATGCAGATTTGGTGGAATAATTCCAGTCTCAAGGGCAATAACAACTTTAGCAACTTGGCCCATTCCACTGGCTGCTTCAGCATGCCCCATGTTTGATTTAACCGAGCCAATCTTTAATGGCTCTTTCTTTCCAAGACAAAATACAGACTCAATGGCATTGAGCTCCTCAGGATCTCCCACCTTCGTTCCAGTACCGTGGGCTTCAACGTATGTCACGGTAGATGCTGGTATTTTACACTCTTCATAGAAATCTTTTAGAAGAACACTCTGGATTTCGCTCGATGGAAAAGTTATCCCCTGCGGCTTGAACCCGTCGCAGTTGGTCTTCGCGTGAACCACAGTTCCATAAATGCGTTTTGCATTTTTGGCTTTTTGAAGCAAGACTGTGCAGATTGTTTCACTTCTCACGTAACCATTTGCTCTATTGTCGAATGATTTTGATTTACCGTCGTGCGATAGCACACCTGAAATAATTCAATTGTTAATTTTAGTGCAAGGGAATGTGCAAGGGAATGATCAATCAATTGCGCAGTGAATGGAAGAGTTTGACATTTTATTTTTTCACTTACACGCAGTCGGGGTTGCATGGAGAAAGAGATTCGCACTGATCATTTGAATTATAGTTACTGTAGCGAGTAATTATAGTAATTGTCTTCTCACCTAGACGACCGAATTGAAGTGACACGTTGGGATGAAGGACAAGATTGGTGCCGCCTACAATAGCAGCATCACACATACCAGTTCTGATTGCTCGGTAGGCATGCTCCATGCAGGCAAGACTTGAGCTGCAGGCTGAATCGACATTGTAACTCGGACCATGCACATCCAGCCAGTAAGAAATCCTGTTGGACAACAAAGCCCTGCAGCAGCCAATGATGCCAACACCATGTACATCTGCCTGTTGATAACAGAAGCCAGTTTATAGCCAATATCTCAAAATTGAAGGAAAATAGCGATATTTTCATCGATACTTCTTTTGTAGCTCTTCTACTTTTCTATAAAACATGTTCATGTGAAAAGTTCGCTAGGTTCGTTTAGTTTCGAGATATTGACTAAAAACTGACCTTGGAAAAAGTGCACTTATTCTAGGATACGTACGTGAAGTTTTTCGTAAACCCACGTCATCTCAGACTCGGAGAAACATGCACCAATGAAAACTCCAGTCTTAGTGCCTTTTAGATGTTTAGGATTGACTCCAGCATCGACGATAGCTTCATAAGCATGTTCCATTGCCATTCTACCCATTGGATCCATCGTGTGAGCTTCTTTGAAGTTAATACCGAAGTAGTCGGCATCGAACTTCGATAAATTGCTGATTTTTCCGAGCCTTGCCGGAATTTCCGGATGATCTAAAAATGTAATTGAATCAACGAGTCAATTGCAAATTCGATATTCATCATATTGCCCTGTTTTCTCTGTTGTATGCTTATGGGCAGGAAATTACGTCAGACTTATTCGGTCGCACGTTTATTTGGAAAACATGCGAAAAAAGATTCCGTTAAAAGCTAATGAATATTTTGACTAAGGAATTATTACTGATATCTTCTTACCTTTCAATTATTTTCACATATTCACATATTTATCACAGATTTCAGTGAAACGGTTGATAATGTTAACGATAAATAATATACTATTTTTTAAAATTAGTGTTCGATGTTTCAGGAAGTTTCAGGGAATGTTCCTTACGTTCTCAGTAAATTTTGGGAAAAAATCTCAAAACCTTATCATTTAGAAAAATGAAAAATTATAGACCAGCAATCATAAAAACCGTATATTTCTTCACGTCAATGTGATCCAGCCTTTCTCAGCAATTTCCAAAAAAACACGAATAATGAGAAGACATCGACAATAACTCTTCAAGTACGAAGTGCATCGATATTTCTTCAGGGAAATCGTAAACTAGAATATGTTCATTTTTTCGAGACCAGTTTATACATAATATCTCCGAGTCAAAGGAATATACCGAATTTTTTATATTAACATTTTTTAAAGACAAGGATTAGAGCTTAAAAAAAGTTATTAATGGAAAAATTTTTATCTTCATTCAATCTTGAGATATTGACCAAGAACTGGACTGAAAAAAATGCAAAAAATTCTTATAGTTTACCACTTCGCTACGGATTCTGTATGAGTGATATTCCATGAACTTTTGATCTTTCATTATGATTAATTATGCATTGTTTAGGAGAACGTCGAGATTCCCTGGAAATTCTTTAGAAATTCTCTAGACAATATCGTGCATTGGTAATCACAGAACATAATTTTATTAATTTCACCTAATTTCCAACGACGATCATCATTAGTTATGAGATCCACTTTGTTCATGAGATTTTCACGGAATTCCTTCAAATTGATTGACTCCGGAAATCTTCCTGAGATGCCAGAAATGACAATCTCTTCACCGGGTTCTAGTGGTACCTTTCGGTAAGGATCGTAGGGAAAAAATTCTGTCGACCCCATTTTCACTGTTTATAACAGCACCTCAAGAAATACTATCAGTTCACCCACCAAAATATTAGCAATTGAATGAATATAATAAAATTTCGACGATTTATACTTCAATTTGCACTATTCACATGTGAGTAACAGAAAATAATTTTTAAATTTTTGATGCACTCAATTACACAAGTGTTAATGACTGATTGAAGAGAGACTAACACAATAACTCAATCCAGGAAGTCACTGACGTTTTTATAACAGTTGTTGTTCTCACGCTCTCATTTTTTTTATCCCAAACAGTTGCGATTTCCAAGGGTCAAGTGGACACTCAACCGGTAAATATTCAAGATTTTGAATAAATGGTGCCGACTTGAAATTCAATAATTTCTTTGTAGACCTATTCACTATTCAACGATTATCATTATTGTGAGTCATTGAATTATGCAAGGAAATTTCAACTCAGCCATTTGGAAAGTACTGATACTCATTTACTAAATGTTAAACAATACATAGAGAGATTCAGACTGAAAACAATTACTAGCGAATTGATAACTTCTTTTTTTCAATGATCTTATTGAGAGAGAGAATATAATTTTTAATGTCATAAGCACAAACGAATTAATGGCTATTGACAGAGTCTAAAATCAAAGAAATTTATTGTTTCATTATTTCTTTGTAATCATTTTAATGTTCGAAGTTTTACATTGACTAGAAAAAGCCGGTTGGTGACCACTTGTTGTGTTACTTTAATTTGTCAATTCAATTATGTCCAGGAACATTGAGATCAAAGCTGTGTTGAAGGACCCAGACGCAGCCCATTCATGGGCCAAAAAATTAAGTAACAGCGATGGAGAAATTATTCGACAAACGGATACGTTTTTCAAGAGTCCTCAAGGGCGCCTGAAGCTCCGATGCTTTGAGGTGATTAGAAATGAAAAAATAATAGGGATGAACCCATGAAAAATAATCAAATCGTATCGTTAATTGCAAAATGACACCGGCTTACTCGTTTATTACGAACGTTCTGACACAGAAGGACCAAAAGTCTCAGACTATTCTCTAGTGGAATTAGCTAGTAAAAAAGGATGCGACGAGATGAAGAGTATATTGAAGAAGATAAATGGAATATCTGGAGTTGTGGAGAAGATCAGGCACCTATACATGGTAGGCCAGTCCAGGGTCCACATCGATACTGTCACGGATCTGGGAGATTTCCTCGAAATTGAGGTAATTCAGGCTCAAATCAATTCAAATGCAAATCAACGACGATTGACGTTATTGATTATATTGGAAGGCCAAGCCATTTGCAACAACCTACTTGAAAAATTGGGAATCTCCAATGATGATTTATTAGCTAGTGCTTACATCGACATGCTGCAGAAGAAGAATAATAAAGAATAAGAAACAGAATTGTATTGTGTGAAAA